AGCATAGAGAACTGGCAAGGGAGGCAGTGAGAAAATCTCTGGTGCTTCTGAAAAATGGTAAATCGACTGACAAGCCATTGTTACCCCTTCCTAAGAAAGCATCGAAAATACTCGTAGCAGGAAGCCATGCAGACAATATTGGTAATCAGTGTGGTGGATGGACAATTGAGTGGCAAGGTCTTAGTGGCAATATCACAGCTGGTACGTTTCCTGTCCCAGTCCCTACTGTTTTCCCTCTGATCAGACACCTTCAATTTTTTTCTACTATCTCAAAATAATGCCTTAGCAATAATAGCACCACCCTGTGGGACATGTATTTCATTTGGAAATGACAATTGACTTGTTCATGTGCTGCAGGTACCACAATCCTTACTGCAATAAAAAACAGTGTTGACAAGAAAACCGAAGTTGTCTACAAAGAGAGCCCTGATGCTGAGTTTGTCAAGTCCAATAAATTCTCCTATGCAATTGTTGTAGTCGGGGAGCCCCCATATTCAGAGACATTCGGTGACAGCTTGAATTTGACAATCCCCAGTGCCGGCTTGAGCACCATAAAAAATGTATGTGGAGCTGTGAAATGTGTTGTGGTCCTCATCTCCGGCCGTCCTCTTGTTATTCAACCATATCTTTCCACAATGGACGCCCTTGTAGCTGCTTGGCTTCCAGGATCTGAAGGTCAGGGTATTGCAGATGTTTTATTCGGTGACTATGGTTTCACTGCCAAGCTCGCGCACACATGGTTCAAGACTGTTGATCAGCTCCCAATGAATGTTGGGGATTCACATTACGACCCCCTTTTCCCATTTGGATTTGGACTCACTACCAAACCTACCAAAACCAACTAAAAGTCCTGCCTGTTGGCATTTCAGTTGGTGTTTCTATTTATTGTTTCACATTTGTTAGAAACACATTGGTATCTGAATAACAAGATATTAAATAATAATAGTTGCAAGGTTTAGGTTTTTGTCATACAAAGTTCTGTTCAAACATTTTTGGCTTGGATATATTTTTTTTGACGTAATGATATGTCCATATATTTTCTTTAACGACAAATTCATGTACTTACATTTTGCCCTTAATAAGACTTAAAACCCTTGCAAACTCTTACAAATGAATATAAATTACATACTTTGTATTGGTAAGTTTGTCCCATTTCTCTTCAAAAAAAGACGGATCAGAAAGATAAGAAAATGGAGGATGGCAAGTTACCATTATGTTATAACTTATAAGTCCTTAATGGCATATATAGGTGAACAATGCATTATGCATATATAGTATCTTCACAGTAAATAATTACATTTTACAAAATAAAAAATATTACATATTATAAGTAAGTTATATTAAAAAAATATTATACAGAAGTTGCGAGTGGCCTTTTTTTAGGGTGGAGCATTGAGAATGAAGTTTGGAGAAGAAAATTGAATGACGAAATATATAAGAAAAGACAGAGTCAAAGTTCTTTATAAAAATGGTAAATTATATTGTCCTCTGCTGAAGTTTCTTCAGTATATATTGATCTTTGTTTTTATTTGTCAAATTATACCTACATCTTTTGAGATGTGTACATAAAAAACAGATCCCTTTTTTTCATTAAGGGTCAACATGATCAATGAAAAAAAATGCTAATGTGAATAATTTTTTAATTTTAATTATATTCTTAGAAGACATATTTATTGTAATAAAATATAATATATATAAGAGGATAAAATTGTAATTATAAATCTAATAAGTCTGGCAAGTAAGTTAGTGTAATTTAATAAAAGAAAATAATTCTTGTATCAAATAATTATTGTTAGATTTATTTTTTTAATTAGTCAATTATATAATAAATAAGAAAGTAAAACCATTTACTTAATTGTATTTGATATAAATAATTAATTAAAATTCAATTAAAAAGTTCAGTGCAGTGTTCGATGTGGGTGTAATAAATAAGAAGAGAAAATAGTATATATTAACAAAATTTTAAAAGAGTGTAATTTGGATTTAGAAAAATGATTCCGTGTGTGAAAAATCAAGAATCAACTTAATTGAAGAGGAAGTGAATGGTTGGTAGGATTTGATGCTGTTGTGTGGGACCCAGGGGTTCTCCCTAAGGCATCAAATGGCCACCTTTTTCTGGAAATATCATTCCGTCAAATGGACATATGTGGGACCGGGGTCTTAAAAACGCTCATAGATAACGAAGACATGACGGAGGCTTCTGTTGTTATCATTCATTTCACTCTCACCGATTTTCCCATCAATTCAATGTCGAACAGCCCATCCTTGCAAGACTTCTAGTAGTTCTGCCACTCAACCAAATTTCCTTTTTATGCTATAATAAGCGCTAATATTTTATTTATTCAATAAAAACCATTAATTTAAGCCTATTATTTTATATGTGTAACGTATTTTATATGTACATAAAATAATATTTTGTAATTTTAAGATTTACTTTCTGATTTTTTATTTTTGGAAAATTTTTAAATTATTTAGTAATTTGGTTAGCGTGAAAGGAAAATTTTTTAGAAAAATAATATTCTCGCAATTGGTTGATTTTCCTTAAAACGTTTCCTCTATAAAACACGCGAAAATTTCAGTTTCACGTAAAAATTATATCATCATGTATTCGTTTCCAATTATACCCTCGGTAGTTATTTCTCTTCCTTCTTTTTACACTCAGAGTGACTTCTTTTTGATAAATTAGAACTCCTACTTATATTAACTTTCTAACTCTTTAAATTAAGACTCCTAATTAAGTTATAATTTTTTGACTTTTTAAATTAGGACTATATATATATATATATATGCACGCACATATATTTGTATTCATAAAACAATTATTTATATTTTTTATTATCCTTGTTGTATGATGTATTTTACTTAGTATTGAATTCATGAGAATAATTTTGGTATATAAATCATTTTCTTTTCACTTTCTTGCTAACCAAACTAATGAAACAACATTTTCTCACAAATTTTTTACAAAAAAATCATGCTAACCAAATGCATGATAGAAACATAATTTTCTTTTCTTTTACTTCACTTTCTTTTCCTTTCATTTTCCACAATCAATTTTCGGCTAACCAAACGAACTCCAAAGGTTGATTTAAGTGGATAAGAATTTGATCGTAGCGTCTCATAAAGCATCTCTTGACAACCAATTACTCAAGGGGTGTGATAGTGTTAAATAGGAAAAAAAATATATATGGTTAATTATTTTTATATATTTAATAATTAAGTTTCTTATTATTTACTAATTTTGTAAAAGTCTAATTACTACGCGTCTTTAGTAGACAACTACCTAAATTCATGAATAAATCTTTATTTGTATTGAAAGGTTTTTTTTTATAAAAAAAAAAAAATCAATAAAAATTTTTATTTACCGATTTATGTTATAAAAAATTATGTATCAGGGTTTGTCAACGGATTGGACTAGGATCGGATCGATCAAGTTCATATCCGATTTGTTAAGGTAACAGATCCTCGAATTTGGATCATGGTTATCGAATTGAATGTTTCAATCTATATCTTATTTAGTTCGAATTTGGGAAAAAATGTATTTTTGTAATTTTAAGGGTTAAAATTAGGGGTGGCAATTCGTATTCATGGATCATAATCGTATCGTATCGATGTAATGGTATTCTACTAAATAGGTTAACCCAAACCCAAACTTATCCCATTTAATAATCATGTCAGAAATTCTCAACACTAATATGACTTATTTATTAAACAGGTTAACGTGTTAACCCATTTAATGATCTATTTATCAAAATGAAACATTTAATATTCAATTAAATAATAACTACTAGAAATTTTTTTTTACAATTAACTCAAATATTCAAAATCATAAGAAAAGTCATAAGACATAGTCAATGTTTATATTAAAATGACTTAATTATTTATAATAATTGGGTTTAAACTGGTAACATATTACATACGTCATATTCATGTGACATGTTGAATTAAACATTTATAAACAGATTACACGTGTTGAATCTCCTCAACCCTAACCTGACACGATTAAGTAAACGAATTCATGTTAATCCATTTATAACCTAAATCCGTTTAAGGTCAATCCAAACTCACTTATCTCGTGTAGTGTTCGAGTCGTGTTGACGGGTTGTGTCGTAATTTGTCACCCCTAATTAAAATCATAAACCACTACAATTTATTTAAAACAGATAAAGGGTATTTTTGTAATTTTTTAAAAAAATAATTTTTATTTTTTAATTTAATATTAAAATAATAAGGTTAAATTTGTCATTTCATAATTTGATTAACATGTGTGATATGAATATTAGGATAGTCTAAATCACTTTTTAAATATGTAAAAAAATTTTAAAACAGGTTGAAATTTTATGATCAAAATTTATGAGTGACTAGAGTTTTATGATTTTAACCGTGAATTTAATAGGTGAAAATGAGAAAATTTATACTCCGTAATCCTTATCCCTTCAATAACATTTTTTTGAATTCGGACCGTTGTGGTACTGCATGGTACACGTGTGAGTGGGTCTCTGTTACCAGAGGGACCCATCGGGCCATCGATGGAAGAGCCGAACACGATGCTCTCTCCAATGAACCCTCCTTGGGGAGAGAATCAAATTCGATATTTTTTCGATAAGACTAAAAACCCTCACCACCCTTCTATATATATATATATATATATATACAAAATCAAATTCAGGAGGTTGCAGGATGCAGCATTTCTAGGTCCCTGTCTGTAAGTGACCCATGTATCTTTACTCACTCGATCAAAATGCATGCATTGTGTTCTGCACTATTACAGTCTCTTCTTTTCATTATCTGATTTTTAATTTTTAATTCTTTCATACTGTTCTAAACTAGCTAAAGTGAAATGTAATGAAACTATCAACTCTTACATTGATATTCAAATTGGGTGAGAATGATAATAGATGCTGATATTTTTCTAAAATTTTCTTTCTACTTTTAACTCTTCAATTTATATATATTATGCATTTCCAATTTTTATGCATTCCATTTTTTATTTTCCTTTCTATCATGTTGTGTGTGACCCATTTGTTGGAAGCTGTAATTATAATACCATTTCCCGGATTAATCTTTTTGCATCTACCCAAAATTGGATGATAGTATGTTTTTCTTATACCAATACTCATGCCATAAGATGAATGCACAAAATGTTTTTCTTTGAATGCTGCTCTTTTTCAATTCATCATCAAATTATGTTCCCTCTTGTGTTCTTCAAGACTCACTTGCCCGGCTGAGACGAGATTGATTGATGATGCATCCGTGTACTAATAATATACTCCGTATTAATTACGTTTTTCTTTTTCTTTAATTTCTCTCTCTTCTATGGAATTTTTCAAATTTTTGGTTTCCTTTAGTAGAAGCAATTGAAAGTGTACGGTCAGTCTAATCTAACATCATACTATTCTTTCAATCTGAAGGCAATATGGAGAAGAAAATGGAGAGGATTACCACTTTCTTGATGGGGATTCTGGTAATGTGTTGCTGGGCGGCCATGGCAGAAGCAGAATACATGAAATACAAAGATCCAAAGCAGCCGTTGAGTGTTCGAATCAAGGACCTGATAAGCCAGATGACATTAGAGGAAAAGATAGGCCAGATGGTGCAGATTGAACGGCATGATGCCTCTGCTGAGGTCATGAAGAAGTACTTCATCGGTAACTATGTGATAGGAATTATGCATATAACCATGTGAAGTACTTCAACAATTTTATATTTTTTCTGTCTAATGAATATTATTATAACTATGTGATGGGAATTGCGCATATATGCATGTATGGAATATAGTATAAATTCTTCTGTATTTTGTGGCAGGAAGTGTATTGAGTGGTGGTGGGAGTGCTCCAGCTAAAGAGGCATCTGCTGAGACTTGGGTTAACATGGTGAACGATTTCCAGAAGGGTTCCTTATCAACTCGTCTTGGGATCCCATTGATTTATGGGATTGATGCTGTTCATGGCCACAACACCGTTTACAAGGCAACCATTTTTCCTCACAATGTTGGGCTTGGAGCTACAAGGCAAGTACATAGACGTATCAACATATATCTTTTCAGATTGTTTGTTAACCATGTACTCTCCTACTCCAGCTTTCACTAAAATGGGTTTGTTTTTAAGAAAGAAAAATTGTAAGAGGTAGGGGCTGCTTAATGCAACGGCAATGTCTTTTCATTAACTAGGGTCATGTAGCACAATTTAAGAGATTTTGTATACCTAATATTGATTTAAGGTGTGTTAGGTCACCTAAAGGGACCTTTTTGGAAGAATTTAAGTTTCGAGAAAAGGGGTTTCTTCTATGAACATATTTTGAATTGTCCTTTTATGAAAATTGTATTTACTTTGAACATATTTTGAATTGTCCTTTTATGTATATTGACTCAAAAATTTTATCTACAATACCAATTTTGTGGATTTTGGATATTGGATACAAGGAGAAGATGTTAGGCACCCAAGAATCCATACAAATAGTCATCCCATTTCTCCGTATCATTCTAGCTTTGTCTTTAAGACGATGGTAGAAAGAGGAACTTAGAAACTATGGGAGTAAAGAAAAACAAATGGTCGGATCTAAATTATCATTTTCATGGAAGTAGCACAAAGTGCTATCTCAGGTTTTAACTAACTACGGAATAATAACTTCATGCCAAAACGTGAAAAAATAAGTTAAGAGGAATAGAAGGAATCATAGATGGAATGTACAAGGACTGTGTTTCATGTACATGTTACATGAATACTCAAATGATCATTAATTTGCATTAGAGGCTTAACTACAATACTCATATGTGCAACAATATGAAGTTGAGAATCTAAAAGCTCCCTCTTTAATTGCTACATGATTTTAGCCCACATTAGTGGCTTTAAAATCAGAAACCCAAGAAAACAAATAAATAAGATATAATAAGATTTGTTCTCGTGAGTCCTATCGCTTTTTTGTATTATACCTATGATTCACTGCTTTCTTTTTAACCAGGGACCCTGTACTTGTCAAGAAAATTGGAGCTGCAACTGCACTTGAAGTTAGAGCTACAGGAATTTCTTATGTTTTTGCTCCATGTATTGCGGTAAATAGATTAAATTTAAGGACACGCTGCTGCTGAAGTAAGATCATTTAATTAATTGAAGTTCTCATCTTTATCCTTAAGCTATTTCTATCCCCATACAGGTTTGCAGAGATCCAAGGTGGGGTCGGTGTTATGAGAGTTACAGCGAAGATCCCAAGATTGTTCAAGCAATGACTGAGATCATATCAGGACTGCAAGGAGATGTTCCTGCTAATTTCCCAAAGGGTGTTCCCTTTGTTGCTGGCAAGTAAGATATTTGCGAACTAATTATTTTCTAGCTACGAACATAACTAAGTGATATACTCATTTCTTGATCAAGTAAAGCAATACCTAGTTCTGTGGTCTATAAATAGAAGAACCTAAAGAGTTCACCTGTTTTGCTATGCACGTGGATGTACTGGATGTCATCATAATATAAGATGGGTTTTACACTTGTGCTTTAACTACTGTTTTGGAAATTAATTGTACAAATTTGTAGTTCTATAACTGAAATTACAAGAGAATACATAGTTCCAGTTTACATGACAATTGGTGTTAGTTTCTTGGAGATTTGGCTATATGATTTAAGATAGGTCCACTACCATGCATTGCGTATGACATCTGTCATTTATCACATCCACTCAGGATTTGAGCTCGTCAAGAATCACAGAACTTTTTGGTTCCTTTGATGTTTTGACAGGAGTTGTGCAGGTCGAATACTAGGTGTTTTTTTTGCTGAGGATGGAGGAGAGTCTATAAAAGATGGCTTCTCCATGATAGACAAGTTTTCCACCATGATCATGGGAAAGAAACTCTTGTGAACTGTGAGTTTGGTCGAGGATTTGGTGGTAGAAAACCAGTTCCACTAGTTATTGGAATGAGGATGACAAAAAAAAAAAAAAAAAAAAAAAAAAAAAAAGGGACTAGCTGCATGTTGAGATCAAGATATCAGACTTGGTGATATGCTTACTTTACTAATAACCAAAATCAGAACACGACGTAGCGATTATAAAATATTCATCCTTAAAGAACTAAACAGTGCAGATGGATCTGTTATTTCATCCATATCATTTGACATTTAATTTGACAGAAGATCTGATTGTCCAATCTGATAACTCAAAATAAACATCACCAAAGAACTGAATACCATGTTGGGTAATCATTCTCCTGTTCAAATTTTTATTTTAATGAAACTAACAAATTTTTGCATTTAAATACTATTTAAAATTCTCATTAATTTCCTTAATTTGGTAATTCTTTTCTTAGAACAAAGGTCGCAGCATGTGCAAAGCATTATGTGGGTGATGGTGGAACAATCAAAGGACAGAACGAGAACAACACTTTAATAAGCAGGGAGGGATTGCTACATATCCACATGCCAGCTTACTACAATTCAATTATGAAGGGTGTCGCAACTGTTATGGTATCCTACTCAAGCTGGAATGGGATAAAAATGCATACCAACCATGATCTTATCACTGGCTTTCTTAAGAACACTTTACGTTTCAGAGTAAGTCATTTCTTGTATGAATTCAACGTGTGTGTGTGTGTGTGTGTGTGTGTTCTCTCTCATTGAAGAGAAATTAAACTAATCAAGTATGAACTATGAATTGTTCCAGGGTTTTGTCATTTCAGATGCAGGGGGTGTGGATCTGATCACTACTCCACCTCACGTTAACTACTCGCATTCCATTAAAGTTGCAATTAATGCCGGCATTGACATGGTCAGTCCTCTGTGGATTGATTTTCGTGCTTGATAGTAATATTCTGACTGAAAATTTAAAACTATCAAAAAGTTTCCTTTCAATAGAAAAAATTTAGTCAATTTGTTAACCATGCATTCATATAGTGTTGCGGACTGGTTGCAGGTCATGGCTCCCTATAACTATAAAATATTAATTGATGACCTAACGTTCCTGGTGAAGAATAAATCCATTCCCATGAGCCGAATTGATGATGCAGTGAAGAGGATTTTGAGGGTCAAATTTGTGACGGGCATGTTTGAGAATCCATTTGCTGATCTTAGCCTCGCCAAGTACATAGGAAGCCAGGTCATTCTGTTAGTTGGTTACTTCGGAGTTTTTTTTGGATCTCCTTGGTGCAAAATGAAAGAATAAATAAAACTCTTACTTGAACAGGAGCACAAAGAATTGGCTAGGGAAGCAGTGAGAAAATCTCTTGTGCTACTTAAGAATGGTGGCAAATCTGCCAAGTCATTGTTACCCCTTCCTAAGAAGGCATACAAAATACTCGTTGCAGGAAGCCATGCAGATAACCTTGGTTACCAATGTGGTGGGTGGACAATCACATGGCAGGGACTTGGTGGCAATGGCCTCACAACTGGTACAATTACTATCACCCTTTTCGACTGTCTAGTTACGGGTTCATACTCTTTATGCACATAGGCATTCAGCATTTATTTATTTAATTTTTTATTTAAATTTTTTTTTTTTTTTTTTTTTTCTGGTTGATCTTCCAATACATTTGACCTTTTCACGAGCAGGTACCACAATCCTCACTGCTATAAGAAACACTATTGATCCAACAACTGAACTCATCTATAAAGAGAACCCTGATGCTGAATTCGTCAAGTCCAACAAATTCTCCCATGCAATCGTTGTAGTGGGAGAACCCCCCTATGCAGAGGGATATGGTGACAGCTTGAATTTGACAATCCCTGACACCGGCCTGAGCACCATAAAAAATGTATGTGGAGCTGTGAGATGTGTTGTCGTCATCATCTCTGGCCGTCCTGTAGTTATTCAACCATATCTTGCCACAATTGAAGCCCTTGTAGCTGCTTGGCTTCCTGGAACTGAAGGTCAAGGTGTTGCAGATGTTTTATTCGGTGACCATGGTTTCACCGGCAAGCTCGCGCGGACTTGGTTCAAGACTGTTGATCAGCTCCCAATGAATGTTGGGGATCCACATTACGATCCCCTCTTTCCATTTGGATTTGGACTCACTACCACACCTACTAATGTGTAGTGTGAGTACTTTGTTTATGACAAATCACTCCCATCCAATGGCTTTTTAATTAGTGCTTACTATTTAACATTAGTATAGAAAGCGTGTGAGGACGGACCAACCACATTGTAGTCTCTATGTAATAAAGGCACTGTATATCTACAAGTGCGTAAATCATTATAATCCAACGATGAAAGCTGAATTTATGCAACAAAAGCCCAATCTCTAATTGGTGTGAAAAATATTATATCATTGGATCAATATGGTAAAATTAGGCAAAACTATACTCTAGTATTTCATACAGGGGATTACTGGGATATCACAGATTTGAAATATGCTCCTCGATCCAATTTTGAGACTTGAGACTGAACCAGCCAGGTAGAAAAGCTCCTTCAAATCTGCTGATTTCTGCAACTGTATTCAATGCGCACTTGCAGAACATGGCCTCTTACCATCTAGGATCGTGACCTATTCAGCTGAGTTGTTTTTCCAAAAACTACTGCTGCCTAACGGGACTTGAACCCTCACCTTAAACCTTAGAAGGCTGATGATATACCACTAAACTAGAGTCTTTGGTGGCATGTCCGTTTTAATTTACCACTTGCATTGTCAATACAAGCAAAGCTCAACAATACGAAATAGTATCAAATGCAGTATAAATTATCTGAACCCTCATTCCTCAACTACTTTACCCAAGTACCCTGTATATCAATCAAGCCCTAAGAAAAAAAACGGCCAACAAATAACACTTGGCATTAGACTTTGACTAGTAGTAAAGATGGATAGTTTTTCATGCTTCAGAATATAAGAAGGGTAGAACATGAGATTTGCATACTTACAGAACATTTCATTTCTTCACCAGCTTAAGAAGTACTATATTTTATATTACACAAAACCATAGATAAGTACAAACAAGATATGTAACAAAATTGCCAAAAGTGCAGTAGAAAGTGTCTACCACATACTGCTATGCCACCTTGTCTGTGGCCACTTCCGTTTCTTTGAGCTTCTCTTCTGTATCTTTGGGCTTCTCAGCGGTGACTTGACTCTCACCCTCGGCTTCTTTAATCAGCTTCATGATGTCAGCCTTTTTCTGTTGGAGGGCTACCAGTTTGGCGTCGATCTTCTCTAATTTCTGTTTCAGCTTGCCATGATCCTTGCCCTTGCTTTTGTCCTCGAGTTTCCTTTTCTTTTCACACTTGTCCTTCTTGTCCTTCTCTTTCTTATCCTTACCATTCTTTCCCTTTTCTTTTTGTTTTCCATCTGCTTGACCATCTGATTCTTTCTCATTTTCATTTATTTTAATGTCCCTTGAGGTAACTTCACCTTTGCCCTTCTTCTCATCTACATCCTCCTCCTCCTGCTTCTTATGTTTCTTTTCTTTATCTTTCTTCTTCTTCTTCACCTCTTCTTTATCTTCTTCTTCTATTTCCTCATTGGATTGTTCCCCCAACCCCTCCTTGTCCTTGACCTTTTTTTCTTTATCCTTCTTCCCTTTCTTGTCTGTTTTCTTCACTTCATCTTTCTCATCATCTTTATGCTTCTTCTTCTTCTTTTCCTTATCTTCATCTTTGCATTCCATTGTTACTTCATCTTCCTTCTTCTCTTTCTTTCCTTTTTCCTTTTTCCCTTTTTTCTCTTCCTCTTCCTCTTCATCTTCTTTATCCTCCGAATCCCCAACTTCATCCTTCTTCTTCACCTCTACTTCCTCTTCCTCCCCTGCATCATCTTTCTTCTTCTTCGTTTTTCCCTTCTCCTTGACTTCCTTATCTTTTTCCTCTTCTTTCTCCTTCGACTTTCTAGGTTCCTTTTTCTCCTCTTTCTCTATCTCTTTCTGCTCCTCCTCGTCATCATCTGTTTTCTTCTTCTTCTTTTGTTCTTTCTCCTTGCATTCCTTATCTTTGTTCTCTTTCTCATGTTTTCCCTTAGACTTTGGTTCCTTCTTTTTCTCCTCTTTCTCTTTCTGCTCGTGATCATCATCTTTCTTCTTCTTCTTCTCCTTAACTTCCTTATCTTTTTCCTTCGCCTTTGGTTCCTTCTTTTTCTCCTCTTTCTCTTTCTGCTCCTCATCATCATCTTTCTTCTTCTTCTCCTTAACTTCCTTATCTTTTTCCTTCACCTTTGGTTCCTTCTTTTTCTCCTCTTTCTCTTTGTGCTCCTCATCATCATCTTTCTTCTTCTTCTTCTCCTTAACTTCCTTGTCTTTTTTCTCTTTCTTCTCCTCTTTTTCCTTTGATTTTGGTTCTTTCTTTTTATCCTCTTTCTCTATCTCTTTCTGCTCATCATCATCATCATCTTTCTTCTTCTTCTTCTTCTTCTCTTTCTCCTTATGTTTTTTCTCATTGCTTTCCTTGCATTTTGGCTGCTCTTCCTTCAGTGATTTGGTCTTCACTTCAAGCTCCATCTCAGTCTTTTCCTCCTTCGCTTCACTTGGTTCTTTAATCTTGCTCTCAACTTCGAGATGAACTTCTTCCTTCACCTTTTTTTCTTCTCCTTTAACAATAGCTTCAGACTTGTCCGCCATCTCAAGATTTTTGGCCACAATATGTAACCTTTCTTGCTTTATTCCAAATTATCTGAAAAAATAAAAATGCAAAAGATCAAAAAATAAGCTATAATAAAATGCAAAAGATTAAAAAAAAATAAGCTAAGGGACCATTAATAAAGTCTGCTTCTGTTAAATATAAAGGAGAGAGAAAGGTACATGTATTAAAACGTACATGTATTGAACTATTGATGTATGAGTATGAGATACAAAAGGGTTTATATAGGTGACGAGATGTGTGGAGAGAGTAAGAAACCTAAATCCTATATGGTAAACCTATACATGGTTATAATATATTCTATACAATATGTTAATAATATATTCTATAATATGTTCTAACACGTTCTTACACCTGAATATAGGATAAACGCCTAAAATTAGGTGTACGAAATGAAATCTGGAAAGTATCCTAGAAAACTGAAAAATATAGTAATAATATATTCTACAATATATTACATAAATATGTTTCCCAGTCATTGTGGATCTGTTTGGCACAGTTCCTAGAAACCGTCTTCTGTTCTCAGATTACAGAGGGCAGATAACAAGGTCGAAAATAGTAGTGCAGTGATGGACTAATTTAACTTTAATTGTGTCATAAAATTAAATTAATAAAGTTTCCTGAGCAGAGAGAGCAACCCCTAAGTTGATATTCAATCAGATTCATATACAAGTTGAATTAACCGGAGATTGAAGAACACAACAAGTTGTTAAGACTCCGTTTGGTTGTGGAGAAATTATATAAATATAAAAGAATATACGAAAAATAAATAAATAAAACAGCTAGAATACTTCCCAGTTTTCATATCGGTTCCCAAAATTAATTTTACCAACAGCCAAACAGATCATATCTAACTAATTTAATCATACGATCATATCCAAAATCTAAAGGAAAAAAAAAAAAACCAGCTAGGATACTTCCCAGTTTTCATTTCGGTTCCCAAAATTAATTTTACCAACAGCAAAACAGATCATAAATCATACGATCATATCCAAACTCTATTAGAAAATCAAGCAATAAACGTGACAAAATTAGTATATACACACACAATCAGGTATATATTAAGAAAATTGAAAGGGAAGCGAACCTGTATGTATAGTGTATATAAGTGATGAAACTTGCAAGCTCCACTCCAGACAATGATATTTGATGCAGATCTTTCGGCGACTTCACAATCAGATTAGAGATACACGAGGAAAGATCCAAGGGCTGGAGTACTTATAGTAGATTTTTGGAGATTTGATAATGTTATCCGTCGAGGACATAAAGTAGGTGACGCGGCATATTATGGGGAGTTGAGACTGTGATATAATTGGCTGTGAGGCGTAAACGCGTGCCAGTCGGTAATATAGTTGCGGTGTTGCTTCAATAACAATTTTTGGGGAACTTCGTGGTTAAGGAACCAGAGAATAACTACGAGTCTCTTTCCGTGTGGGAGAGGAGTCAAAAGTCAAATCCAATTCCGCAACTGCTAGCTAGTAGCCCCCACTCGGCGCGTGGCGTACGCGTCCGGCAGCTGGATGATTCACCCATGACACGTGTCTTCTACGAGTGTAGTGGCGAGTATGGGTGGGCCTGATCCATCTTAGAAGAATCTGACCCATCACCTACAATAAATGGATCACTGTTGCCCAAATAGGCCCGTTTCTCAGCCCATTTTTCTTCTTGGTCCCTATTCTAATATTAAATCCTGTTTCAACACAAAATATATATGTGTATATATATAATTTTTCCTAATTACACACACACATCTCTTCTAAGATTTAAAACCCTGATCTCCCTTTGAGAAGTAAGAGGCTGATACTGCTAAACTATTGACTGTTGGTTCAACACAAAATATTTGTTAAACAGTAAAAAAAAATGCCTTAGAACTAGGATTCAATTAATGTGTTAGAAAATTTTTAGGGCACACTATAGTAGGATAAGAGTCTAGGGGTGCCCATCGTTCGGTTTGGATAGGTTTAAGAATTTTTTGGAACCAAATCAATTTTAACGAATTCATAAAATTTGGAACCGAACCGAACCATTTGACCAAAAGAACCAAACCAAACCAAACCAAATCGAGAAAAAACAGTTCGGTTCGGTTCGATTCAGTTCGGTTCCACGGTTCCTTTTTTTTTTTTTTTTTTTTCTTTCTTGTTACAGAAGTATTCGTATTTCAAAATCCACATGCACAACTATAAAGTATAAATTATTTTACCAACACATTCAGAACTATTAATATATTTGGAACTTTTAATTCATTATTCTCTAGCACTTCTAGAATAAATTCAAAATTACTAATAATCTAATACATTTAGAATTATTAATTCAACAACAAACAATCAACCACAATTCAAAATTCAGCCACTATAAAAATAATAATAATAATAAATCATGTAATAAATTGATAAGACTTAAAAAAATTAAGAGTGGACCATAGGATTAATAATTGCTACAAACTTCTAAGTAATTTGAATTGTAGAATTATATTATATTATATATACCGTATAATTTAACATTATATAAATATATATACATACATATATAAAACATAACGGTTCGGTTCGGTTTAGTTCAGTCCTAAAGGACCTCGAATCATAACTAAACCGTATCTTTACGATTTTACAAATTTAGAACTATGACCAAATCAAACTATTAGTAAACCAAACCAAACTGTCCCGTCCAGTTTGGTCCGTTTTGGATTTTCAGTTTTGACCAAATTTTTGTGCACCCCTGAATAAGACACAAGGGGAAACATAGTTGTCTAATACTAACATTATTTGCGCAAAAATAACTATTTTTGAAATTTGAAAACATTAATAAAATGTAGGGTTAATTTCAATGACACTCGGTTTGGCCAAATATCACGTTGAAATATCTTTCAAAAATTACTATCATTTAGGTCTAATTTTACATTTCCTTCATTGCCCCTAAATTTTTTAATTAAAATATTAACAAATTGAAATGACAAAATTGCCCTTGTCTATCATATATGGCACTAACCCACCACTCCTTAGGGTCCATTTGGTTAGTTAAAAATTGATGATGGAAAGTAAAAGAAAGGAAAGTGAAGTGACAAAAAAAGAAAATTAGTTTTCTATTGTGCATTTGGTTACCAAGAATTTTTTTGAAGAAACTTGTGAGAAAATGTTGTTTAATTAGTTTTGATAGCAAGAGAATGAAAGGAAAATGATTTTATATGTCAAAATTACCCTTATGAATTTAATAATAAAATAAAAATAATATATATAATTAAATAATAATAATATTAGTAAAATAATATATACAATTAAATTACCCTTATGAATTTAATAATAATAATAATAGTGATAAAATAATGTATATAATTGGATTTATAAATAAATATATATGTCTAGATATGTATGTGTCTCTTTATATCGTTATTTTTTTTTTATTTTTTGAAGTTTTCATTTTATATTAGGACTCTGCTATTAGATTAGTTTACTTTATTTTGTAGGTGTAATCAAGAATTTTAATTTCAAGAGTAAAAGAGTTGTAATCAATTTAGGAGTATTAATTTGTGTAAGAAAACTTTCCTTTTGTGAGTATTAAGAAACAAAAAGAAATATTTTACACAAGGCTATAAGAGGAAATTAATATATAATGATATAACTTTCACGCGAAACTAAAATTTTTGCGTGTTTCATAGAGGAAACATTTTAAGGAAAATCAAACAGCTGCGGGAATATTATTTTCCTGAAAACTTTTCTTTTCACGCTAACCAAACGACTAAAAATTTTAAAAAATTTATGTTTCTTTTCCTTCCTCGCTAATTCACGCTAACCAAACTAACCCTTAGGAGCTATGTGACGTTTTCTCCTCCTTGGCATTGTCAACTTAATTTTGATTTAGATTAGATAATGGGCATTTTGTAGATGATACGTTTTTTTTTTTTTTTTTTTTCTGGAAAATTAGTTTATATCATATTTTGTTTAGAATAAGTCACATAAAACTTCTGGGTTTTTTTTTGATAATTGTTTAGTCTCATTTTAAAGTATAAAAAGTGATAGAAACTCTACTAGATTTTTGTTATCAATTATGTGACCGTCATTAAGATAAATGTTGTAAGCAAAACGTATACTAAATAATTTAGTATGAATTTTTTTTAAAAAATAGATAGGTTTTTTATTATTCTTAATACGAAATCTTGTAAGAAAATAAGAGACTGTTTAGTTGAAATCTTGCCACCTTTAATATGAGATCTTGGAAGAAAATAAGAGTCTGTTAGTTGAAAAAATTTCAAATAGATAATTTTTTAAAAAAAATAAAAAATTTCCACAATAGTAAAACTTGAACCCTGTACTGTATTTCCCTTTTTTTGGACTACAGAATTCCACTTTTTAGGGACTTAAACCCTCTACCATATTTATTAACCTTGTGTAGACGGCCTATTACAAGAATCAGTATTCCATTAATATTGATGGTTGTAAGAGTTCTTGTTGAAAACCAACTAATTGGAGTCGGCCAAAAAAATCAATTCATGGTAGGCTACTCTCAAGTCTCGACATTAGCAATTAATAGTGGATTGTGAGGTCTTAACTTTTTGAGTGTCCCAGTGTATGAATAGAACTAGGAAATCAAAGTAACTTGGTTACTAAACATCTAACTATGAAAAGTCTATTTAAGTAGGTAAACTAATGTGCTCTCTTTCCTCCTTCGATCTTCTTCATTTTTGGGTTTAATTTTCACTTGAAACCGGGTAGTTATGTCATTTTATATTTAAAATAATATTTTTTAAAATTAGCACAAAGTCAAAAGGGTAGCAATATCATTTTATATGCAAAATGTATACGGACATTATTAAAAAATAATGTTTAAAGTGTGAATAAAAAACGGACCAAACATTTATAAAGTGAATAATAACAATTTTTTAAAAGCATTTCAATTTAATATTTGATCAACCTGGAAGGTGTGAATGAAATTTATCCTAAAATTTACTCCACCAAGACTGGGGTGACACTTCAGTTATAACTTTTCCTTTGTCTTATTATTGACTTCTGTTCTACAAAGAAATTGAAGAATGGGTGTGTATCAGAGTTTAAGTGAGCTTGATCCTAGCTAATCGCTGCCTCGTTGAAATATGTCGCAACTCGATAGCTTTTTCAACTACGTGGAGGTTTGAAGGTAAGCGGCAGTGATTGAATTAAAGATTACTTAATAAGCAACGGCTGTTGACAGGTTGGGATTGGGATTGGCGGACGTTAGGAGTGTTAAGTAAGATAGAATTGTGGGACCCACTTCGTTCAGCCTACGTGCTTAATGGGCAAATGGGACCCACTTCCAACTCATAAATGCATTCTTCGCCGCGGACCTTTTCCATCAATCTCCTTCCCGTGGGAACCACATAAATCCTTACGTTATTCCGGTACAACAACCGAATTATGATTACATGTCATAGAGGAAGGTAATTTTCCTTTTATAAAAAAATAATAATAATTAGTGTTCCGAGTGCTTTAAAACAACTCATAATGTACCCACTAATACACTTCATACGCGGTAGGGTTCAAAATTTGTGATTGTTGATAATTATAATCGTTTGGTGTGTCGATACAAGACTATTGTATTAAATAATTTAATTTGAATATTATCTCGTTTAATACTTATATTATGAATTTTTAATATTAATCCGATCTATTTATTAAACGGACAACAATTGTAATTTGTTTAATGACTTATTTATTAAAATAAATTTTTTATTATTTAAATTATTAATATAGTTAATCAAATAATAAATACTAAAAAAATATAAATTTTAATTCAACCAAATTACTAAATAGTATCTAATTTATAAAAGAATAAATTATAAGACATAAGTATAGATAGTTATTTTGTAAGTTAAATATAAATTTGTTTATGACACATAGTTAAACAGGTTTCACAACTAAATGAGTTAATCGTGTCAATTCGTTTACGAATCGAATTCGTTTAAAGTCAACACAAACTCGTTTAACTTGTGTCGTAATTGAGCCGTGTTAGTGATCGTGTCAAACTTTGCCACCCTTAATTATTGTTCCCTCCTTTTTAATTTAATTGTTCATCTTTCTTTTTTTAAGTTGTCCCAAAACATTTATCCACTTAAAAGTTCAAACACCATATTTCATATATTTTCATAAACTATCTTCAAAATAAAAAAATAAAAAAAAAATCATTTTTTAAAAATAAAATCAATGTTAATTTTTTATATATTCAAATTTAGAATAGTAACTTAATAATTTTTTAAAAGGACAATACAATAATTACAACGTCCCTTTAAAAAGCTTTACTCCTCAAACGGAACATCTAACACGGGACAACTTAAAAAAATCATTTTTTTAAAATAAAATGATTTTTAAAATAAAATCAATGTTTTTTTTATTGTGGTCTCCAGAATATACTAATTTTTTTGTTGTAAAATGTGAAAGGTAAACCTTTCACTAAAATGTGTTGTGAGACTCATATATGTCTTAAAAAAAAAAAAAAAATCTTATCACTAAAGTATTAACAATGTATTTCTGACCTTAGAATGTGACGTGTTACGCGTGACTTTTACCGCTGCTATCACTTTGAGGTTCTTAATGTGTGTATATATATATATTTTAGTATTATTATTATTATTATTATTTTGTTGATAAACCAAAAGCTTATAACTAAATCCTTAGAAAATTTAAAAGAAGGGTAAGAACTTTAAAATTTAAATTCAAACATCCATTTTTCGGATTTGTAAGAATAGACATTCATTCTTAATTCTAAGTTGTAAAAGAATCCTAACTTTTAGATAACTAACGGGGCATTTGGTGGATTGCAAGCATAAATTTTAAATAATTTCTTATACTTTATTATTTGAAATTCAATTATCCATGTTGTTTAAATATAATCAAATTTGTTAAATCTAAATTTAGATTATATTAACTTAAATCAATATATTTTAAATTCTTATATATAACTTGAGCATTAAGTCATGATGTAATACACATTTTGTCAATTTTATTATTTAATGTGTATTCTTGAAAACTTATGTCTATTAAAGGAGCTTTTAAATGAAAATTAATTATTGTAAGACTTTATGAAATCTATTTTTATGTATCTTCTTTAGTAGGTTGTAACTATTTAGATTGGAAATGATACTTACATTAAAGGAATAAGGAGATTTGTTTAACATAATATATCTGGTTGTTATAATGGATGGACACTTGTTCATTTATCCACATATTGATACACATTTTAATTCTCATCTAAATTTGAAGTGGGACAAGTTCCACTTGTAACATTCTTTCTTATCCGAATCCAGCTAACACCCTCGTTACGATTAGGCCACCCTATCTATCATGGGTGAAAATCCGAACGCCATTTGGACCGGGTGCTTGGCATGATACCGGATCAAGGATTGGATTTGACTCTGATACCAATTGTAACGAGTAGGTGCTTGCCCATTAACCAAAAAACTTAACCCGTTGAGTAACGATACATATCTACCCATTTATAAACATTTTAATTCACATCTAGATTTTACTTGTCTTTTTGTGTCACATGAATTCTACTTAACAAATCCATTATAAGTATCACGACTCATTTAGATTTACTTGAACTTAAAGAAATCTAAAAGTGTGGCTATTTAATTTTATGCCAAATTATTTATTACATATCTAAAAGACAAATAATATGAACTAAAAAAATATTTAAAAAGTACCCACCCAACTTAAAACTAAAAATGACATAATCTTAAAACTTTATTTACTTTCCACCTAGAATGTATGTAATGCCATAAAGAAATTACTTCATTTAATTGGAGCATTAGCGAATACTAAGTTTTTTATACATGAGTTACATAATTCTTCTGAATGAGTTTTGCTCTCAAACTTCATTACATAAATTGGTACTTAGAGCAAATTCTTCCTCAGAATTCAATTTTGTTAATTATCGAATTCAATTTATGAATCATAAAATTCATAACGATTTCTCATTTAAATAATATATTTTTACAAATAATATATAATAAATATATATTTCTTACGTATCATTTTTTAAGAAATAAAAAATTTATTACAATTTTTGTATTTTAAGTATAATTAATATTATAAATAAGATTATATAATTTAAAAATATTTTCTCGTGCTATTAAATATATTTTTATTATTCCATAAGGTATAGCGGTCATTAACATAGGTACTAATATGAAAAATATTTTATACATATACATATATTTAGTAGCACATAAGTGTACGAGCACTCTGGGCGGACGGTGTATGCCCGGAGGTATTTGCGCCCAATAAACATTTATGGTAATATATATATATATATATATTAATTTTTTTTTTGTTCTTTTCTCTTTCACTCTTCTAAAGTTAATTTTTTTCCTTCTAAATTATGTCATTTATCTTTCATATTTTTTTTTATTTTTTTTTGTTTTCTTTCTTCTTTTTTTCCCCTTCTACTTCTTTAAATTCTTATTTTTTATGTTTCTTTTTCATATATTCTCTCTATCACTTTTTTTTTTTCTCCCTTGACATTGTGTCCCTAAATTTTAAATTTTCTCTCTTCTAGGCTCTCGCTTTATGTGGCTTTATTTTAGGCAAACTTTTTAACTTTGTTCAATTCTCATACGTATGATTTGTAAATATTTGGATTTTATAATTAATCTAAGAGTTCAAATTAATTAACGGAGGAATTAATATTTCTTAAAAGTTATAAATAAAAAACTTAGTATAACTCTGATTTTAAAATATTTTTTATTTAGAAAGAGATTAATTATACCAAATTGACATGTCTTTGTAAAAAATACTCCATCTTCATAATTTAAGTGTTGCTTTTGGAGAGTAATAATTTTTAAGGGGACATGTGAAATATGAATTGTCTTTCTTGAAAACTTAAAATTTAAAAAACATATATAAAAAAATATAAAATATATTATTTAAAAAAAGAAAGTAAATAATTATTTGAAAAAAATAAAATAAAATTTATTATTTAAAAAAGGAAAGTAAATAAAATATATTATTTAAAAAAAGAAAGTAAATAATTATTTGAAAAAAATAAAATAAAATTTATTATTTAAAAAAGGAAAGTAAATAATTATTTGGGACCCAAAAAGGAAAGTACAGAGGGAGTATAAATACTCCCATGTACATGCCGTTACGGAATCACGGTGAGTCCACTGATCTTTCTAATTCTCTTTCCTCGTCATCGTTTCAACAGAGAGATACACTCTCGGGTTTCTCTCTCCTTGGTTGTCTCTCGGGTTTCTCTCTCCCGGAAACCCTTAGACCTGGTTTTTACAAAATACACCAAAAACCAGGTCTCCAATCCTAGAAAGACAAACTCTTGTTCTGTCTTTCCTTTCTCTCTCTCTCTAAACCCACCAAACAACTCGTTGTTTTCTCCTATATTTTCTTCAACTTCCACCTCGCCTCCTCTCAACAGCTCTCCAACATGAACGACCTTTTAACGGTAATTTTCATCCCCTTTTCCCTTAGAATTGCTTTTCTCAATGTGTTTGTTTGCTGAGAAAACGCAGAAAAAAAAGAGAAGAAAAAAATCAAGTTCCGAATCTCTCTCACACACACATATATGTTGTGTGGTAGACTTAATTAATTGATAATTTGAAATAGGCTTGTTTGACGAATGCATCTAAAGACAAAAAACACAAGACTAACAAATTTAGGATGTTATATTTTTGTAGGATTTCTCAGCAACCAATGTAGCATTAATGAAATCTTTAATATTGGTTTTGGATCTCGTTTAATTCCGCTACAACTGTTGGCAAATTAGCTCCAACAAATTTATTTATTTATTTATTTTTTTAATTTGTTTCTAATGTTCTAACCAATTTAGATCTTTACGTTTTAATTTGTCTTTTTTTTTTCCTGTTCCTTTCGTCTCTGATTCAGATCTGTTGCTTCAATTTGTGAACATGATCTATATTATGCATTTATAGTTCTTATTGTGATTTATATCTCTAACATCATTTTTCATTTACTCACAGTTTACTGCTTTAAGGTGATTTGGTTTCAATTAATTATTAATTATATATATAATTAGTACAAATATTGTTAAAATCAATATCCCATGTTAGATCAATTGTAGGTCTTTTGAATCTAGTTATAAGATAGGATCTAGAATAGCATATTTTAAAGTATGAGAAAGCTAGTACTTTTTTTATTTTTTATTATTTTTTAAGGGTTCTTGTAGTGAATAAGCCTGAACACATGAAAGATCGAAAATTATAGAATTTAATTTAACACTTTAAGTACCTAGTTTCCAAGGGTCCATCCTTACAGTTGTAATATACATTAGTACTCACCCAGAAGTTGTCTGCATAAAAAATTTCAAATACGGCTAATTGTGACAACCATTGCAATATTATATATAAATTATAAGATGAATAATTCATTAGATTACAATCATCACTTATTATTTATTAATGGTCAAATGCAGCATGAAAAAATTAAATAACTTTTTGTCTTTTTGTGCCATCTGCTGTAGAATTTTAAATCTTTCCAAGTACAGCTTATTGTGGACTCGACTTTCTTTCACATGACCACAAAATCTAAGCTTATTTGAGACATTGCGATGCTTCTACATATTTTTGTGGCATCCTCGTAAATACTGGGGAGCTAGACCAACATCTTTTTTCGCTTCTTGGCATGTCCTCGCAAACTTTCAAAAGGAATTAGCCATCTTCTTGTTCTTATTTGTAATTTTCTTTTATATATCACATGATATATTTTGCAGCATTCCTTTGAGATTCCCCGGGGTCAAGCTTCAACGGATGGCGATATCGAAATGGGAACAAATCATCCAGCGAATTCAGGAGAACTAGGCTTGGACAAATTTTTTAAGCAGGTGGCGTCAACTTATATTAGCTACTCCTTGGTTGACTAAGCAAGAAGAATTGTCATTTTCTCTTGATCGGCAATCCTCTTTCCTTCATATTTCCTTAATTTTCTCTGCGTATTGAATTTAAGAGCATGTTTAAATCATCTTTCGTCTGATGTCATCGAGTGATGTCTTTGTTTGTTTCTTTGCTAGGTTCAAGATATTGACAAACAATATGATAAGCTGAATAAGCTACTCAGAAAGCTCCAGGTATGGGTTTTGCTCCCCTTTTCTCCCTTTTACTGGTTAATTTGTCAGTTGGCAGCTTTTCATGACGAATTAGCTAAATGTTTCATAATACGGGGAAAGGATCTTCATCCTCTTCTCTATTTCTTTCTCTTAGTTTCTCTCCCCCTTTATGAGATTGAATCAAGTGAGGGACATATTGCAGTACAGTAAAATTGTAATCTTTTTATGCATTCACATTATTTCTCCAAGTTTTGTGGTGTAAGCATTTCTCAATGCAATGTTGTGTTGATCATGGATGAAACATCTTGAATTGAAAGGCGTTGAGTTCATCTTTTGAAACGTGCCATAGCTTCACATCATTCATTTGAGTTGTTACACTTTGTAAATCCTCTGGATTGGTCTGTTCTTGTTGGTGTTCTAGAATTTTAAATATGTTTTTAGCACCAATACATTTAGTTTTTGGTAGTTTAAATTATGTGGAAATTCTCTCTCTCTCTCTCTCTCTATTTATCTTTGGTTTCAATTTTATGCATTTATCATGTGATGGGTTCTGCTTTAGAAAATTATTTGTACACTTTCACTTTATTTAGGTAAAGATTTTGTTCTTACAGTTAGAGATGACAATTCAACCTGAATATTAGTGGCCTCAACATTGTGGTCAAAATGTTGCTTACCAAATGTGAACATCTTAATTACTAGTGATACATTTCGGAATTGATGTGTCCATTGACCTGAATCTTTGATTAATTATCTTGCAAATCGTGTATGCAGGATGCCCATGAGGAATCTATGGCTGTCACCAAAGCTGCCGCCATGAAAGGTAATCCGCTTTTGTTGCATTTCTGTTTATATGAATTCAAATTGGCATCTGCACAAATGGAGTAATATCTTTTAAATAATGACTGTTAATTAGTCCTTTGCTTTTGTTGTAGTTGATGTAAAATTTTGTTTCACTTGTTAAAGTCTGCGGAAAGATCATAAGATCCATTGTTGTGACCATGCAAAATAGCAATCATATAAAGTGCTTCCATAATCATGGCATGCGCAGTTTTTTAAAGTTTCTTTATTGGATTTATATTGATGTATAAAGGTTGTAAATGTTAATGTTGTGGGACTTGATCCTTTCCTTAAGATGGTTATTTTAAAGAATATGCATATGTAATATTTCTGTATCGCAAAACTGTTAATGAACTTCTAAAAGCATCTGGGGATGCTTGTAATCTTTAACTAAACTTTTAAGCATAACATTGTATGCTTACTCAACTTCATGAATTGTGTCAAAATAGAAATAAACAATTTAGTTGCATGAGTATTGTAAACAAGTCATTTGTTGTCTGCCACAAATGTTTTACCACCCCCATCTGAATATTTTTGTCACTCGGGTTTCAATATTATAAGGGGACACGGATTTAATACACTATGCCCTTTTGAAATTCCAAAACTACCCATTTAAGCTTAGAAGTTCATATTGTTGGTTGGGAAAAGTTTTTAAAAAAGGATATTTTGGGAAATAAATAAGAACTTTCTACATTGACTTTTCAAATGAGACATGAATTTTGGAACATTCTGAAATGGAAAAAGAGACAAGAATCTTGGGACAGGGAAGTATTAATTAAGCATTAATATTGATTGCTTGTTCTCAATATAAAACCTTCCTGATATAGGAGAAATAGAAATCTACTTGGACTTATTGACTAAAAGCCACTTCAATCATTTCTACCTTGACCAGGATGACTATAACATACCAATTAATATCTATTGAGAGAGACAGAGAGAGAGAGCTGTTATTTTTCATACAGAGATATTTGCATGTATGCACATCTTCGTGTAAAAAGTATATATGTACATTTATCATCTGTTACTTTATTTTATTTTTTTAAATACATGCATAAACACTTTTGTCTGTATAGATGAATTTTCATTAATTTAAAATTTACTTAATTTTTTAAGTTAGGTTATATAGGATTATTATAAATTAGATATTATATTTATATTTATTGCGTATCTCACCTAACCCTGGTAGATCTCCTAAATATCATATTGCACCTCTGAAAATAGGAATATACTGTGATACCTACACATGTTGAAGCTCAGCATGCTAATTGAACAATACTACAAAGGTTTATCCATCTAAAATTTGGTTGCTATTTTTATCTGAGGCATGGACAATATTTTAATGATTTTTATGTATGGATCTGAATCAGGAACCACTCTATTTGCTGAAATTTATATTATTTGTCTTTTTCCTCTTTTGCATCCCAGTTTTGCATGGAAAACCATTTTACATTCTCTCATGTTCTTTGTCAATTCATTAAAATATAAATATATTTGCAATTGTTTTGAACCTCAATAATCTTGATTGATCCTATCATGATCTCCAGCAATCAAGCAACGAATGGAGAAAGATGTTGATGAAGTTCAAAAAATTGCTCGTTTTATTAAATCAAAAATTGAGGAGCTTGACAGAGAGGTAAGACCATATACTGCTTCTTTCTAGTAATTTTGGGTCATTTGGTCTTCTTATATGATGATCTCGAAAAAATTTTGTTCCAGAATTTAGCAAATAGGCAGAAGCCTGGATGCGGGAAAGGAACGGCGGTAGACCGATCAAGAACATCAACAACACTGTAATTTAGACTCCATTTCCATTTGCCTCTTTATTTTTGCTGAATGACCACGAATAATTTGCATCTTGAAGTTTTGCCTGGCACAGACAAATTAATATTTGTAACAATCAAATGGTGATTTCATTGTATTTCATGCAGCCTAGGTTTACTTCAAATTTCTAGAGATTTTGGAAGAATTTATGTGATTCAAATTTAAGCTACCAATCAATTAATATGCATGAACAACAAATAGAAATGAAACGAATGGGTATTAGTCCTGATGGTATGATCTCTCCTCCCCTTTGGGGAGATTGAGTGTTCAAGCCCTGCTAGGGGCAATATTTTAGTTGTGTGCATTAGCTTGAACTTAAAAAAATAAAATAAAAAAATTACCAAATAGAAACGAAGGAAGAAAATTCAGGTTAAGTGGAGTAATAAGTCAAGACTGATTTATCAAATCAACTTCATTAGATAAGACTTAATATGATCACAAGCACAACCAATACCTAAACAGCCCACTGAATACAACAAAATTATGAAATTGAACTACTAATGAATTAAGTGACATCCAGATTGATAGTCGGAGTTACCTTGATGGAAATTAACATTCATGCTATTTCAGCCATTTATCCTATTAATGTTTAAAATTTTCTCTAAAATTCTCCCCAAAATTAGTTTGCTTATTTCTTGTGAAATGAATTGCCTGCTTATAAAGGGCTCTTTACTTGCAATAGTTAGAAAAGTCGGGTGGAATTTAGTTTCTATCTCTAAAGATCATGAAAATTAATCTCTGTAATTTTGAAGGAGTATTATCATTATTTAGAGGGGCCTTTGCTTAGTGCATTGGTAAAACGCTCGAGCTGTAAAGCGTGAGAACGCCGGTTCGAATGCTAAGAGCAGCCATTTTATTCAAATAATGCCAAAGGTTAAGTCAGTATCCCGTCTATAGCTCTCAACACTCTTGATTAACGGGGACCACACTGGCTAATGATTCTAGTATTAAGTATTAACATTGTTTGTTTAATTCAACTTTCACCAATTCTTTTAATTATTTGCCAATTTGCATGGCTCTTATAAAATTTATTGAGCAAGTCAGATATCATGCTTCTTAAGTGGTTATGTCTGATTGCAGTGCCTTGAAAAAGAAGTTCAAAGACAAGATGTCTGACTTTCAGGTAGGTCAGATAGTGAATTATTCAGGGCCTTTTATCTTCTCTCACTTCTAAAGCATTCCCTTTATATTTATTTCTGAAAATTCCTTATAAATATATATATATATATATATTTATTTATTTCTTTCTAAAAATATTTTGCAGTCTTTAAGGGAAAGCATCCATCAAGAGTATCGCGAGGTTGTTGAGAGGCGTGTTTATACAGGTTTTGGATTCGTTTCTTTAATACTTTATTTGCTGCTTGATGCACTGGCATTCCTATGATGTACATCTTACTGATTTTGTATCCTGGTTTCTGTGATTCAGTAACGGGCACCAGAGCTGATGAAGAGGTGATGTTCCTTTAAGTTGTAAACTTTCATTGAAATTGTATCTCTGAGATAAACATATTTTCTGATTGTTCAATAACTTTTCAGACGATTGACAATTTGATAGAGACTGGGGATAGTGAACAGATATTCCAAAAAGCAATCCGGGAACAAGGCCGAGGCCAGGTTTTTTCATCTTCTCTCCCTCTTCTTTTCAATTTTTTGGTCTGGTCATTTTTTAAGTCTCTCCATTGGGGGTACAACCATGAAAGATTTTAATATTATGGCATTGGTACTAGCAGTAGTGAAAAGAAAGAGAAGGAAAACATTTTCTCTGATAAAAAAGAAAGGACATGAGAACACAATATTCACTCTTCATCTTGTTTGGATAACTGGAAAGGAAAAGAAAGGAGGATATTTGTTTGCTTCATGTTTGGAAGAGATACTAGATGGAAAGGAAATGAAAGGAATGTTTTATTATTTGAGTGAAAAGAGGTGAAACGGGAATTTTCTTGCTGTAAAAATATATAAACAAGTCTGATTCCCTATCATTGCCCTCCAAATCCTCTTCTCATGGGAGGATAGCAGAAGTAACTACCTAGGAGGTTAACAGACCTGTCCTCCATACTCATTTTTAAACCAGGCATAAAATTATCTATCCTTCCTTTGCCTTCCATTTATTTTCCTTTCAACTCTCAATCCTGACACACTCCTAGTCTGTAGATTTAGTTTAAAATATTGTAAATATGGCAAGAGTCTGTGTGTGTGTGTGTGAAGTGGCTGCAACTCTGCTTCTGATACAAAGCAGTCAGTGATATACTGCGTGGCAATGCCTGTTTTATACTGGAAGATTAACTAATTAAAGCTGGTCATACTGTATTTATTGGCATTACGTTGCTTTTGCAGATAATGGACACCCTCGCTGAAATTCAAGAACGCCATGATGCAGTCAGAGAAGTGGAAAGGAAACTTCTTGAGTTGCAACAGGTATCATCATTTCTTTTTGTTGATGTCTACTAAATATGAATTAGATCAGAATGTCAAATATTAGCATTGTACATTTTGTTAAATCGTGACTTATAATTTAAAAATTATTTGCATGTTAACTGCTCTGACTGTAGGTTCTTGTTGTTTTTCCTTTTTTATATATTTTTTCTTTGCCTTCTTGACATACCATAGGACTTTCAACCACCTGTATGATGTTGGGTTGACCATCAGCTGAATGTCCTGTCTACTTCATCTTACCTAAATTCCATCTTGACCAATCTAATAACCTGAACTGCCTAAAAGTGTTGAAGGAATTTGGCATACCAGTTGCGATGCCAGGTAACAGCAAGCCACCTTAAGAGCGGCTCAGCCAGGCAATTTATTAGTCTAAATTGATCAAACAGATTTAAAATGGATACTGTAATCTGATCGAGGGCGTATAATGGAGCTCCAAATTTCTAGGTCATCCCAAGGGATGATGTAGGGCTTACAAAATTATCCATAAGTTCTTCAACCTATCAACAGTCTTTTAAATAGTCTTCTATAAATTTTAACATTATGCAAACTTTGTTAAACAGAAATTCCTATTATTTTGAAAGGAGAAAAAAAAAAAAAAAAAATCCAAAATACAAAAAAATGGTATCGAGAAATTTATTCCAATGCCTCATGTGCATAAAAAAAGAATTTTTTTCTTTCCTTTGATATCAAACTACTGCATGTAACTTCTAGGGGCTTGCATTCTTCTTCTTGTTACTCCTGCATCAAATGGATTATAGTATTGGCCAAATGAGGTGTTTCCCCTGCCCTATAAGTACTGGCAAGGGCGCAATCTAGATGTAGACTGGTGCCAAATTGTGTAAGAAGTAATTTCTTGCAGTCATCTGTTGTATGCAGCAATGCCTTGTGGAAAGGACTTGATCATTTTTGCTTTAGTTTTTATTGATTAGAGGTTTTCCTCTCCAAGAGTACATTCAATGGTCATATCTCAATCTGATTATAAGATGGAAGGTATGCGAGATTTTCCTCATTCTCCATTGATTGGGATATATAAGTTATGGATATCAAGTGTGACTTTGAACTTTTGTGCAAGTAAAATGAGCTTGAGCTTGAGCAGGTGCAGGTTCGGTTCTGGGCTTTATTTGACGATTGTCTTACTCAGTTATCAGTAATTAATGTTTGATTACCTTTTTCCACTTATTGTGCAAGTTTTGTCTGAGTGCTGAAAGAGCTTGGTGAGGCTCTGCTCACTTTTTTTGCTCAATCATTGGCTTTTGTTTGACATAAACTCATACTTAGTTTTTATGATCTAAATGATTGAAAAAGCTTATATTGTAATTTGTAACTTCTTGAAGGTAGCTTGACCTATATGTTATATGTGTTGAACCAAAGGGCTTACATGTGTGTACTGTCAAGATTATGGAACTGACATGGTTGCTTTATAGCGTCACTCTATGTCCTGTCCTATAGATTGTCATGCATTGCAAGGGAACTAATTTCAGTTAGTGTGCTCTTATAAGTTGCAATCTGATTGTCTTGAAATGATTATATGCGCCTTAGGAGTCCAATCTAGTGTAGTTTTGTCTACACGTGGAACTTATACAGGCCGCCTTTTGCACTACACTGTGCTATAACGTTATTAGGAGATACCTTGATGGGACATTGCCTGGGAGGTAGATGGCAGATTAATTGTATTTTCAGATTCTAATCCACACCTCAATGTTATATGCAGATATTCCTAGATATGGCGGTGTTGGTGGATGCTCAAGGAGACATGCTCGACAACATAGAATCAATGGTAATTGATATTTTGTTCCTTGACGTAATGGCTTGCATGGTTTTCTGCTCATGGTGTGAAAAATTGGTTGAAATATATATGAACTTCCTTTTGGCGTTGTTGAACATTGTGTGAGTAGATATTAGGCCGAGCCTTTATATTTGAGCCTATGATTTACTTAGTTTTCCACCTCCCACTTATCCAGGTTTCAAACGCAGTTGACCATGTTCAATCTGGGAATACTGCTCTCCAAAAGGCGAAAAGTTTACAAAGAAATTCCAGGAAATGGATGTGCATCGCCATCCTCATACTTCTTATCATTGTTGCAATCATTGTTGTGGGAGTGCTAAAGCCATGGAAGAGCAATAAGGGTGGTGGACCTGGTGGTGGTCCCGGTGGTCCACAACCATCAGGGTGATATACCTCTGCCATATAAAATGTATAAATATAAAAGAACTGATGTTGAATCCTTACGGATTCTGGTCCCAAAAGTTGATCGTGTGCCATATTTATTTGGAAGATTTACTTCTTATTCTTTACAATAGAATGCGTATTTTCATGTAGATTTTGAAAAGGATATTCTTTATGGACTCTCTCTACTGCAATTTTTTCAGCTTGCTAATGAATTATTATTTTTCTATACTAACTGAACGTCGGGATTGTTCATTACAGAACCACCCTGATGTTTATCAAAAAGATCAGAAATTACAGCTTGCTTTCAAATGTGTACTTATTGTTGTGCCTTTGTGCAGAGTGGACAAACTAGAATCTGCTTGAAGGTTTTTTTGTTTTTTTGTCTAATTATGTGTGGAAGTCATAGAACACTATAGTTTGGCCAGAATCTTTGATTTGTTTAATATGGCAACCTTCTAATATTTATCCAAATTTGGATATTAAAAAATTATTAATCAACCTTCTAAAAATAAAATTCTTTGCTAATGGAAATTGTCGATAATCAACTAATTTTTATTGCAGAAGGACTTGTAAAGAAATTTTAATTTTTAAACATTTATATATACACAACTATATCAACATATACTTATTGATTGGGATTCAACAAATTAAAACACTAAAAAGAAATTCTTACATGACTTCTTCGGAGCCATAATTCATACATAACCATGTAAAAGGCATCATATTCAACTGGAGAAACATACCACTGGAAATGCGTTCTCACCTTCAACACATTGCTTTGCAACCTTTGATACTCATCAGAGCTTATCCCTTGAAGCACTTTCTTCAGCAATGGGATGTCTGCAGTGGTGACAATAAGTGAAAAGCTCTTCCAATTCAAAATGTCTGCAAATGGGAGGTCATAGTGATCAGCCAATATCACAGGGACACAACCATAGTACAGAGCATCCCCAATGCGTGCTGTGTTCACTTCAAACCCCTTCACATGGAGGCAGAACTTGCTCCGAAGAAGCTCTCTGTCGTAAGGCGTTTTGAGCCGGCCATTGTTGACGAAGATCTGGGAGTCGTTTCTCCATACTTTGAGGACGTATTGACGTACTGGGGAGTTCATTGCTCCAGCAAAGAAGGCAAGCTTTTTCCTGGAATAGTGTCATTTTTATTTAGACAAAATTAAATTAAATGAGTTCATCTTGCTGAACCAACCACAATAATGATGATTTTAGAAACACGAGCTATGTTTTGAGATTTTTTTTTTCAATACCCCAGGGTAGGGTGCCAGGCAAATCAGAACTCTCCATTTTCTTTGATAATATTACAAAATAACAATTCACCGTTGGGGTTGGGATACTATATTCTTGGTGGTCAGAGTCAACTTTTTTCTCAAGGACACTGCGACTTCAACCTCAAAGTCATTGCATAGCGATCAAAGGCGAATTCAGGAATTGTCAATGGGATGAACTAATACTAATAATAATAATATATATATATTTTTGGAGCTGAACGATAATTGGCTATAGTAATAATTTTTTTTTTTTGGTGTGCTCAAAGTCCAAGTCCACCTCTAAATCCACCCTTGATAGTGACAAACCCAAAGTGGATCTTCCACTTTGCATCCAAGGGATGCACAAGGTTTGATAAAAGTTTTTTTTGTTTAAATATCATTTTCCCTTATTTGAATGAGGTTGTCTTTAAGTTAACTTTAACTCATCTTATTTAACGAAGACAAATGGAATCTAAAAACATTTTTAGGTTGAGAGAAATCGTTGTTCTTTTGAAATCCTAATAGTTTAGTTGAGAGACCAATTGGATAAGATGTTGAACATAAGTCTTCTGCCTAAGTATCATTTTCCCTTTCTTAAATGAGATTATCTTTTAAATTAAATTTATTTCAGAGAGTCGTCTCATTTAATGAATTACTTTAGACAAATGGAATCTAGAATCATTGAATCTTAACATTTAGGATGAGAGAAATCTTGTTCCTTTGAAATCCTAATATTTTGGTCGAGAGATCAAATTTGGATATGATAAAAAAAAAAACACGAGTTAGGTACTTGAAAAGCTTAAAAAGATACCTTTTGGATGGTGCAACATTTGGGGGATCTCCTCGTCTTGGCCAAATTTGAGGCAAAGAAGCATCTTTATGAGGAACATATCCATGTATAAAATAGTTGGATGTGCAGACCATTTGAATGGCATTGATTTTCACTTCCACTGCTTTCTCCATAGCTACCTTCCCAATGGAATGACAAGCAACATAGAAGTGGTCAGCCCCACCTGTCCTATTCCAGTAGGGGTAGCTATGACTGATGTTGAAGATGTAGTCTCGGATAAAATTTTGGATACCACCGACACCAACTCTCTTGTCATGCCTCATACTTGCAATTGAAAATGGTAGGTAGAAGAGGTGTGCTTCTGAAGGGTCTTTGGTGATGAAATGGCTTTTGAAAAGCACTTTCTTGAAGTAACTTTCACTTGCATAGTTACCCCCTGGTTCATAATTCACTGGCAAGAGTATGTTGGCAAAGGGATCGTCTCTTTTGTGAGGATACACATATATCTTCAAGCTTCTATTCATTCTCTTGTAGTTTTCTACAAACATTTCTCTGTCATGGAACACCTCATTCTCATCCTCTCCTGCAATATTTGATCTTGTTTTAAAATTTAATTTTACATACAATTCAGATAAATATAATATTTGAGATACATAAAATAAATTTCTTGCAGAATATTTCTTCTGCCTCAAAAAAAGTGTCTCTTCTGATAACCGTGACTTTCTGCTCTTGCAAAATATCCTCCGCCTCAAAAAAAATTGTCTCTTTTAAATAATTTTGATTCTTTACTTTTATAAAATACTTTCGCTGTCCAAAAAAAAAAATATTTCTTTTGAAAAATCACAAGAGTACGATTTTCTGAAAGAGACGCTCTTTTTAAAACACATGAAAAATGGACCATAGCTTCAATTATGAAATTTTACTAGAGGACTTCTATGCTAGATTTGTCTTTTGTGAGGTAGGCTTTATTGATGATGATGAGATTCAACTATTCAAGTCCAGAATCTTATTTGTGGTACTGGATACAAATCTCACCCCATTTTTATACGCCCCGCATTTCAGCATAAATGTTGGCCTATAAAAATAAGCGGTGGAATTCGTCAGAAAGGGACCCACATGGGTTCACCATATATGTTGCATCTAATTTTGACCTCTAAAGTTTAAAGTTACTATTTTTTCTATTATAGTGTTTTGAAGTATTTTTATTAAACTAATGTTTAAGTATATTTTTATAACAATACTAATGTTTATGGTGTTTTTATATTTATTTTTTTGGCAACAAATTCCGAGTTAGGGAAGACTTGAATAGTATTGAGTACGCAACAGAAGAAGCCTTGAATTACCAAATCAATGACTATGTCAGATATTGAAAAATTAAATTACCAAACCATCCAAAACATTCAACTTAATTGCATGTGTTTATTCAACATTGAATCAATCATCAACAGCGTTAAATTTACGTTTGCATTTCATATAATTAATTCTTTTCTTTTCTGTTTTTTCTTTTTTCGGAACCCAAGACAATCAATCAAACAAGCTTGATTTGTCCACCCAAAAAAAACAAAAAAAATCTGTCCATAAGATTACATTAAATTTCAAACCAAGTTGATAAAAATTATAGTTCTGTCCCCCCACAAACTGGTAAATATAGCTGTGAATTCAATTAATTACTATATTCTAAAAAAATCATGCCAAGTAACTTGAAGCTTTTAAACAAGTCATAGTCATAATACTTGTAGATTTTAATCAAAAGTCATAGTTCATTTATGATAGGATAGACAGAGATGAAAAGGAAACAAAGACCATAATGCTCAAAATTAATATCCATACCATTTAAGCTCATATGATCATTACGTACTCCAGTTGACCATCTTCTCTTAGCTCCTTCACCACCATCCCCAGTCGAGGGAGGGGTTTCGCCGCCTTCTTCGGCTGCTTTCAGCACATCGGAAAATGAACTTTTAGCGCCAAAAGGTTTGTGGAATGAAATTAAGTTCATACTTAAGTTGGTGAGTGGAGGGTTGGTTGGAGACCCTAGTGATTGTTTTATATAAAGAGGGGTACTGTGTTCGATGTGTTGTGTTTGAATCAGAATTTTCGAGGTTGAAGAGATGTAGAAGAAAATCATAAAAATGGCAATGAAAGCTAAGCTAATGTGCATGAAGAACATGCCTCTAAAAGAATCTGATAAACGCCTAATATAGAGAGAATTGTACAAGAAAATTGAAGCGGCCATGGAGGGCTAGCTTCAAATTCTAGATAGTCTGCTACAGATGATCAATAGAGAGGATAGAGAGAGAAAAGTCAGAGTTGAACATATATATATATATATATATATATATACTGGGGCTTAATTTTCAGCTTATACTAGTAGTTATCAACGCATATGACCTCTAAAGTTTAAAGTTGCTATTTTTTCTATTTTAGTGTTTTTAAGTATTTTTATTAAACTAATGTTTAAGTATATTTTTATAGCAATACTAATGTTTATGGTGTTTTTATATTTATTTTTTTCGCAACAGAAGCCGAGTTAGGGAAGACTTGACTAATATTGGGTATGAACACCAAATCAATGACCATGTTAGATATTGAAAAATTAAATTACCAAACCATCCAAAACATTCAACTTAATTGCATGTGTTTATTCAACATTGAATCAACCATCAACAGCGTTAAAGTTACGTTTGCATTTCAAAGTATGTAATTAATTATTTTCTTTTCTTTTTTTCTTTTTTCGCTATTTTAAAAAAATCATGCTAAGTAACTTGAAGCTTTTAAACAAGTCATAGTCATAATACTTGTAGATTTTAATCAAAAGTCATAGTTAATTGTGATAGGATAGAGAGACGAAAAGGAAACAAAGAACATAATGCTCAAAATTAATATCCATACCATTTAGGCTCATTTGATCATGACGTACTCCAGTTGACCACCTTCTCTTAGCTCCTTCACCGCCATCCCTAGTGAAGGGAGGGGTTTCGCCGCCTTCTTCGGCTGCTTTCAGCACATCGGAAAATGAACTTTTAGCGCCAAAAGGTTTGTGGAATGAAATTAATTTCATACTTAAGTTGGTGAGTGGAGGGTTGGTTGGAGACCCTAGTGATTGTTTTATATAAAGAGGGGTTCTGTGTTCGATGTGTTGTGTTTGAATCAGAATTTTCGAGGTTGAAGAGATGTAGAAGAAAATCATAAAAATGGTAATGAAAGCTAAGCTAATGTGCATGAAGAACAAGCCTCTAAAAGAATCTGATAAACGCCTAATAGAGAGAGAATTGTATAAGAAAATTGAAGAGGCCATGGAGGCCTAGCTAGCTTCAATTTCTCAAAAGCCTGCTACAGATGATCAATAGAGAGGATAGAGAGAAAATTCAGAGTTGAACATACATACACACACACACACACGTGTACTGGGGCTTAATTTTCAGCTTATACTAGTAGTTATCAAAGCATATGACGAGCATGGACAACTATATTCAAATTAAAATATTATATATGTTACTGTTAAGACTTTATAATTAAATTGACCAAGGACACCCTATAAAATAAATCCAAGCCTGTCGCGTGCACGAAATATTAATTTACTGTAATATACTGTACTATATTTTATTGTTTCTAAATAAAATGGTAGCATAAAGACTGAGCATGGAAGAATATATTTGACGGAAGGTTTGTATTAGAAAAAGTTCAAATGAAACTTGTTTAATTATAGTTGAAGAAAGTAATTAAATTAACATTCATTAATTACATGTATACATATGTAATATGTATTATATGTTTGATTCACCTTATTTGATGGCGCAAAAATCTACCGAGCTAGCTAAGACTTGTTTTTTCTTTTAATTTCTTTCTTCTTCTTCTTCCTTTTTTTTTTTTTTTTTCTTTTTTCTTTCTTTTTTTTTTTTTTTTTTTTTTTTTTAAATGATGTAATATGTGAATGATTCCATGTGAAGGTTTCTCCGTGGAGACAATAATAGAGTCAAACATATACAAACTCTTATAGTATTAACATAATTTTTTTTAAAAAAAAAAAAGAAAAGAAAAAAAGATTAAAGTCTTATTTGTATAATGGTAGGTAAGCTGGCTTATTCACTTGGAAATGATGTAACAACATTGTGTGTGTATATATATAGATATATATATAGTATTGTGTGTATGTAAAGATACGGTAGCATTGAAGTTTATGCTCATATCTTTTCAATTTTGTCACAATGTCATTTGTTTAGATACAGGTAAGTTGTCCCTGTCATGGGAACAAAATTAGCAAAATGTGAAGAAATTATCGGCCACAGATCGGAACTTGAGTGACTCAAAATAATTTAGAATATCCGAATGAAACTCGAAAAAGGGGATAAAATATATACAGAGAGCTAGCCAGAATGGAACTGTGTACGCAATCATACATATTGACTGAAAAAAATAAATACTATATATATATATATATATATATATATATTATATAGACTGTGCCATCGTTGTCACATAACGAGCATCTGCAATTTTACTCTTCGGTAGAAGAGTATTCTAGTGAACCATGCTTGTGTTTCAGTATATTTTTCCTTTTCAACATGTATCTTTTATTTAATATTAATTGCAACCATCAATAATATCTTAATTAATGATAATTAATTAAGGGAGTTTTTATTGGCGCTCCAAAATTATGTAGACGCTTCATTTTTATTTATTCACGAATCAAATGACAAAATTAATCATCATCTGTTGTAATAGATCTCTTCTTTTTTCTCTGATTAGTCGTAATTAATACTTACACACGTATATCTCTTCTGAGACTTGAACCTCTACCTGTTAGGAAACGTGCAAGTTTTTAAAACTTTTGAGGGATTTGTAATCATAGATATTGATTCATCACATAGAGACAAGTTTTATGCAAAGATAAATAAAAGATGATGCATAATTTAATAAACAGATTAAATACTTACATCAAAGGTCTGAGTAAACTTTTTCAACTTTCCTCTAAAGTGAATGTTCTCACTTATTGTAGATCCCTTTAGCAAGATCATTTCTCCTTCTTTTTGATTATTATCTTCCCTTTAGGAATCACCAATATGCCTTGATGAATGACCTTGGAATCTAGACTGGTGGTAGCCTCCTTTAGAAGAGAAAACAAAACCCTAAAATCTAGAGAGAGAAAGTATATTCCCTTTTCTTATTCTCCAAGTCACACCAAAAATATACATGAACTCATGTATATATAGGCAAAATAAAAATAAGAATAAGAAAACAATAAATCATTCTCCATCTCTAATTCAACTTTCTCAATTCTAACATGACTCCAATATCAACTTGGGCTATTGGTGAGAATCCTTTTGGGCTTACTATTTTATTGGCTCTTATAAATTAATAATTAGTCCGGTCCATTAAACCATGGATCCAATTCAATTAATTCATAAATTAATTTCTATTCCACTAAAAGAAATTAATTGCACTCCAATTAAATAGTAAATAACCTCTAAGTTAATGTTGCACTTTGACCCCTCTATGCTTAATTATTTATCGGATAATTAAAGCCATCAATCCGACAACATAATTAATATAATTATTTTGTTACCTTTGATTATTTCCGGCTCGATCACAATAAAATATTTATTTGACAAAAATAATAATAATTTATTATATATATATATATATATATATATATAGAAAACATTTGTCTAAAACATACGAAGGCCTTCGAATTTAATTTGTGATCAACCATAATCAAAACAAAATAAATACAAATAGCACTGATGCAAATATTGAGAATATAGACCTCTAATTATTAATTACATAACTACCCAATGTGTCGATCTAAGGATCCCGAGGTATACGCCGAACAAATCAAAGTAATTATTAATTAATAAAAGAGTCTATGCTTCTCTCATGCTTGAGAGTCAAAAGTCATGACTGTGATAGAGAGCAATTGCATACGACAGCTCTCGCAATATAATCTATCGTGGACTCGGTTTAAGTCTTAACTAATTAAATGTCCATCCATAATTACCGACTTTAAACCATTTATGATTACTAATTTATATCATAGTATTAATTGCCATTACATACGTATATAAATATATTTTGTAATCAAGCGGACACCATTAATTTCATAAAGAATCGAAAAATAATACATTCCATTCATCAATTGTATAATGCTTTAATAATAATATCCAGATAAGAAACCATGACTTTTACAATTCAAAATTAGAATTAGGGCACACATATCCTAACACTACCTTCCTTAAAAAAATAAAAAAATGATATCGCTGAACCACTAGCTCTTGGTTTCTCTCCTTTTTTATCTCTACTCTTCTCTGAAAAAAAATTTCTTTTGTTTCCATCTCTTTTGTTTCTATATTTGTATCTGTATGCTTCCTTTTTCACTCCAACTAAATCACGAAGACCTACCATTAACAAATTCTTTTGTTTCCATCCCTTTTCTTTCTCTTTTTGTATGCTAGAATCGCCAACCCCTACCATTAACCAAAATTGAAGTCATTTCTGTATAAATCCTTGGAGTGGCTATCAATGGCAGACCTGCCGGCGGATGTAGTCGCCGGGGTACTATCAGCATTACCAGTGAAGTTGCTTATGCGGTTCAGGTGCGTTTCAAAACAATGGTGTGGGCTAATTGACAGCCAATTTTTCATCAAATCGCATCTAAATCGGTCCATCGAAACCAACACCAATCGCAGTCTCATTCTTAAACGATACATATATTTGGGAGCTTGCCATTTATTCTCCGTAAACTTGGATTGGGCGAGTCCTATAGGTTTCAAAGGGTGTCCCGTAGTCTTCAATGGGTTGGGTTATAGTATCGATAGAATGGATCCAGTTGATGATCAGCCACCATGTGAGGAAGTGTTGGGTTGTTGCAATGGCTTGCTCTGTTTGTTTGACCACTACGAATATGTTGTCTTGTGGAACCCTTCAACAAGAAAACGCCACAAATTACCCTTCTCATCCATTGAGATGCCACATCGATCTACTCCCCAACATTGTTGTAACTTGATACCAATAACCCAATTCTGCGGATGCCGATATATTCTTTACGGGTTTGGGTATGATGGTGTGAATGATGACTACAAGGTGGTGAGGATTGTAAAGTGTTTGAATGGTTCTGATTCTGAAGTGAAGGTTTATAGTCTGAAATCGAATTCTTGGCGACGGGTTGAAGATTTTCCTTATGATCACCACCACCACCCATACGAAGAGAGTGGGGTGGATGGTGTATTAGTTAATGGAGCTTTGCACTGGACTCTGACTTCAACACCACATGCACAGGCACAGGTGGGTGTTGCCAACTTGACCTTGATTGCTGCTTTTGATCTTGGAGTTGAGGAATTTCAGTTGGTGCCACAGCCTGAATATTTGGATACGAATATTTGGATCAATGTCGGGTCCTTAGGAGGCTGTCTTTGTATCCTTTGTACTCTGGTTTTGACCATTGATGTATGGGTGATGGAGGAGTATGGAGTTAAGGAATCTTGGATTAAATTATTTGCTATCCAGAAATCAAGTTTCAGTCGGCCGGTGGCGATGGGTGATGTATTGAAGCCTATAGGCTATTCAAAGGGTGGTGGGGAAGTCCTTTTGGGACAGAGGAGGTGGTTGCATTGGTATGACTTGAAAAAGAAAACTGTAACAAATGTTGAAATTTATGATGGGTCGGAGTCACTTGCAGCTGATATTTGTTTCGAAAGCATGGTTACAGTTTTGTGATTGGTGATAGATACAAATGATGGGAGGAATCCGCAAGGACAAGAATTAGCATTAGCTCGAATTTACTTTGCTTAAGTTGATATTGTACACATTTTGTTCCCCATTAATTTACATTATGAAGTGTATTAGCAAATTTTTTACTTGGAATTAGAATTTGTCTCTTATTATCTGTGTTCTGAATAGAGGGTGCTGATATCTTTCCTACATCTTCTTGTTAATAGATTTTGAGCAGTCAGGATTTTAAGTTAAGTTCGGGGCACAGTGCACAATATATATATATATATATAGACAAAAGAAGAATAAAAAGTAAATTATTCAAATATGAATTTTAAAAAGTATAAGTAGAAAAAAAAAAAAAAAAAAAAAAAGGGGGGGGGGGGAAGGAAAATGAGAAAATTATAAAAGGAAAAAGTTAAGAGTTTCAATTGAGTAAGAAAATTTTGATTTTTTCTTTTAAGGAATTTGAAGAGGAAAAGAGAAAATAAAGAAATAATAAAGAGATAATTTTAGAAACTACAAAATTTAGGAAGCACTATATAATTTTTTACAAAATTTAAGGTAAAAAAATAATAAAAGTCTAGGGAATTTTACTGAGAATATGTTTTAATATTTATTTTAGAATTAAAATGATAAAACTCTCCTTTACTATTCAAAAATATCACATTATCCCCTATATTAACAAATAACCCCTTGAATTATAAAAAAAAAATATCATTTTGCCTCCATGGCTCCATTTCGTGACGGAAGTGTTAAGTGAAATGTAAAATGACAAAATTGGCCTACAAATTATATATATCCTTCCAAATTATTCATCTTTGACATATGGATAATTTTGTCTTTTTAATGTTCATCCTTTTGTAAATAAAATACAATAATTATAATGAGGACATATATGTAATTTCACTTGACATCTATAATAGAGGAGATTGGTGTAATTTGACAAACAAGAGGAGAGGTGAGTGTATATTGATAAAACTTCAAGGAAGGTCAGTGTAATTTTCCCTCATTTAAAACTTGAATGAATGATTTTGAAATGTAAAATAATAAAATTGGCCTCCATAATTTAATATTAATATAAAACCTGAATGAATTATTTTGAAATGACAATTATGCCCTTGGTGTTACACTATTAATCGAAGGAAATTCTTCTCATCTCAACAAATAAGTTGCTTCCCCTGCTTTGTGTTACACTATTACTTGAAAAAAATTCTTGCCAGGCACCTCGTTTTGTTTTCCGGTGGCTGGGTTGGGTTGTGTTACTGTTGAAAGGCTTTGATTGGTAGATGTCCTACATCCTAAGAACTGTCTAGAATTCCCTCTATTATGGATTCTTTTGGATCAATTGCAGTCTCGAATTACTCATCAATTAAACTACTATATTTTCTTAACAGGTCTCAATTATAGATCACTTCTACTAACCAATTCATCCTTAAACCTCTTATCCGAGCATTACCAATCAAAGCCTTTCAGAAAAATGGATAGAGAGAGTTAGGGTTAGGGTTCAGAATGATAGAGAGAGAAAGTTAGGGTCAGGGTTTAGAGAGAGAGACTTACTTGGGTGGCTTGGTATGCTCTAGGGATAGAGTTGGGATTAGTCGGCGGGAAGATTGGAGTTAGGGGTGCAATTTGAGTTGGAAAACCGAACTCAATCCGAACCGAGTCTAATTTTTCACGAGTTTAGGTAATCATTTTTATAATTAGAGTTGAGTTTGGATTGAAAATTTTTAACCCGATTTAAATTAGGATTGGGCTTGAATTGAAGTGTTAGTAACCCGAACCAACTCGAACCCGAATTATAATATTATTTTTATATATATTTTTACTTTAAAATACAATATATATAGTATTTAAATTATGATTACCATTTTTTTTTTTAACTTTTTTTATTAAATCTTAACTTACTGTATGTTAACATTTAGAAAAATTAATTTTCTAAAAATTTGTTTGTCATTTATTAAAAATCTACAAAAAAAAAACTTTTGTAATTTTTATTGTTTAAAAGTAATTTAATCTAAAAGTAATTCAAGATCATATTAAATTTTTGGTGTGAAGATTAGATATATGAGTAATTCGAATTAACTCAAAATTTTAATATGAAATTTAATCCCGAATTACAAGCTCGAATTTAAAAATAGAATAATGGGTTGGGCTCGTGTTGAGTAGTTAGGATTGAAAATATAGTTAGAGTTGGGTTTGGGTTTAACATTTTATTTGATGAATTAGATTCAAATTATACCTCAAATTTGTCCAACCTGCCCGAATTGCAGCCTTAATTGGAGACCATTTCTAGCAACGTGCCTAGAAAATTGAAACTCAGTTTGGTGGCCGTACAACTGTGGACGCGAGGGTGAAGACTACGAACGTCCAACTCCTACGGATTTAGAAGGGTACAATGGCCATTAAGTGATTTAATATGGTGGGCCTTTAATAATTTAATTTTTATAAATTTAATGTAAGAAAGTTATATTGATAATGTTAAAAAATATATATATACTAGTTCTTTAAAGTTTTAAATGAAATATTTATTTTGAGGTAGACTGGTAGTCAATAGAATGGTAGATACATACATATATATATATATTTTTTGGGTTAGATAAGTAATAATTATTTTGAAAAATAAAAAATAAAAAAGTCATAACCCGCCATTTGAATAGTAGTTACAAGTTACAATCAATATTACAATTTACAACCATCCATGGGAATAAAAAATATAATACTCCTCATTATAGAATAATTTGTAAAATAAATTAGCACTACTCTTAGGGGTGGCCACGGATCGGATCGGATCGGATTAGGCATAAATTCTAATCCGATCCGCTCGCAACGGATTAGGAGATTTTGAATCTGCCACCAATCGTTAGCCTACGGATCGGATCGGATCGAATCTGTGAAATAACGGATCGGATTGAATCCAATCCGCCGATCTCATCTCCATCTCCATCTCCATCTCCATCTCCATTTTCTTCTCCAATCTCCTCTTAGGGTTCATGTGGTTACGCAGTCTTTTCGCATGCGTCTAATCCACCGATTTTCTTCTTCTCCGACTTCTATTAGGGTCATTCTTTCTTTTTCGACTCTCTCTCATCATCATCATCATCAACAAATGAGACCCAGACCTTTCCATCATGTTGATTTTCTTCTTCAAGTCATTCTCAATCTCATCGATTCATCATCAACGAGAATAAGAACAATCAGCTATTGGTAGTCTCTGATTTCTTCGGTCGCAACTGAACCCTAAATCCGAAAGAAATTCAAACCGATTCGACTGACTCTTCACTAGCCATGTGACCTTGGTTCGCTGTGATCTCTCTCTCTCGAGAGGACTTGTTCAATTCCAAGCAACACTGTGGTCTCCAGATGCTTAAAGATAATTTCAGATTCAATTCATGGGGACTTGTTCTAACACTTAAAAGATGAAGCTAATAGCTAGGCTAATAGCTATGTGTGCTTGATGAATTGTTTTTCTGATTTCTCTTTGCTCTACAAATCTGTCGGTGGTCCACTGGTCAACTCCCAAAGTAATAAATAATAAATAATAAATTATAAATTATAAATTATATTGTATAATATTAATATTATATATATACGGATTAGCCACGGATCGGATTCACGGATCGAATCGGATTTTTGACAGGGTAATCTGTAATCCAATCCGTGAACTACGGATTCACATTTTTTGAACCCACCACCGATCCATGGGTTTAGCAATATGGATCGGATCGGATCCACGAATTCGCGAATTTTTTGCCCAGCCCTAATTACTCTATTTTGCTCTCCATTCGGACTATTTTTTTCGTACCAAACGTTTATAGTAGTCCAAACCCTGGGCCCAAAGGGCTCAAATCCTCTGCTGTGAGATTCTTATGCAGTTCCTGCTGTGAGTTTTAAGTGGCCTACATTTTGCCACATCGTTGTCCATTTAATAGCTCTTAAGGCAGCGTTTGAGTGGAATTGAGGCAGCGTTTGGATCCTTCTTCACCACCATTTTTAAGTATCTTCACACACAAAATAAGTTATGCACATAATATAGACTAAGTAATGTCACATACAAACTTAACTCAATTCAATATACTGTGTTTGGCAATTACACCACCATTTATAAGTAACTTTCACCATCATTTATAAGTATCTTCACCCTTAAATTAAGGTATGCATATAAACGGTGATTTTACTTTTAGACTCATGTGATGTTACTTTTTAGATTACATGATATTACTTATAAATAATGGTGAAATGTTACTTATAAATGGTGGTGTAATTGTCAAACACGGTCTCAATTGCCTAAGGTATGCAAATAAATGGTGATGTTACTTTTAGACTCCTGTGATGTTACTTTTTAAATCCTGTGATGTTACTTATAAATGATGGTGAAATGCTACTTATAAATGGTGGTGTGATTGCCAAACACGGTCTCAATTGTCAAATAGTGGTGAATGATGTGGCCAAACATAAACCACATAAGAACTTATAGTAGGGGACAACTTGGGAATCTATAGCAGAGGATGGCGCAAATCATCTGCTGTGCGGTTTCCATGCTGTCTCCTGCAGTGAGCGTTAAGTGGTCTTGATTTGGCCATATTTTACTCCACTCAATATACACTAAAACTTTGTTTGGCAATTACACAATCATTTATTATTAATATTTCACTACCATTCATAAGTATCTTCACCCCTCAAAATAAGGTATTCACACAATACAGACTAAGTAATGTTATATACAAGCGTAACTCAATTCACCACCATTTATAAGTAATATTTCACTACCACTCATAAGTATCTTCACCCTTAAAATAAGGTATGCACATAATGCAAATTAAGTAATGTCACATACAAACGTAACTCAATTCAACATATCATTTATGTTATAATTTGAAATTAAAGTATTTTAAAAACACTTTATCATGTTAATTTAAAGAATTTAAACCACTTGAATTAACTTTAGACAACAAACAAAACACTCGTTGTTTCCAAAAATAACGAAAAGAGCCATATATATATATATATATATATATTTTTTTTTTTTCTTCAAAATATTGAAAAAACATTCACTTAGTTTTAAATTATTTAACATATCTTTGAAAATTATTTAGCAAAATTTAATATTAATTGTCACACACCACCTTCACCATCAAAAGAAAAAATTTGATAAATTTTAATATTAATTGTCACACTCACCACTTTCACCATCAAAAAAAGGTATTTACATAGTGTTGAAAAATTAATAGTCACACATAAATCTAACTCAATTATACATGTTATATATATATATATTTTAAGTTAAATTTTATCATAAAAATCGACATCCAAAAAAATAGTTACATGTTAATTTAAAGAGGAATTTGAAAGGGATTACGAGGTATTTGACTGTTAACAACCTTTTACTTTTTAAGTAGTGATGTTACCCTCTTACAAATGGTAATGTTATTTTTTAGATTTATGTGATATTACTTTTAGATTTATGTGATATTATTTATAAATGGTGATAAAATGTTACTTATAAATAGTGGTGTAATTACAAATGATTATGTTACTTTTTAAATTCATGTGATATTATTTTTAAGCTTTTATAATGTTACTTGTGAATGGTGTGATGAAATATTTCTTATAAATAGTGGTAGTGCAATTGTCAAATAGTGGTGGTGTATTGAGTGGAGTAAATCGTGGCCAAACTAACTCCACTAAAAGTTCACTGCAGGAGACAGCAATGAAACCACACAGAAGAGGATTTGCTCCCCCAAACCCTAACCTTAAAATCGAAACCCTCTGCAGTCTCCTTCACCCCTTCTGCAACTCTATGTATAAACCCTAAAATAGAAAATGAAAAAAAATGTCACATCTTCCGCCCGATGTGATCGCCGACATAGTCTCAATATTAGCGGTGAAACCCCTTCTACGGTTCAGATGCGTTTCGAAATGGTGGTGTGCTCTAATCGACAGCCCACCGCAGCCTCTTTCTAAAAGACTCAGGTGCCACCATAGACTTTGACACGCTCGAGTTTGACAACCCCATCAACTGGGACGACTACTTTGGAGCTGAAATGATTGGTTGTTGCAATGGCTTGCTCGGTTTTCTTTAGCATAGATGATCACATTGTGCTGCTGAACCCTTCCACCCGAAAACGCCAGATGTTACCCTTCACACCGGTTGAGGTACCTCGTGAACCACGTTGCCCTTGCCCGGACGACGGCCGTGTTGAACGCTGCTTTTGTCCGAATACTGCTTACGACTTTGGCTATGATTCCGTCAATGATGACTACAAGGTAGTGAGGATAACACAACTATATGACAAAGATGATAATGATTCATTTGATTCTATAGTTAAGATTTACAGTCTCAAATCAAATTCATGGCGAAGAATTCAAGATTTCCCTTATTACTTCTTGCACAATGGGCCGGATGCTGCTCTTGCTAGTGGGGCTTTTCATTGGGTTGTGAGTCGAAAACCCTATTCGGATACGGTCAGGTTGATTGCTGCTTTTGATCTTGGGATTGAGCAATATCGGTTGGTGCCACTGCCTGAATTTTCAGATGAGAATTTCCGTATGTATGTGGATGTGTTAGGAGGATGTCTTTCTTTGCTGTGCAATTATGCCAGGGTCCGTGCTGAGGTATGGGTGATGAAGGAGTATGGAGTTAAGGAGTCTTGGACTAAATTATTTTGTGTTGCTCAACCTACTATTATCAGGTCGTTTCGCTATGTGAGAACTTTGGCTTATTCAAAGACGGGTGAGAAAGTACTAATGCAACGGGATGATCAAAAACTTCTTTGGTATGACCTAGGAAAGAAAAGAATTAAAAAACTGAAGATTCGCAGCCGGCTTGTACCAGATGAAGTTGAGATTTATTTTGAAAGCCTTGTTCCCCTTCGTGAATCGTGATGATGGTGAGTGACAGAAGAGAAGGTGAAGAAGAAAAATATAAAGTAGAGAAGGCAAGTAATTGTGCTTTTCATTCCTATGCCTATTTTCTTTACATTGCTTTACTTAATCTTGCTTGGCATTGTTTCTTTGAAATTTTGATCCTTTAAGTGACATGATCAAATATATTTTTTGCAATAAGAGTTGGTCTCTTTGGTGTTGTATAGGGCTATGAAGTATTTTCTCTATCACATTGCAAGTCCTAAGGTCAGTATCAGGCTCTCACGTACTAGCAGTACATTTTACAAGAGGTTTTTATTTTTTATTTTTCTTAGAGATATTTTCCTATCCAAGAGGTTCACACTGTTGACTGGTGCTATAAGAAACTTGAAGAAGTAACAACGTAGGAGCAAGACGGAGAGGTAGGTTAATAAATTTTTGGCAGCATCTTTTTAAAGTGGAGTTGATTTATTTCCTTTTTACTTGGTTTATCGGCTATCTTATGTGGTCAGGATTTTGTTGTTCTACATGAGATTTCTCCTGTTTTTACTAATTTCCATCTCCTCCAAACTATAAAAACAGCATGATTTCTTTTGAAATTTCTCAAATCTCATAAAAAGTGGTTATATGGAGATTTTGGGAGATGAGTTAGGCTTGTCAATAATCTCACTGAAATCTTAGAAAAAAAAAAAGACTTTTATCACTTATGCGCCATCCTCATCCTGCTGATTGATGCAAAAGATTTTTTTTTTTGCTTGGAAGGTGATGCAAAAGTTTACTCTCATTTATTATTATTATTTTTTTGGGTGGTAACACTCTCCACCCACTGCAGGGGTGGGACAATTCCCTTAGGCCAAGTGGCAAAAGTTATGTAATTGATTCAGTTGACCTATCATATAACCTATATAATCTCTGATCTAATTCAGCAACTCTCAGATTTGGGATTCAGAGTTTTTTATTTTTTTATTTTTTGCCAAAAGTCATAAAATACGCAATTATCGATTGACAATATGTAAATGCTACTATAGAAGAATGAGTTATGCATGCCTAAGGAAAACTATAATTCTGTGATGAAACCTAGAAACAAGTGGTTTAAGTGTCCTGTGTCACCGTAAAGCAACAATCTTTGTTCTAATTACACATATGTTTGTCACCCTGGTGGTAGAAAGCTTATTTGGGGAAAGGGGGAAAACCATTGATCTAGTTGATGCATGTTACAACACTACGGGATTGTACAGGTGTACTTTTTTTATAGTTCATCTGTTACAAACTAATCTGAATATATTAGAGGGAAATATAGCGCTTATTGAATATTTGAAGGAGCCATCATTTGCCAATAGGAGCCCGTGCAGGGTTCATATGACACTTTCTACGAAAGAGCTGAATGATTCAAATTTAACATACGAAAACATATTCAATTAACTACGTGATTGTGTACCATCAAGACCTGTGGCTTTGTGATACATATTAACTCTTTTCATAGTGGAAGGTGGAGAGTTCAAATCTTCAGGAGTAATTTGCTGAGGGAAAAAGAAAAAATATGTGATTGAGTCATTTATTCTCAGTGTTTGCCTTGAGACAATTTTTGTATGATGGTTCCTTCTTTTGGAACATCAGGTATGCAATTAATTCTGTTGTCATCCCCATTCTTATTTTCTTATTTATGTATTTATTTTTTCATTCTATATATCGTAATAATGCCATTGCAGTGAAGTCACAATACCTAAGATCACCAGCTATTTAGTCTCTGAGCCACATTCTAGCTTTTTCTAATCTCACGATTCGAGATTTCGAAATCTCATAACTAGTGAAAAAGAAGAAAACCGTTCACTTTCAGACAGTTTCCTGCGCATCAAGGGGCTTCACTTATGAAGTCAAGATAGGGAAGGGTAGTCTACAATCAGGGAATGCCTTTGTACAACATGAAAGGTGCCACATCCAACCCAAATTTGACATCGGGTTGAATTTTTTCAATCTTTTCGTCTGCATATTTTCCTTACTTTGCTTAAGTTGATATTTCTTGCATCTTGGAAATTTTGATCCTTTAATTTACATTGTTATCTATAGTAAATTATAGATTGAAATTAGATTTTCTCTCTTTAATATCTGTGTTCTGTGTAGAGTAATGCTGTATTTCATTGTTAAGGCCATTATTGATCCTCGCCCTCTAGCAGTACATTTTCCAAGAATTTAAATTGTAATTTATTTTCGTTTGTTTAATGTGATGCCTAATTTATATTCTGCATTTCTTTGAGGTGATCTTTTTATGTTAATGGTGTTTGATTTGGTGCTTTAAGCACCTGGATGAAGAAATAAAGTTGAAGCAAATGCAGAGATACATATTGACTTCTTTGTCAAATCTAATCATGTTTGGCCATGAGAAAATATTCCTAATTTTTGACATGGACAAGATAACAAGATGACACTATGACAGCAAAATATATGTTTGACGCTTTAAAAGATTTGTGTTGCTGGGAATTTTTTTATTTTTTATTTCTTTATAAAATTTTATGAACATAAAATGATAATTTATTGTAACTTTCTTGAGAAATGCTAGTGAAAAAGTCTCTTTTTATTTTAATTCAAAATTATTATTGTCTTTTTCTTTGTTTTCCAAATAGATTTAATGATTATTTGATTGGCTTGTATTACTGGTCTATAATATTTTCATTTTCTTGTTTTTTTTCCCCTGTTTATATAAGCTCTTTTAATTTAGTCTTTTAAAAAAAACCCCACTTTTGTTCCAAAACCCCAACGCCCTTCCGCCATTTCATTTGCTCTTCTTCTCCGCACACACACAAACCCTAAAGATGTCAGACATTCAGGTGGAAGTTATTTCCAACATACTCTCACGATTACCGGTGAAATCCCTTCTGCGGTTCAGATGCATATTGAAATCTCTGATCGACAGCCCACATTTCATCAAATCGCATCTCAATCGATCGATCAAAGCCAACACTAATCACAGCTTCATCTTTAGAATTGAAAACCGTTTCTCCATAGACTTGGATTCTCTCGATCATGCCGTAGAGCTTGACAATCCTATCAAGAATGAAGAAGAAACCAAACTGCTGGTTTCTTTCGATGGCTTGGTTCTTTTGTGCAACCCTTTCTACAACGAAGTCATACTACGGAACCCTTCCACTCGAAAACACCGGATGCTACCGGTCTCACAGGTTTAGTTCCCGTCTGGATGTCCCTTTATCGATTTTACTGCTTTGGGGTTAGGGTATGATTCTGTCAGTGATGACTAAAAGATGGTGAGGATGGTACAGTTTGTTGGCAAAGATGACGAATTGACGATTCACTTCATTCTGAAGTTAAGGTTTATACAGTTTGTTGGGAAAGATGACGATTCACTTCATTCTGAAGTTAAGGTTTATAGTCTAAAATCAAATACATGGTGAAGGGTTCAAGATTTCCCTTATCACCATCTATACAGGGTTTTGCCTGGTATCACCATTAATGGGGCTCTGCACTGGGTTGTGACTTGAAAACCCAAGTCCGATACAGTGAGTTTGATTACTTCTTTTGATCTTGGGGTTGGTGCCAAAACCTGATTGTTTGGATGAGGATATTGTTGGTTTGATTGTTGTTGCCTTAGGAGATTGCCTTTGTATTGTTTGTAAATATCCTGGAGGCCGAGTTGATAAATGGGTGATGAAGAAGTATGGAGGAAAGGAGTCTTGGACTATTTGGGATTCGGACTTCTTTTGCCAAAAATCATAAAATATGCATCTTATCGGTTCACAATCTGTAAATGTTACCATATAAGAATGCGTAATGCACGTTTAAGGAAAATTATAATTGTGTGACAAAACCTAGAAACTAGTGGTTTTAGGTGTCCAGTGTCATGGTCACTGATTCACCGTAAAGCAAAGATGTTTGTTTGAACTACACGTTTATGTGATCCTGGTGGAAGAAAGCTTGTTTGGGGAAAACCATTGACCCAGTTGATGCATGCTACAGCACTATGGGATTGTACAAATGTACTTTAGCTAGAGTTCATCAATTACAAACCAATCTGAATAAATTTATAGGGAAGTATAGAGATTATTGGCCATTTGGCCTAAGTGTAGTTTTTTGGGTTGCATTCCCCATTTGAATGCTTTCTAATACTAATTTACTCATCAAAAAAAAAGTAGAGGGCTTATTGAATATTTGAAGGAGGTGTCATTTGCCAATAGGATCCCGTGCAGGGTTCATATCGACGAACGAGCAGAATGATTCAAATTAAGGAAACGAAAATGTAGTCATTTAATTACGTAATTGTACCATCAAGAGATTCTGCTTAGTGATATATATTATCTTTTTTGATAATGGAAGGTTGTGAGTTCAAGTCTTCAGGAGTAATTTGCTGAGGGCAAAAAAATTGTGATTGTGTCATTTATTCTCAATGCTTGCCTTGAGACAATGTGTTGCATGATGGTTCCGGTTTTGGAACATTAGGTATGCAATTAGTTGTGTTCTCAGCCTCATTCTTGTTTTCTTAATAATTTTTTATTTTTTATTTTTCATTCTTCATATCGTAAAAATGTCATTGTAATGAAATCACAATACCTAATAACAACGTGAAAGGTGCCACGTCCAACCAAATTTGACGTCGGGTAAAAAATTTCAATCATTTTGTCTGTGCTTTTCTTTGTTGTGCTTAAGTTGTCTGTTGATATTTCTTGCATCATATAAATTAGGGTAAATTACACTGACACCCCTTGAGGTTAAGTTAAATTTCACCTAGATGAACATTTTGGTTTTAACTTTCACTTACATCCCAAATTACTTTTGCTCTGACACATTTGATTTGACTTATTTACCCCCATTTTTTAAATTACATTTAATACAAAATATCTATAAACTTAAATGATAAAAATATCCCCTATGTATAATATTCCAAATACTCCTCTTTCTCTCTCTCCTCTCTCTATCTATCTACATAAATGTATATCCTCTAGTGATTGAGGAGCACCACTCCAAGTCACAGCCGCCATCGCCGGCGAGTCCTCTCAGGTAATTGCAGATTCCCTGCCCATTCCAGTTCACCGTACTCCAAATTCGCCCATTTGACGGCAAACCAAGCAATCCTCGAAGCCACCTACAGTGTGATGAAGATTCGCATCGTCGATTTTGGGATCGGGCGATGGCGGAGCTAGACTACCAAGCCAATTATCGGCGTTGAACAGCGATCGGCGTTGGTGAAAATAGGGGAAGACTCCAGTGAAGGCGACGATGGTAGTCTTAGGTTCCAGGTGGCTATTTGTTGCTGCTGGGTTCCTGGCTTAAGTTCTGAAGGTAAAGGGTGGATGGGTTGATTGGTTGAGCATTTGGGGTTGCGATTGGTGTTTGGGTTTTGGCTATGGATTTTTACGAGTGATTGAGGGTTTTCTTTGGTTATATATAAGGAGGTATATGCGTAAACTTTGCTGTCAAACAATAACTAAATTAGTTTTAGTTTCTCAAATCCTCTTTCTACCAAATAAGAACCTACCGTATTCATGCAAGAACAAATATCTCCGATTGCCGGATTTTCACCAAAATAATCTGTGTAAATAATTAATCTCTGTCCTTCTCTCAACCATGTTTAAAACCCTAGCCGGTACTTCTCTTTCTTGTTGAACGTGTCCCAGAAGTCTCAATCCAGTGCAATCAGGTTTGTCATTGTTTAGCAATTGTTAAGAGTTTTAGTGATTTCTATCCCAAAAATTATTAGACAATTTTATTGATTTTCTATGTCAATACCATCTCATATGTTGCAGATCCAAAATAAGTTCTTTTGTAGTTGGTTATTGTTTTTTATAGCAGAATAATTATAACTATGTTATGTTAATTACTATTATATATAATTTTGTAACAACCTTTTTTTTATTTATTCTTACCTTTCTTTCTTTCTCTCTCTTCTATTGATCTTGTGACTCTAATTTTTCAGTCTTACAATGGAGAGGTGTTGGGTGGGGTGGTGATGATGGGTTTTGACTTTGTCACTTGCTGATATTTTTGTCATGAAAAAATTCAAATACCTTTTTCCCAAGTCAACAGCAAGTCAAAAGGGTAGTATAGTCATTTTACATTTAAAAGTACTGTGAAATCACAAAAAAACTGACATTTGAGGTGTAAGTGAGATACAAATTCACTCTTTCAAATATGACGAAAATTAAACTAAAATGTTCATCTAATTGAGATTTGACCTAACATGAAGGGGTGTCAGCGTAATTTACCCTATAAATTAAGATCCTATTATCTATATTAAATTATTAATTGCAATTAGATTTTTTCTCTTTAATTTCTGTGTTTTGTGTAGAGTGATGCTCTACTTCATTTAGTTACATTGCAACTGCTAAGGCCATTATTGATCCTCACCCTCTAGCAAAGAGTTGAAATTACTTTCGTTAATGTGATGCCTAATGCATTATATGCTGCATTTCTTAGGGATGATCTTCTGGCAACGGAGTTTGAAGTAGTGCTTTAAGCATCTGGATGAAGAAATAAAGTTGAAGCAAATGCAGAGATATATTGACAGATTTTGGGCTGTAGTATCTGAATTCCGATTAAATGCAGAAATACAGTTGAATCTTTGTTTCCTTTCCTATTAAATCTTTGCAATATTAGTGGCAGTGTTTTGTTAGGTAGATGCCAATTGAATGGCAGGCGCTCAGTCGATGCCGTGCACCCCTGCTATCTGTTCCATTCTAACATGTTTTTCTTATCTAATTCATAATGTATAATGAATAGTTCAGCGTACTACATATTTTAGGTACCAATACTAAATTATGAATGATGTCTTGTAAGCAATACTTAATTTGGTTTTTGAAAAGTTTTACATACCATTAATTACGGCATATGTACTTGTATTTTTCGGTGCTAAGTTTGTTACATTTGGCATTACAATGAAATTTGGTGTAAATGAGGATTTGATACTATGTCTTATGAGGTGACTTGCATCCTTTCATTTGCTAGGTTTTATCATAAGGAATGTCAATGACCTTTTGTAGGTTTGCAGTAGTTAGATGCTACCGTCTGACTTGTGAATGGTTTTATTTCATCAATTTCATTCCAGTCGTAGACAGACTCAATCAAAACTTCCATTTGATAATTGATTCATGTCTAACAAATGACATCTTTTATGATTAATTGGTCAGGGTTACCTGTAATTTTGGGGAATAGTCCTGCCCCCAAAAGTGGTGCTGACACCCTCCAATCAATTGTCCCCAAAAAAAACAAAAATCATAGATCCAAAAGTTTACTGCTTTAATTTTTAATTTATATTTATTTATTTATTTATTTTTTGTATTATAATGGCTCTCCACCCGCTTCGGATGTGGGATTATTCCCTTAGGCCAAGTGGCAAAAGCTTTGTAGCCCCATTCAGTCGACCTAGCGTATAATCTCTTGTCTATTTTAGCAACTTCTAGATTCGGGATTCAGACATTATTTATTTATTTATTTATTTGTCAAAAATCATAAAATATGTGTGGTTGACAATATGTAAATGCTACCATATAAGAATGAGGTGAAATCTAAAAACAAGTGGTTTTAAGTATTCAGTGTGAACGTAAAACAATGGTCTTTGTCGGAACTACACATGCTTATTTCATCCTGGTGGAAGAAAGCTTATTTGTCGAAACTGCAATTGTTACAACCCGTAGGGATTGCACATGTATACTTTCGTTAGAGTTCATCTATTACAAACTAATCTGCATGTATTTAGAGGGAAATATAGAGCTTATTGAATATTTGAAGGAGGTGTCATTTTCGAATGAGAGCCATTGCAGGGTTAATATGACACTTATTGACGAGCGAGTAGAGTGATTCAAATCTAACATGCGAAAATATAGTGGATGGTGGAGAGTTCAAGTCTTCTGTGATTTGCTTGGGGGGGAGAGGAATGTGTGTGTGGGGTCATTTATTCTCTATGTTTGCCTTGAGACAATGTATTGCACGATGGTTCCTTCTTTTGGAACATCAGGTATGCAATTAGTTATGTTCTTAGCCCCATTCTTATTTTCTTAATATTTTTTATTTTTCATTCTAGATATCGTGAAATTGTCATTGTAATGAAGCCACAATACCTAATAACAACGTGAAAGGTGCCGGCGTCCAACTCAAATTTGACATAGGGTTGAAAATTTTGTTATTCATTTTGTCTGCATGTTTTCTTTACTTTGTTTAAGTTGATATTTCTTGCATCATAGAAATTTCAATCCTGTTATTTACGTTATTATATATATAATTTAAATTACTAATTGCAATTAGATTTTGTCTCTTTAATTTCTATGTTGTGCATTAGATTTTCAGAATCTCATAGGTATAATATTTAGCAATGACTGTTGATTCAAATGAGGGTGTGAATCAATGCATGGAGACAAGTAATAGGTTATATCATGTTAGAATTGTTTTTGTACCATGATGTCTTTCTTAGAATAACTGATGGTGACAATTTAGGCGCAGTAACAGGAAATGTGATCCTGGCATGATTTGATTGCCATGCTATACCTGTCATGTCTTACAGAGCAAGTGTGGGTAACTCAAGTTATCTATTTACTTTTTAAAAAGTAGTGTGTCACGAAAGTCAAAAAGTGATGATGTGGTACTCTATTTTTTTTAATCTATATGTTCCATGGTGTAGAACCCGATTATTTCATTCTCTATTTCTTATTTTATTAATATTTTATTTAAAAATAAAATAAAAAATTTGACAATCCAATAGATTGTCACTATAGGGCTCACAAAAAATTTGACAATCCAATACACAGCAGCCACAACCAATTAAACAAAGCAAAAAAATTAAAAAGTACTCTCCAAATCGCACTCTATATTTAGACAATCCAATAGATTATTACTGTAGGGCCCACAAAAATAACACTCTACTTCTTCTTGCATATCACCCCCCTCTCTCTACATTGACACTAAAACCCTCTAAAACACCTTCCGCCCCGGATGCTCTTAGATGTACATTGTTGAGTGTTGTGAGAATGGCCTTTGGTGCATTGGTGACGTGTCCATAATGAGTCTCTAGTTATCCAAGCTTGATTATTATTGTAATTTATACCAAACTTTTTGACTTGATTCTAGTTAATGAGGATGTGAAACAATGGTTGGGGACAATTAATTGGTAATTACTATGTTTGAATATTTTTCTGCCATAGCATGAATTATTTTTGTAATTGTGCATGACCACTATAGTGAAGCTTTTATATATAATAATGACCTTAGAACTGATGGCGATAATATAGGTGCAGTAACAGGAAGTGTGATCTTGGCATGATTTGATTGCTTTATACATGTTATATAGGTTGAATTTTGTGATATCCTTTTTGCTTCTTGAGATTTATGTTGAAGAGGAGGAGCAATTCCAATTTAAAGTTGCTTTCATTATGGCTTTATGTTGGCAAAAGCTCTGTGACTCTTATTAAATTACTGTAGATTACCATACCAACATGCATTCCACTCAAATATTTAAAAAGACAAAAGAAAATGAGAAATATAATATATTAAGAAAACTATAAATATGATATTTTATGTAAAGAAGTATTAATATTATCTTTTATTTTTTACTCCATTGTTTTTCCCAAATTATATCATCACGGGCTCTGCTCGTAGAGCTTGGTATTTGAATCGGGGTTTGAAACCAAGCTTTTGCTCAGGGGGACCGTGGATAGATGCGACACAGGCCAACGTTTGATTCACCCGTGAGATCCATGCATAGCCGTGGACTGATCATAATAAAAGTTCCTTTTTGGGAATTTTAGCTATTTAAAGAGAATGTGCTTTAATATATATTTTTAATATATTAGTAGTTAATAAATTATTAAAATATTTATAATGGGTCGATTTAATTTTTATAAATTTAATGTAATAAGATTAAATTAATAATGTTATAAATAACAATAATAATTTTTTAAGCTTTTAAATGAGAGATTTATTTTGCGATAGCCAATAGAAAAGTTGATATATATATATATATATATTAAGTAATAATTATTTCGAGAAAAATAAAAAATCATAACAAGCCATTTGATAGTCACAAGTTAGAATCAATATTACAACCATTGATGGGAATACAAAATATAATACTCATTATCATACAATAATCTGTAAAATAAATTAGCACTACTCCATTTTGTTCTCCATGCGGACCATTGTTTCGTACCAAACATTTATAGTCGTCCAAAACCCTAACCTTAGAATCGAAACCCTCTGCAGTCTCCTTCGCCCCTTCTGCAAAACTGTGTATAACCCTAAAATAGAAACTGAAAAAAAATGTCACAACTTCCGCCCGATGTGATCGCCGACATAGTCTCAAGATTAGTGGTGAAACTCCTCCTACGGTTCAGATGCGTTTCGAAATGGTGGTGTGCTCTAATCGACAGCCCAGCTTTCATCAAATCGCATCTGAATCGATCCATCGAAACCAACAACCACCGCAGCCTCTTTCTAAAAGACTCAGGTGCCACCATAGACTTGGAGTCGCTCGAATTTGACAACCCCATCAACTGGGACGACTACTTTGGAGCTGAAATGATTGGTTGTTGCAATGGCTTGCTCGGTTTTCTTAGCATAGATGATCACATTGTGCTGCTGAACCCTTCCACCCGAAAACGCCAGAAGTTACCCTTCACACCGGTTGAGGTACCTCGTGAACCACGTTGCCCTTGCCCGGACGACGGCCGTGTTGAACGCTGCTTTTGTCCGAATACTGCTTACGACTTTGGCTGTGATTCCGTCAATGATGACTACAAGGTAGTGAGGATAACACAACTATATGACAAAGATGATAATGATTCATTTGATTCTATAGTTACGATTTACAGTCTCAAATCAAATTCATGGCGAAGAATTCAAGATTTCCCTTATTACTTCTTGCACAATCGGCCGGATGCTGCTCTTGCTAGTGGGGCTTTTCATTGGGTTGTGAGTCGAAGACCCTATTCGGATACGGTCAGGTTGATCTTGGGATTGAGCAATATCGGTTGGTGCCACTGCCTGAATTTTCAGATGAGAATTTCCGTATGTATGTGGATGTGTTAGGAGGATGTCTTTCTTTGCTGTGCAATTATGCCAGGGTCCGTGCTGAGGTATGGGTGATGAAGGAGTATGGAGTTAAGGAGTCTTGGACTAAATTATTTTGTGTTGCTCAACGGTCAACCCACTATTATTAGGACGTTTCGCTATGTGAGAACTTTGGCTTATTCAAAGACGGGTGAGAAAGTACTAATGCAACGGGATGATCAAAAGCTTCTTTGGTATGACCTAGGAAAGAAAAGAATTAAAAAACTGAAGATTCGCAGCCGGCTTGTACCAGATGAAGTTGAGATTTATTTTGAAAGCCTCGTTCCCCTTCGTGAATCGTGATGATGGTGAGTGACAGAAAGAAGGCGAAGAAGAAAAATATAGACCAGAGAAGGCAAGTAATTGTGCTTTTCATTCCCATGCCTAATTTCTTTACATTGCTTTACTTAATCTTGCTTGGCATCTCGTTTCTTTGAAATTCTGATCCTTTAAGTGACATGATCAAATATATTTTTTGCAGTAAGAGTTGGTCTCTTTGGTGTTGTATAGAGCTATGAAGTATTTTATCTATCACATTGCAAGTCCCAAGGCCAGTATCAGGCTCTCACCTACTAGCAGTACATTTTACAAGAGGTTTTTATTTTTTATTTTTCTTAGACATATTTTCCTGTCCAAGAGGTTCACACTGTTGACCGGTGCTATAAGAAACTTGAAGAAGTAACAACGTAGGAGCAAGATGGAGAGTAGGTTAATAAATTTTAGCAGCTTCTTTTTTAAGTGGAGTTGATTTATTTCCTTTTTACTTGGTTCATCTGCTAGCTTATGTGGTCAGGATTTTGTTGTTCTACATTAGATTTCTCCTGTTTTTACTGATTTCCATCTCCTCCAAACTATAAAACAGCATGATTTCTTTTGAAATTTCTCAAATCTCATAAAGAGTGGTGATATGGAGATTTTGGGAGAAGGTTAGGCTTGTCAATAATCTCACTGAACACTTAGAAAAAAAAAAAAGAAGATTTCTATCCCTTGTACGCCATCCTCATCCTGCTGATTGATGCAAAAGAATATATATATTTTTGTTTGGAAGGTGATGCAAAAGTTTTCTCTCATTTAATATTATTATTTTTTTTGGGTGATAACACTCTCCACCCACTGCAGGGGTGGGACAATTCCCTTAGGCCAAGTGGCAAAATTTTTGTAATCCATTCAGTTGACCTAGCATATAATCTATATAATCTCTGATCTAATTCAGCAACTGTCAGATTCGGGATTCAGAGTTTTTTTTTTTTGCCAAAAATCATAAAATAGGCATTATCGATTGACAATATGTAAATGCTACTATAGAAGAATGAGTTATGCATGCTTAAGGAAAACTATAATTCTGTGATGAAACCTAGAAACAAGTGGTTTAAGTGTCCCGTGTCACCGTAAAGCAACAATCTTTGTTCTAACTACACATATGTTTGTCATCCTGGTGGTAGAAAGCTTATTTGGGGAAAGGGAGAAAACCATTCATCTAGTTGATGCATGTTACAACACTACTGGACTGTACAGGTGTACTTTTTTTAGATTTCATCTGTTACAGACTAATCTGAATATATTAGAGGGAAATATAGGGCTTATTGAATATTTGAAGGAGCCATCATTTGCCAATAGGAGCCCGTGCAGGGTTCATATGACACTTTCTACGAATGAGCCGATTCAAATTTAACATAGGAAAACATATTCAATTAAACTACTTTATCGTGTACCATCAAGTCATGTGGCTTTGTGATATATATTGACTTTTTTCATAGTGGAAGGTGGAGAGTTCAAATCTTCAGGAGTAATTTGCTGAGGGAAAAAGAAAAATTATGTGATTGTGTGGTTTATTCTCAATGTTTTCCTTGAGACAATTTTTGTATGATGGTTCTTTCTTTTGGAACATCAGTTATGCAATTAATTATGTTGTCAGCCTCATTCTTATTTTCTTATTTATGTATTTATTTTTTCATTCTATATAGCATAATAATGGCGTTGTAGTGAAGTCACAATACCTAGGATCACCAGCTTGTTAGTCTCAGAGCCACATCCTAGCTTTTTCTAGTCTCACGATTCGAGATTTCGAAATCTCATAACTAGTGAAAGAAAACCGTTCACTTTCAGACAGTTACCTGCGCATCAAAGGACTTCACTTATAAAGTCAAGATAGGGAAGGGTAGTCTACGATCAGGGAATGCCTTTGTACAACATGAAAGGTGCCACATCGAACCCAAATTTGACATCGGGTTGAAATTTTTCAATCTTTTCGTCTGCATATTTTCCTTACTTTGCTTAAGTTGATATTTCTTGCATCATAAAAATTTTGATCCTTTAATTTATGTTGTTATCTATAGTAAATTATAGATTGATATTAGATTTTCTCTCTCTTTAATATCTGTGTTCTGTGAAGAGTAATGCTGTATTTCATTGTTAAGGCCATTATTGATCCTCACCTCTAGCAGTACATTTTCCAAGAATTGATTTTCTGTCAATGGTGTTTGAATTGGTGCTTTAAGCACCTGGATGAAGAAATGAAGTTGAAGCAAATGCAGAGATATATATTGACTTCTTGTTATTGACGTTGTTATGTTTAATGTTCTTGTATATTTTGGGTATAAAACAGAGATGAAATGATCATATAATCGATCACTTTGCTCCTAATATGAAAATTCTTGTTTTTTCTCAGAATTGATGCTGGATTAACGGGGCGATAGTTGGGCAATTTCATAGTTCGCAGATGGAAGGAAAGAATAATAGCTATGTACTCACTTTTGTTAGAATTGGAACATCCTTGGATGGTGGCAGACTTGCATCCTCTTCTGCTCCTCTACTTATTTATTTATTTATTTTTTATAAGAATCTCACAGGTCTAATCTTTAGCAATGGTTGTTGACTCAAATGGGGTGTGAATCAATAATGTATGGAGACAAGTAATAGGTTATATTATGTCAGAATTGCTTCTGTACCATGTGCATGAATGCTAGCCACCACCTTCCACCACTACTGCCACCACCGCTATCGCCTTTCACCACCACTACCACCTTCTATCACGGCCACCGCCTTCGATCGCCACTTCCTTCCAATGTTGCCGCCACCTCCGCCTTCGATCGCCACTTCCTTCCAATGTTGCCGCCACCTCCGCCACTGCCTTACGCCACCACCACCGTCTACCACCACCGCTACCGCCGCCTTCCACCACTTTCCACCACCACTGTCATCACCTTCCACCACCACCACCGTCATCGCATTCCACCACCACCGCCACTGTCTTCCACCACCGCCACCATCTTCCACCACCACCGCCTTCCTTCACCAGCACCACCTTCCACCACCACTATCACCACCGCCTTTCAGCACCGCCACCACCGCTACCTCCACTGCCTTCCACCACCACCATAGTCACCTCTATTGGCTTCCACCATCGCCTCCAATACAATTATTTTCTTCCATCACCACACAACTGCCGTTGTCTTCCACCACCACGGCCGTCGTCTTCCTCCATTGCCACCGCCGCCTTCCACCATTGCTACCACTGTCGCCTTCCAACACCACTACCTACACAACTATCACTTTCCACTTCCACCATCATCACTGCCACTATTTATTTTTAAAAAATTATTAGAGAATGTCATTTTGTTAATTTAATTTATTTGTTATTATTAGGGATATTTTAGAGAATTCAATTTGAAATTTATTTCATTCTAAATTTTAAATTGGTCCAACTAGAATTGTTATTATCATTTAATTCCTACTCATTTCATATTTACAACCACAAATGATTTAAAGAAAGAGAGAACATGGAACTTTGTAGAATGAGTTCTAATTGCGTTGGATGAAAAATGATTTAAAGTGGAAACGAATTGCAATAAAACATAAACTTAATTGAAAAAAATGAAAATCTATTGGAAATATATTAACGTGAATTGAAATTGCAAGAAACTGGAATAAAATGGAAATTAATATTGGAGAAGATATGCAAAGGAAATAACTAATAAAGGAAGTTGAATCAAAATAGGATAATAAATTAAGAGAGTTGAATTAAACTACAACATTAGGAAAGAAATTATCTCTACAATTATTTATAGAAAACTAAAATAGACAAGTATTGTCTTAGGGACAGAGTCATTGTTGAACACTGAATCCAATTTTATTTAACAGGACACAGAGTTATTGTTAGACACTACATATGTAAATAGCAATAACAATGGTAACACTCTTAACTTTGGGTACATTTCATTTAGTGATGCTCCCGTCAAAATAGACAATTTATTAAAAAAAATAATAATAAATTAAAATTTTCTGTTTTTTGATTTTTTTTTTTTTTTTTTTGAGTATTTTTCTTAACCTTTTTATTTTATTTTTATTTTTGTCCTGCCAAAAGAGACCCCCCTCCAAAAAAAAAAAAAAAAAAAAAAAAATCAGAGAGGGGAAGACAAAGGTGTTGTTTGATAGTTAAATTCAACACTTAATTTTGAACGAATATACTTATTTAATTAAGCTTGTTTGCTAATTCAATTTTAATATCACAAAAATAGTCCGGGCCACTTAAAAATGATAAAATTTTAAGTGACATGAATATTACTTTGTCACTAGAGGCGGAAGAAAATTAAAAAGGATATAAAAAATATTATTTTTTAGTTATTAGTTAAAATCTTTTTAGTCTTATCAAACATCACCAAAATGATCATTTCAAATTTAAAAAGGTGGTTGTGTAATTTGAAAAAATAATAATTTTTCACTTTAAATTTGTTACTTTTATTAAGATGGGAATGCAAACGTAGAATAGGGAGAGAGGATAGGGATTGTGGAAGCGTTGGGCAGAAGCAGCAAACAAAAGAAAAGGTGACGAAGAAAAAGAAACAGAGAAAGAAGGTATGTAGTGACCCACTCAAACTAATAACTCAAATTAGTGATTAATTAAAGGATAAAATTGTAAAAGAGTAATTAAATATTTAAATTATAAATAATAGAAATAAAAATATAATTCTAATCTTAAGAGGATGTGTAGGAAAACAATAATCTACTAATTTTATCAGTGTTGAGGCTCAGAGTTTTAAGTGTTAGTTATGTGACTTATGTCTTGATTCTTTAACATTTATAAAAGAATTAGGTAGTTACGAAAGTTTAATTGTTAGGGGATCAAAGGTGGAGGCCCATTTTATTCTGGAAATCGATTGGGCCTTACTTACCTATGTGGTAGTAGCCTATTTGTACCAAGCGCCGTTCCTCTCTTAGACTTCTGAATAGAAAACCCTAGAATTCCCCGAAAATGTCAGATCTTCATGTGGATGTAATCGCCGACATACTATCAAGATTACCGGTGAAACCCCTTCTACGGTTCAGATGCGTGTCAAAATCATGGTGTGCTCTGATCGACAGCCAACATTTCATCAGATCGCATCTAAATCGATCCATCGAAACCAACACCAATCGCAGCATCATTTACATGGAAAATGAGCTCTACTCCTTAAATTTGGACTCTGTCGACGATGATGGTACGGTAGTGCTTGACCACCCGTTGAAGAATGAAGAGGAGGATACTGAATTGATTGGTTCTTGTGATGGGGTGCTCTGTTTGTTTAATTCACACAAAGACATTGCGCTGTGGAATCCTTCCACCAGAAAACATCACCAATTACCAGTCGCACCGATTGACTTCCCGCGCAAACGTCGTGTTTACCAGAATACTGTATACGGGTTTGGGTATGATTCTGTCAATGATGACTACAAGGTGATGAGAGTGATAGAGTATTTTCGCAACGGTGATGATTCGTTTGAGTCTGAAGTTAAGGTTTATAGTCTGAAGTTGAATTTGTGGCGAAGGGTTCAAGATTTCCCTTATCACCTCTGGGATGGGGAAAATGCTTTGCTTGCTAATGGATCTTTGCATTGGGTTGTGTGTCGAAGACCGGATTCGGATAGGTCCAGGTTGATTGCTGCTTTTGATTTTGGGGTTGAGGAATATCGATTGGTGCCACAGCCTGATTATTCTGATGAGAATTTTGAGATGAGTCTGGGGGTTCTAGGAGGATGGCTTTGTCTAGTTACTGACTATCGCATGGTTGGTGTTGATTTATGTGTTGATATCTGGGCGATGAAGGAATATGGAGTTAAAGAATCTTGGACTAAATTGTTTTCTATTGCTCAACCCAGTACCCTCAGGTGGTTTGATTATGTGAGGCCTCTGGCTTTTTCAAAGACTGGTGGGGAAGTACTACTGGTACAGGACGGTGAAAGGTTTCTTTGGTACGATTTAGAAATGAAAACAATCAAACATTTTGAGATTCAGGGTGTAGACTTTATAATGGAAGCTGACTTATGTTTTCGAAGCCTTGTTCCGCTTCGGTGGTGAAGGTGGAATTGATGAGGAGAAGCAGTAAACACAATAGGGTCGATTTCTCTCTCTTTTAACTTGGTTTTATTGGCTAGTTTATGGTATTCTTTATTATTATGATATTTTAATAACAGGAATAGAGGCAATACAGTGTACGTTCAGGTTTAACCAATTCCTCTATGAAGGTAGGAATAGCTTCGTGAAATTAATTGTTCTCTTTTTTCTGAAATGCATATTTAGCTTCGCCCTGAGCTATTCCATTGCCTTTTCTCTTGACCCATCCAAATCTCGAATGATCATCATATTGCAGTTAAATTGCAGTCCCCCTCCACTACTTCAATCATACCCTAAGTTGCCCTTATTTCTAGCAACCATAGCCTCTACCACAACAGAAGAACCAATTGAAGGGGGAAGTAGCGGACCACAACTTTATGTACCCTACCGAATTCATCTTTCAATACAATCCCACCAGCAGCATATCCAGAGTGAGAACTAAAATCAGCATCAAAATTTAAGTTTTAAAAAAAACCCGACAGTATTGGATTCCATCTTACAATGGAATGCATTCTAGTAGTCTTCCTTACAGAATGTACTGTATACTTCACCTACCTAATTACATTGCATTCCTTAAGGGTCTAATATTAAAATTTCTCTCTTAGGATTTGATACAGGACTGATTGGGTAGGTTAGGAATGTTACGAAGTTTGATGATGGAGTTACAAAAAGAAGATTAGGAATATTTTATATTAGTATTGTTATTATTACATCCAATATACTCTTTTTTGTGAAGTCATTAGTCAGGTTGCATAGTTAAAGATTTCTATTTTACTTGTGTAGTTCCTATGGTTTTGAGAGTTGGCACCTTAAATGATCATGGCCTGTTTGCATCCTAGTTCTCTCAAGTTTGATCTATTTTTATGGGTCTAATTTTCATCAATGGTAATTGAGTTAAATGAGGGTGTGAAACAGAGTTAGGATACACTTTATGTGTAAATATATGCTAGAATTGCTTTTGTACAGTACACGTGAAGGTTTGTTTCACTTTGTGCCTCTTAGATGTATTTTGCTGAGAGTTTTGATGAGGGGATTTAAATTTCCTTTTTCTGGATTGGTGAATTGCCAATAATAAGTCTATGATTATCTATTCTTGGTGATAAATTCATAAATTTGTACTGTACTTGACTTGGTCCAGATCATGGTTCCTGATCATTGGATTAGAAAACAACATTTGTTTATATTTAGTTCATTTTTTAAAAACTAAATTTTTTTGAGTTTCTTGAAATTTTAATAATTTTGTTTGGATTTTTTTATCTTCATGCTTGAAATTTTGATTGTAAATTAATGTTTTTATTAGGGTCAATTTGTGATGACCATGTCATCTTTTTTCCGTTTTTCCGACATTTTTATTATTATTATTTGGGCGAATTGCAAAAAACCCCCCTCGACTATCACTCACTTGCAAAAAACCCCTCTTATGAATACTTTTAGCAAGAAACCCCCCTCAACTGTATTGAGGGGGGTATTTTAACTTAACACTGTAATAATTTTTTGAGGCAATTTTTTGGACCAAATTACCCCTCAACTTTGTGGATTGGGTCATTGTTCAGTCTTCCATTAAATCCGGTGATGTTCAGTCCTCCTTCTTCCCCATTCACATTCACGCCGTAACGGTTTAAGAACCGGATACCTCTGCAAACATCTTCCTTGGATGTGTTTAATTTCACTTACCTTGCATGTTTGTCAAATTAGTTTCCGTTGTTCAATTTTTTAGTTTACTTACCCAGTTGCTGGAATGCTTCTGCACAGTATCCGAATTTTCTATATTGCTGCCTTCATTTGCATTTTTCTTGTGCTGCCGCTGAATTATTTTGGGAAAGTGATGCAACACAAGTTAATCCCTTCAGAGTCAATGGAAGTATTCACCATTGGGAATGTCAAAGAAGGATCAAAATGGTGCGAATTTCATCAAAATCAAGTTTTAGATTAACTAATTGGAACTTTAAGAAGTTCCAGATGCGGTAGCCTTCCAGACTCTATTTATAATAAAAAAAAAAGAAAAGAAAATAAAAAAGCAGATTTTTGTGCCATTCCATTACATATTCAACCACAGTTATAATGCTAACTCAAAGAAGTAATTAACTTATTGACAAAACATGTTAAAACCATCTGCTCATCAATTGTTTTTTCTCTCTATGTCTCTCACTTTCTCTCTTTTTTTTTTTTTTTTATTTATTATTTTTTATTTATTATTTTTTATCTTAGTTTTACATTGTCCTCACTTTCATCATACATTATTGATCCCTCATCCTAGTTTTCTTTGTTTGGATATAACAGGGAGAGAGAGGTTACGTTTGCAAGAAATTTATTTTTTAAGATGCGAAGAAGAAGTAGCGTTTTTTCTATTCCCCAACTTTTTCTCTCAACACCACCCCCACCGCACCCAACTTTTTCTCTCTCCGTACCACCACTACAACATCTCTCTCATCCATTATCAAAACCTTACTGCAGTACCAAAACGAACAGAGAGGGGGAGTGGCTTGGTCGGACTGCCAAATTCGTCTGCTTTTTCATGACCCAAATCCACAATGTTGAGGGGTAATTTGGTCCAAAAAATTACCTCAAAAAATCATTACACAGTGTTAAGTTAAAATACCGCCCTCAGAATAGTTGAGGAGAGTTTCTTGCTAAAAGTATTTATAAGGGGGGTTTTTTGCAAGTGAGTGATAGTTAAGGGTTTTTTTTTTTTTTTTTTTTTTTTTTTTCTTTATCTTTTGCAATTCGCTCTTATTATTATTATTATTATTATTATTATTATTATTTCGCTTCTTGTTATCTTAGGGTTTTGTAGGACCCAAGGTGGGGTTTTGTGTTCGAGATTGATTTCCGACATTTCATGCGTTCACTTTAATTTATTTTATTGTTAATGCATAGTTTATTTTCATTTCTTGGGGGTATAATTGCATTCTTTCTTTGGGAGACATTTTCATTTTGGGGTTATTTGTGCGATTATCTTTTTGAAATATTTTTGGGTTAGAGACCTTTTTGCAATTATTTTTGTGAGATATTTTGAAGAGGGACTTTTTTTCAATTTTTGGAAAGTGTGACAAGTGTCACTCTTTCATTGGACCAAGTGTTGATTTTTGGTTGGTATCATTTGGAGGGTTTGGATGATGACAAGTGTAAGGTGGATTTTAAGTCTTGTGAGGATGCCTTGGATTGTGACAAGTGGAGGGTTGTGATTAGAGTGTGTGTGAGAGAGGTAGTGCTAGTGTAGTTAAAGTGTATGTATATCACTAAGTTAGTGGATTTTCTTGTGATTTTCCACTTCATCTTCTTCTTCCTCTCTCACTAAGCCTCCATTGAAGCTTACCTTATACCTTGATTTAGCCCGTCTTCCTTTCACCTTTTGGCCTAACCTTTGCAAGACAAAAGCTTCCTTACACCATTGTCTTTAACATCTTTGTCTTGGAATCATTTTGCACACATTTCCTTTGGATTCTAGGGAGACTTTCTCTAGTGAGGTAGGGGGTGTACTATGTTTATAAGTTTAGTGTTTTATTGTGTTTTTGAAATCTAATATATATTGTATGCATGTTATATGAATTGTAGGATTGCATATAGATAAGGGTTGTATTTGTTTTGACCTAAGTTTTTATATTACTCAAGCATGTGTATGATATATCCCTCGTAAAGCTCTTATTATTTCATTTGGTAGAGGATTATTTTCTAGTAATTTCATATAGTTGTAATTGTGGAATTCTTATATGATTCTTACCAATTATTTCATTGTGAGCTTAATACTATGTGTTGTTTCATTTGGTAGAGGATTAATTTCTAGTAATTTCATATAGTTGCAATTGTGGAATTCTTATATGATTCTTGCCAATTATTTCATTGTGAGCTTGATACTATGTGTTGTTTAATTTGGTGGAGGATTAATCTCTAGTAATTTCATATAGTTGCAATTGTGGACTTCTTATATGATTCTTGCCAATTATTTCATTGTGAGCTTAATAGTATGTGTTGTTTAATCAAATGTTTAAGGCTTACTATATTAGCATGAATTGATTTCATAAGTTGATATCATTACACTAGTGTAGTATTATTCACATTGTGGACTTGTCATTATAATGCCATACTAGTCTTGAAAACTTAGAGCATGGAATGTGTGGTTCCAACCTTGATTGTGCATGGGAAGTGATTAAGTGCATTGTATACTTATGTATACGTTGTGATATTATTTGTTGATTTTGGATTCTTGGGGCATTTGTTTCGTGATATGGCTAGAGTACGGTTCTAGTGCGGAAGGTACGAGTTCTCCCCAATATAGTGGCCACTTGGGTAGTTGTTGGCGGGCTAGTAACCCAAAATAGCTATTTTGTCTTGGTTGTGATGTTCATAACCGGATGCCGTGTCCAAGATATTCCTATTGTTTGATTTCACATTTTATTTCCAAGTTGACAATATTATGTAATTTTAAGGCTTACTATATTAGCATGAATTGATTTCATAAGTTGATATCATTACACTAGTGTAGTATTATTCACATTGTGGACTAGTCATTATAATGCCATATTAGTCTTGAAGACTTAGAGCATGGAATGTGTGGTTCCAACCTTGATTGTGCATGGGAAGTGATTAAGTGCATTGTATACTTATGTATACGTTGTGACATTATTTGTTGATTTTGGATTATTGGGGCATTTATTTCGTGACATGGCTTGAGTACGGTTCTAGTGCGGAAGGTACGAGTTCTCCCCAATATAGTGGCCACTTGGGTAGTTGCCGGCGGGCTAGTAATCCAAAATAGCTAATTTGTCTTGGCCGTGATGTTCATAACCGGACGCCGTGTCCAAGATATTCCTATTGTTTGATTTCACATTTTATTTTCAAGTTGACAATAGTTTGTAATTGTAACTTGTTGTTTTGCATTGGATGTTCCAATATTGTTAAATGCATTACTTATTGTGGATTATGTTTAAAATGCTTCAAAGTTAGTTTTATTATGATTCCTTAGTTTCACCTTGAAACTAGACGTTAGGAGGCATGATCCACATGTATTTGTCTATATTACGCTTGCAAAGCTTTTGAAACTTTAGGTTATACGCATATGCATTGTCCTACGGAGTAATTCAAATTACTCACCCTAATTGATCATTGTTTTTCAGGCAAGGAGGTACTCTTCTTGGATGCACGTCATCCTTAGCTCGGACTTATGTTTATGTTTTGAACATCTTTTGTGTAATATTCACATGCAAGTGTTAGCATGTTGTATGTATCTTTTGGGGTTGCCAATGTGTAATATATTTAGAAGCTTGCTTAGCTTCTTTTTGTTTGTGTAACTTCCACCCAAGTACTCTCTTTTATGTTAACTTGACATGTATGTGATGAGGCCAAGGGCCAAGTACTTTCAATGTATGTAAATTAGGGCGCTTTGTATCAAATATTCATTTTTTCTTTTTGCATTTCATGCACTTGGAGGCATTTTCTTCTTTTTATTTAACTTATCTTTCTTGGTATGGACCATAGGGACCTAAGTATCAAATTTGAGGGGTGTTACTTAACAATTTTTTTTCCAAAAAGTCTCATCTTCCCAATGATTTTCAAAAATTTCAAGCTTCAAGTGATCGTTCGTACTCTACGATCGATCGCACTTTTTTTACGATCGATTGCACCTGAGCACCATAATTTTGTGCCTTTTTTTTTGTTAGTTACGTAGATCGCACCTGGGAACAGGGTGTTTTTTTGGCAGCTTTTTAACCAAACTTTGAAACTTCATATTTCACTCATTCTAACTCCAAATTAGAGACCTCCTTTTCTTTTCTTGCTTTCCCATTTCGGACTCATTATCAGGTCAGTTTTTGGGTTACTCGCGCTCCGGGTTATGGAAATTCGGGCCGTCACACAATTGAACGCCCTCACTGGATGCCATGCCATGCACCTACACAATTTTTTGAGCGTTGTAGTCATTCAATTCTGACATGTTATTGGTGAATGAGAGTGCATTCTTATCTAATTCATGAAGGTATAAACCTCAGACTTTTTGACGCTATTAAATTCTGAATGATGTCTTGTGAGCAGTGCTTAAAGACTTTTAGATACCATTGTTGAAGGCATATGTGCTTGTATTTTTAGCTTTTAGTTTGTTCTACTTGGCTTGGTTTAATCAAGGATGATCTATGCTATAAATGAGGATTGAAACTCTGGGTTATAAGTTGGCTTGCATCTTGTAGGTGATTTGTGACATTAAATTTGATTTTTAAATATCTGTTATGTCTACTTAACGCAGGTTGCTTCCTTTCTTTTTGTGGGTTTTGTGAGAGGGAAGTAAATGACCCTTTGTGGGTTTGCAATGGATCTACTCTTTTACATTGTTTTAATTTCATCAGTTTCTTGTCAGACTTTGACAAAGATCCAATCAGACATTTCCATTTGGCATTTGATTTTTGGCTCAGAAAAATGTTTTCATGACTGATTTGGTCAGGATTTTGTTTCTCACCTAAATTTTCTCATGTTATCACTGATTTTCATCCCATTTGAAATTTCTCAAAATCCTTTGTGAGTTGGTTCACTTAAAATCATCCTCAATTTGAATGTGAACTTTTAGGTTTTCTAATTGATGAATTTTGGAATTTCATTCTTTTTTCTCATTTTTTCTCTCCCTCTTTTTAGGCAAGATTCAATGGGTTCCTCAATTTAGTAATTTCTGTTCATATAAATTAGGATTCTCTCTTGTACATTGGGGATGGTCCAATGCAATGGAGAGGGTGTAGATCACCCCACTGACACGTGATCTCCACCATCCCCGCTGCTTCATGTCCTTGTACCAACATTTCTCAAACTTCGTGTTTATTTACGAACAATAATAATTATTACTCCTCTTGTATGAGAGAGAGGTAACAAAATGTGCATTATCTATTAAAGCTATATAAGGAGTGACATGTTTAAGATAAATTACAAACTTCAATGACAACATAGATCAATTGGGTTTTAAGCGTCCAGTGTCATGCAATGATGTTTATTTGAACTACACGTGTTTATGTATCCAACATTAGGGGATTGTACAAGTATACCTTTGTTAGAGCTCATATGTTTCATACTAATCTGAATATATTTGGAGGGAGATGTAGTGGTTGTTGAATATTTTTTGAAAGTGGTGTCATTTAACAATAGAAGCCCAGATGTTGTAAACTCATTCTGTGCTGTGCTTGTGTCATTGATTTTCAAATGGGTTAAGTCCCAAAAAAAAAAAAAAAATGTCACTTAACCGCCAATATATTTTAGAATTGCTTTAGTTCATTTTTTTACATCTAAATGTTTTTGAGTTTCTTAAATTTCTAATAAATTTGTTTGGACTTTTTAGCTTGTTCCTTGAACTATTGATTGTGTAAATTTATGTTTTATTAGGTAGATGCCAATTGAATGGGAGCTTCCACTGGATGCCATGCACCTTCACAATTTCTTGAGCTCTGTATCTGTTCCATTCTAACATGTTATTGGTGAAAGGCAGAAAGACAGTGCTATTCATCAAGGTAAATGAACAGTTGAGCATTCTTCAGACATTTGACGTCAATATTAAATTCTGAATAATGTCTTGTGAGCAATGCTTAATTCTATGTGTTTCTGAAGACTTTTAGATTTAATGCATATGTGCTTTTATTTTTGGCTCTGAGTTTGTTCCACTTGGCTTGGGTTGATCCAGGACAATTCTATGCTATAAATGGGGGATTGAAAACTATGTATTATAAGGTGGCTTGCATTATTAGGTGATTTGTGACGACATAATGCAGGTGGTGCATCCTTTCATTTTCTGGGTTTCCTGAGAAAGGAATATGACTCTTTGTGGTTTGTTTTGGCTGTCTCGTGCATAGTTTTATTTTATCAATTTCATGCGAGACATTGACAAAGATCCAATGGAAGTTTTCCATTTTGCCATTGAGTTTTGGCTGTCAACAATGTTTCAACTAATTTTCATCTCCTTTGAAATTTCTCAAATTCTTTAGAAGTTTGTTCATCTTACAATCGTTCTCAATTTGAATATGATTTTTTAGGTTTCCTAATTGGTGAACGTTAGAATTTCATTGTCTTTCTCTCTAAGGTGATATTCACTGATTTCCTCAGTTTAGGAATTTACGTTCATATTCCAACATTTAGCATACTTTTCCCAAACTTTGTGATTTGGACAAACTTCAGATATAAACAAAATGCAACTTGTAAATTTCAATGACAAAAGCTAACAACTAGATTTTAAGTAGAGCAACAATCTTTATTTCAATTAACCATGTATGCAGGTTACAAATTGTACGAGGATGCTCTTGTTGAGCTCATCTTTTCGAAGGAGGTGTCATTTAACAATAGAGAAGCCCAGATAAGGTTCATACTTCATATGGTCATTTCAATGAACAAGCTTAAAGATTCAAAATTACGTTCAGAAATGTTGTAAATTAACTCTGTGATTTGTCATTGATTTGATTGTGTTATTATTGATTTTCAAAGGAGTAAAAAAAAAAATACCCTTTTAAATTATAGCGTATATGCTTCCCTAGTTATTTGCTTCTTAATTAAGTTATGTGTGCGTGTGTGTGTGTGTATATATATATATATTATGAGTCTAATGTTCACCAATGATAATTGAGTTAAGCGACAGGTGTGAAAGAGTCAGGATACATATAATGTGTAATATATATTTTATAATTTCTTTTGTACAGTATGCATGAAGGTTTGTTGTTACTATGTGCCTCTTAGATGTATTTTACTGAGACTTGTGATAAAGGAATTCGAATTGCCTTTTTGTGGATTGGTGAATTCTCCATGATAAGTTTTTGGTTATCTAAGCTTGGTTATAAGTTGATAAATCTGTACTGGACATTTTGACTCTGTCCAAACCCTGATCATTGGACTTTAGCAGACAACATTTGTCAAAATTTTAGTTCGTTTTCAGACATCTAAGTGTTTCTGAGTTTCTTGAATTTCTAATAATTTTGTTTGATTTTTTTTTTTTTTTTTAATTATTTTGCTTGAAATTTTGTTGATCATAAATCTTTTTGTTAAATTAATGTTCTTGTTTTAGGAATATGAATTTATGGGTTTCCTAATTGTTTTTGACCATGGGAGGGTGTCCTCGCCGGCTTCGGAGCAGGACTATTCCCTTGCGTCAAGTGGAAAAAGCTTTGTAGGTTTTTTCAATTGATCTTGTTGCTGCATTTAACCTCTATAATTTGGCTACTCTGATTCAGACTATTTATTGGCAGAAATAACGGAGTACACATTGTATGTTGACAATGTAAAAGCTACTATATGAGAATGAGTAATGCATGCCTTAAGGAAAGTTGTAATTTAAATTATCGAAAAAAAAAAAAAAAAAAGTTGTAATTTAGTGAGATAATCTAAAAAAAAAAGTGATTTTAAGTGTCCAACGTCTCTCTAAAATTTTGAAAATTGTTGATCGACAAGAGTAATAGAAAGAGTCGTCCAATTTCATTTAAAGTTCAACTTGGTTCCAGTTGGAATTTTGATTGATGGATTATGATCCTTTGCTATATGATTGTGTGCGCCCCTGTGTTTTGTAAAGGCCGTAATACATTATTTGGTGGTTCGATACAATTATTTTGAAACGCAAAATAATTTTATCAAATTACAATTTAATGTGTTGAAGCAAAGGTCAATACTATTATTTCAAAATTTGAAACAATACAAATTGTATTGAATGCATGGTTTGCAGTATCGGTTACGGTATAACGGACTCGAGTATAGTTAGTATAAGTTTGCACTATCGGTTGCGGTTTAACGGATTTGGACAAAGTTAGTGTAACTGCAGCATATTGAATGATAAGACGAACTATGATTGAATCACAATTTAGTGTTAATGTTACACTCTAACAATGCATTTGAATAATTCGTAAACTCTTAAGTTGCTGCAAGGGCAAAGTGAGGGTACTTATCTTGGGTAAAAAATAAAAAATAAGATTGAAGAATAGGCTCAAGTTTAGACAATTTAGTTATTATTCATTTTATTCTAATGAAATTCTATTTTGTTCATTTTTTACCATTTTCGTTCACCAACTTTCTCAAACACAATGTTACTTATATATATATATATATATATTTTCAAGTGAAGGGTACGAAATCTAATCTCATTTTCTTCCTAAGCAGTTAAAAAATGTGTTTGTCTTTGAATATCTAGTAATGCACTATGTAAAACATTTACATAATATTTTTTAATATATATGTTTTTTTAATCTATACTTGAAAATATTTTCAAATTTGAGCTTTGGTTAGGACTTAGGAGATGTAGCTTGATTCTATCATTTCTGTATCCGCAATTCAATATAGATGGGTATATACCCCATATATGTCTCTCTTTCTTTTAACTTTTCCATGCAATTTCGAATACTTGAACGGTCGATTCTTTTGTTTTCGTCTTAACTTCCGCCTTTACGAATGAAAGCAGATGAATGTCTTATTAAGTACAAGTACAGTATTTCATTTAAGTATCTTGGATAATACTCTTGTCCTAGTCCCGTATTTTTCGTTCTACCTTTATTATTAATTTAATTCGAACTTGAACCCGAGTGTCGCAGATGATGAATCTACTTTTCTTTTTTCTCTTTCCTCCCTTATTCTAAAAAAAAAAAGGGAAAAAGGAGAAAAGAGGGGTTAGTCACAGATATTAATTGTCGTCATTCTTTCCCATGTCAATAACTGGATTGAAAAAAAAGGAGAATGTCAATGCATCCACGGGCAATAGAATAGAAAGCAAAAGAAAGAATTGACCGGTCCGGCGATTCAATCTCGCACGTGGCATGAGTCTATCATTTTATTTTTGTTCACAACATACCTTAATTTATAATTTGTAAGATGCATATACTTGTGACCAAAAAATCTCTCAATTTTTATTATCATTACTAAGTTGAAAAATATTATAATCTTTTTTTTATTTTTTTTTTTATCACCTTCCTAATTTTATAGAAGGTTTGTTTAATTGGACCAATGAATAACTACTCCTTAATAAATAGACAATTATTGTTCTTTTTTTAATTTGTTTTTGTCTAAATTGAAACTAAAAAAACCATCAGCTATTCTATTTTGAAATTACATTGAAAGTACTTCCTCCTCCATCACAATTTTGTAAACCTTACCACCACATTTTATTATCAATTTCTTTGTTTTTTTTTTTTTTTTTTTTTTTTGGTAAAATGCATTAAACCCCCTGAACTTTTTTCTTTTTCTCACAAAACTCCCCTAAACTATGACAAAGACACTTAACCCCCTAAACTATTCCATTTATTGCAAATGTTAACTACCGTTGTAAATTTAACAGAAACAGAGAGCACTTAAGTCAGTGAGGGATCAAAAAAAATTTAAAGGACAAAATTGGCCCTTATGACATGAGATAAAAAACACTTGCCCTCGCCGGAGTGAATTTGAGTCTCTGCCGTTGGTCAATTGAGCCACATATCCCTCCTCCCACTTGCAAACCTAAAAACTAATTTATCTCATATGGTCTTTGTTGTGTAAAACATCACCTTCTTTCATTTCTTTAGGCATCACTCCAAGGACTGGGTTGAGTTTGCATCATCTTGACCTGCAGTTCCTGATAGATCTTCAGATTCCCAAAACACTGTTGTTCAATCTCCGGCGCCGAGCTTCTCTGATGAAAATCCGGTGAATAGTCAGTTTTCTGGTGAGGATAATGTAACCGAAGTTATACGCCGACCGCCCTTTTCGTCGCCGGCCGAATCTGTTTCCAAAGCCTTGGACTTTTTGGCGAGGAACTTGTCCCTAGGAAAGCCGGCGAGTAGACAGTTTTCCGGTGGATCTACAAATTTCAGCCGTGTCAGAACACCATCTCCGGCTTCGAATCATCACGTCGAAGCCAAAGGGGATGTTGGAAAGAAAGCTGTGACCAATGATACGCGCCGACATCCGCCTCCGTCGCTGGTGGAATCTGCTTCCACCCACTCAAACTCTTCAGCGCCGAGATGCTCCAGTAAAAAGTCAGTGAGTAGTCAGTTTTTCGGCTGTGTAGGAACACCATCTTCGGCTCCAAATCATCACGGCGAAGCCAAAGGGCATGTTGGAAAGGATGCTGTGACCAACGATACACGCCGACATGGGTCTCCGTCGCCGGTGGAATCTGGTTCCACCCACTTAACCCTCCAACGCCGAGCTTCTCCGGTGGACCTTCAGATTTCAGACGTGTCGGAACACCATCTCCGGCTCCGACTCATAACAGCAAAGCCAAATGGGACGTTGGAAAGAATGCTGTAGCCAACGATACACTCCCACCACCGTCTCCGTCGCAGGTTGAATTGGATTCCAACGATCTGAACTCTTTACCGATGTCTTCACCGGTTTGCTCAGACGGCGTCGTTTTGTCTCTGTCACTCAAGGGTGAGGGTGAAGATTTGTTCTGTCCTCTAACCATACCTACAAAGTCAAGAGTGGAGCTTCACCCACACCTTTGCCGCCACCACCCGACACCCACAACCTTCGCTGATGGAAATTGTTCCTCCTTCTCCTCTCTCCCTATTATTATTATTTTTTCTCGTTGGCCTTTAACTCTGACTTGGAAAAGGTAAAAAATCATTCAACAGGGGTAAGGGCTAAACTGTAATTTCAATTTTTAGTTAACAGCTAGTTAACGGTTGATCAATGAATGCAACAAAATGACAGTTTAGGAAGGTTTCACTTCCTTCAGAAAGGTTTCTTGCAATTAGGTCATGGCACATAGGGTTTGGTTTAACGTACTTTATCCCCTTTTTTTTTTTTTTTTAATATACTTAACCAATAAAAAATGAATACAGTGTTGTCACAGATGAGGACTGTGAGGTATTACAATCAATAAAGTAAGTGGCACTTCCTGTTCCAGTTTTTAATGTCATAGAGTCATAATTCCATTTATGACATTATGGTGTGGAAGCAGCCATTTTTAAAAACTAAAAAAAAAAAACAATCCTGAAAAAAGGCCTCTATATTACAGTTACTTCTTCCTATATATTCTCAGTTGGATAATCCAAAACCCTAGAATTCATTGGAAATCAAAATGTGTGAACTACCGGCGGATGTAATCGTCGATATACTTTCTAGATTACCGGTGAAACCCCTTTTAAAGTTCAGGTTCGTCTCAAAACCATGGTGTGCCCTAATCGATAGTCCAAGTTTCATCAAATCGCATCTGAATCGATCAATCGAAACCAAAACCAATCGCAGCATCATTTGCAGAGATTGCGACCTCTACTCCATAGACTTCGATTCTCTCGATCACGCCGTAGAGCTTGACCACCCCTTGAAAAAAAGTCGATGGAGGTGAAGTGATGGGTTCTTGCGATGGCCTGGTCTGTTTGTGCAACAATCTCCTCGAAGAGGATGGCATCTTCCTATGGAACCCTTCCACCCGAAAACACCAGAAGTTACCCGTCACGCCGATTGAGTTCCCGGGTGGATTCGGCATTTGCCAGTTCATTGTTTATGGGTTTGGGTATGATTCTGTGAGTGATGACTACAAGGTGGTGAGGGTGGTACAGTTCTATGGCAAAGGTGATGATTCATTTGATAGTGAAGTCAAGGTTTACAGTCTAAAATCGAATACATGGCGATGAAGATTTCCCTTATTACCTTCGATACAAGCGAGAGCATGCTATGGTGGTTAATGGGGCTTTGCATTGGCTTGTGAGTCGAAGACCGGAGTCGGATAAGGCCAACTTGATTGCTGCTTTTGATCTTGGGGTTGAGGAATATCGGTTGGTGCCACTGCCTGAGCTTTTGGATCAGAATGTTCATATGAATTTGAAGGATTTTGGAGGATGTCTGTCACTACTTTGCAATTATTTTGAGGTTCGTGTGGAGATATGGGTGATGGAGGAGTATGGGGTTAAAGAGTCTTGGACTAAATTGTTTTCTGTTACTCAACCAAGTATGATTAGGTCATTCGATTATGTGAGGCCTTTGGATTATTCGAGGAGTGGTGGGGAAATACTTTTGGAACAGGATGGGAAAAAGCTTGTTTGGTATGACTTAGAAAGGAAAACAGTAAAAAATGTTAGGATTCATGGTTTAGACCATTTAATAGAACCTTATATTTGTGTGGCAAGCCTTGTTCCGCTTCGTGGTGGTGATGGTGAAATGGATGGTAAGAAGGAGCAACTACAAAAGAAAAGAAGAAGAAAATGAATAGAAAGATGAGGTAACTCGTGTTATTATTATTTTTGCGTTTCTTTTCATTGCTTTACTTGATGTTGCTTGGCATTGGTTTTATAGAAATTTGGGTAAAGTGAGAAAAACACCCCTAAAAGTATACTCGGGCTGTGGTTTGCAAAGGAAACCCTTGTGATCCTTTGAAAATCTTTAATCTTCCTTTTAAAATTTTAAATCCATTTAATCTTGCTTTTAAATTTTCAAATCCAATAAAAAAAAGTGTTGCAATCCTTGCTACAACATATTACTACTATGTTTGTGTGTGTATATATATTATATATATATAATATGTATTTGTAAAAATTATTTTTTATGATTTAAAGAGAGAAGAAAAAGAGAGGTGGACAATTGACAACTTCATCTATCTTAAACAATTTTCTCTCTTTATTTTTCTCATATCATTTATAAATATGCTCTAAAAAATGTACATTAAAAAAAAAAAAAAATCTTTACAATTTTTTTTCTTTTATTTTCAAATTTTAATTTTATATTATTACTTCGACCCCATATGAAATTTTCTGGCTCGGCCTCTGCTCATAGCACTTTCACCCATTATTTTAAAACGTGTGTTATTATCCCCCTTAATGTTTAAAATTGTTCGGAAAGACTCCTTAAATTACTTTTTACAAATCTTTGACATAAAGTAATGCTTTGATGTCTGCCCTTTTAGCCTTCCGAAAATGCCAAGGGGGTGTGAATGCTAATAATCTCTTAGTAGAGGGATGTTACGTGCACATAAACTAAATTTAACCCACATTTGAAGATTTATTTATTTATTTCTCTCTCTCTCTCTATATATATATATTCCTCTACCCCTTTAGTGTTGTTCTCTCTTTATACTTCCTCTAGCAGTGTATAGTTTAAATTTTAAGAGATATAAATATTTAAAAATTTAAGTTTTATTCGCATGAGTCCTAATGCTTTTAGTATAAATTGAAATTTAAAATACTAAAAGTGTGATAGAGAGTTAGATAAACGGTAAATTTCACTTGTGATAAATTTCATATGAAATAAGGCCCAAAATAAATAAATAATCCAATGATATATAATATTTTAATGAAATTTCCTATGATGTACTCCCTCCATCTCAAATTAAATGTTCCTTTTCGGGAATTTAACTTTATAAGAAGGTGAGTTTTAATAGTTTTTATTGTATCGGTAGTGAATGAATTACCAATTATGTTTATAGTGGATCCATAGGATGTGATGGTTTACTTTTTATAAATTCAATGTAGGAAGGTTATATTGGTAATATTGAAAAAAAACAGTACTTTGACTTTAAAAATGGAACATTTATTTTGAGACGGGCCAAAAATGAAAATGTACACATTTAATTTGAAAAAGGGGTATATTTTATAAAATTCAATCCCATTAGTTCTTTTTTAGTTCAACAGTAAATTCTGCCAAAACCCCCATCCAACGCAAAGAGAGACCGACGGACAATGCATGGCCGTTGATTGGTCTGAACTCCCACCAGAATTGCTCAGAACCATCGCCGGAAAACTCACCATCCTCACCAACTACATCTGATTCCGAGCTGTATGCCTCAACTGGAGATCTTCAATCTCTAGAACCCCTCTCCACCTCCCTTGCCAACTCCCATGGCTGATGCTCCCCATTTCCCTGGCCCACCAAAGCCATGCCTGTGGTTTCTTCAACCTCTCTACCAACAAAATCCACCTCCTCGATCTACCTGATGTCCCCAACCACCACCATCGCCGCTGCGAGCCTGCGGATCTTCCCATGGCTGGCTTGTATTCCTCCACAAGTTGCTGGAGATCTACCTTCTCAATCCCCTGAGCAGCTCCAAGATTCACCTCCCTCCGCTATCATCATTTGCGAACGTTATTGGCTTCAATTTCTCCGACATCCATCGCGAATACTTTCGCCGATCACAGGCTGGAGTTGTCTACACTTGCAATATGAAGCATATGCATAACAATGTCATTGAGAAAGTGATTCTCTCGTCGAGTCCTTCAGTGATCCTGATTTCTTTGCTTTAGCAATACTCAAGCTTATAGGTGATCTTGTTTTTTTTGCAAAAAGGGTGACAGTGTGGAGATGAACTTTACATGTGTTTAAACCATACGACGTCACTTCGTTTTGTTTGCACTCTAAAATAAAATTTTAGATTGGTCACATGGTGTGAGGCAATTGGGAAAGGAGATTTTAAGTTTGGCCACATGGCCCTAGGTGATTGGAGAAGATATGCTGTTTTTTCTTTAGGACAAGTGATGACATATGGAGATTAGTACTTAAAGAATTATATTCTGGAGCAATTTGAATTAGCACGTGAAGATATGTGTGGCTTTAACTTGAAGAATATGGATGTTCAAGGAAAGTATTGATTGGTTCCTTAATAAATTCAATTTTATAAGTAGCCAATTTGTCTCTAGAAGTTTGCTTTTGAAGAAATAGGCAGCAAAGGAAAAGAAAGAGGAGGAAGTTAACATATTTGCACATGAAACTAAACATCTTGATGAATTGGCATTATACTTGCATAATGTTTGTCACTTTGTCACTTGTATTTGTCTTATTCTTGGCAAATAATACCAAAGTGGTAATTATCTTTGAATAGGATTCTAAAAGGAAACAATCTTCAATTGACTATTTCACCTTTCCCTCCAATCGGCAAACGCCATGTGGCGGACCTAAAATTTTATTTTAGGATGCAGACTGTTTTGTATCCTTTTCTCCAATTTCACAAAATAATGTATTTTTAAATAATTTATAAAATGTCCCAGTAAGGACAATTTTTAATTTAAATGTGAGGTAAGACTTATTTATACAAATTGATACTTTAGGGATGTTGTTTTCCGCACGCAAGGGGTATGATATGCACCCTAAACATACTATAAGGCTATTTTCCACACTTTACCTTAGAAATTTTGATTCTTTAAATCACACGGCAAATATATTTTGGAATAGGAGCTAGTATCTTTAGTATTGGAGCTACATTTTAACATGCGGAGGCCAAGTATTGAGTTCACACCTTCTAAGCATGCATTTTACCATGGGGAAAAGCTTTCGTGAGGGCATTCCATTGTGAGCTCCCATCAGTGTTCCATGATGCCACACACTCATCCAATGGATGTGGGAGTGAGTTCATTCATGGTAAGAGCACCCTCATTATTAAATTGCTCTTTACCAACAAGCGAGAATTCGCAATGCACTTTATATTTACATTGAATTTATCAAAACCTTACATGTAGCCTTTTTTTTTTCTCTTATTAGAGATGACTTTCTATCAGAGGGGTTCAAACTCGTACTTTGAGCAAATGGAAGAACAAAGGTGCAGAGGTATGGGTAATTTATTTTTGTAGTAGCTTTCAAATCAATACTTTGTTGAGTAATTTTTTGGCTTTTACTTGGTTATATGGACTAATTTAACTTTAATGGCATTCTGTCGTATAGATGATATGATAATTATAGAAACAGAGAAGAGATTTGAGTATTTGATGCTATAGGAGAGATTGGCTATATGAGTAGATCCATTTTATACTTCATCTGCTCTATCATTTTGCTTCATTTCAATATCTAATATAACAATATGTTTCTCTCGCAGGGAATCAGAATTATTGATTAGGCAGTAATTGGGCATGTTAGAAAGTCCGAGGATGGAAGCAAGGGAATATGATTGAAGAATTTTACTTCCAATATGCTACGTACTCTGTTTTTGGTTAAAGCAGCCATAGTCATGTAGTTAAAAGATCTCATCTTTAACATACTGAAACTTAACTGTAGTTTTGAGAGTTGTCACCTCACCTCAAATGATGGGCATCTTTTTACTTTTTCTTTGGTAAATTTTATGTTTGCATCCTATTTTGTTCCTTGAAGTTTGTTCAATGTTTTGGCTTGACCCAAAATGGATTTATCTGATCTCTTTTATCTGACCACTTTTCTCAAATTATTAAATAATCTTTTCGACATCCAAATATTTCTGGATATCTTGAAATTTTATTTTATTTTATGATATTTTGTTATTCTGCTTCTTGATTTCTTAAATTTTTGTTATTCCTTTTTTTGGGTAAGTAAGTTTTGTTATCAAGTTTTGTAATCTGTTAATTTCTTGAATTTTTTTTTGTTTTTTTTTTTTTGGTTTCAGGGATGGTTTCAAAAGTGAAAGGACTTAACAAATGAATTTGTGTTTTTTTATTTTTCACTCACATAACAAAGCTTCCATTATTTCCGTTTCCATTCTCCAAAATTTCTTTCTTAACTATCCAAGACAAAGTGAGAGGTAACAATTTTAATCTCTTCCTTGCCAAAAATAAACAGTTGTAATATCTTTTCCTCTCCATCCTCTTATAATTAAACTCACTAAATTCTACATTTCACACACACATTTATGATCAATTCTCATAGTGAAGTGAAAGAAAGATTCCTTTTTTTTTTTTTTTTTTAACTTTTGAAGTCAATTCTAATAAAGAAAACACAAAACTCATCCATCATCCAATTAATTAGAAAAATGGAATGGTAAATTTTTATTTACTCTATAAAAAATAATTATAACATGAAGCTTGTCATTTGTTTGAATAATACTGTACAAGTTTACACAATCACCTATTTAGAGAGGTATTATTTTTATTTTTATTTTTATTTTTTTTGACAGTGGTGGTGTTATGACTTTTAGAGCACCATACAGTATACCGCTGCATGTTTAGTTTCCTTTTTCACGTATACTAGGCAAGTACCGAATTTTTATTTTATTTTAAATGATTTCAAGGGAACTGACTTTTTCTATGGACGGTAACGATAATAGAGGTCTACGACGGAGTAAGGTTAATGATGCACTCTAAAAAAGAAAAGAAAAATGAGACATATGTTGAAACCTTAAATAATCTTGTTATCTTTTTAATGATGCACTCTAAAAAGAAAATGTTTATTTTTGCTGGGTTTTATGGTAAGGGAATGTGAATTTTTTTTTTGTGGATTGGTGAGATGGTGGTCTTTGGTTATCTAGGAATTGGCATAAATTCATAATTTTGTAGTGATCTTAGTGTTATTCAACACTTAAGTCACACAATTTTTTTCAAGAGGTGTGTCTCACGCTCCGAGCACGCTCCTGTTCTTACGCTTTACGCACGCTCTTGTTCAAATTCTCACTATTTATGATATAATTTTGCCGCTCTCACGCTCCCGTTCTTTAATTCGCTCTCGCTTTATGTGACTAAGTTCAATACTCTCTTTCATTTCCAAATTAGTGTTTCTTTTTTCATTTTCGATATTTGAAAATAAATTCTTTCATTTTTCAAAGTCATGTTAAAAAAATTGTCTTCCCCTTTTCACTGTGAAAGTTACATATGAGATGTAATTTGTTTTTGTGAAAAATGTCGAGAAGCAATGGAACATTCTACAAAGTTAGCCGATAGGGTGAGCTTAAAATAATAAATAAAAGGATATTACTCATTCACTTAATTAGTGGAACCTTCAACTTTTCAAATAAGTGTACAGAGATATTCAAATCCCCATATATATATATATAGAGAGAGAGAGATATTCAAATCCCCATATACATATATATATATATATAGTAACTATAAAGATTTAGTTATGGTCAGTTGCACTATCAAATAACACTCGTATTGATGAAATAAGATTATATGTCAAAAGCAATGCATGCTATCATCAATTTCTCATTAAATAAAGTTGGTTTATTATTATTATTATTATTTTTAACTTTTAACTCCCGCCATTCTGTAGAGGTTTTGTTATTGGACTTTCTTATAAAAAAAATGTTAGGGATTCATCCTACTTTTAAATAATTCTATTAGTCAATAAATAGTCAACTAAATAACAATAGGATTGATAGTGTTTTTTTATATAAAAAATACAAAAACTACCCACCGCGGTTTTTTCTCTGCTTGTCCTCACCATTAATATAAGTTCTCTATTTGGCCTCACCATTGCTATCAGTTATTACGGCCACTAACCATTGTTATTGCAGGGAGAATTCAGGTAAGCCATTTTTCTTTAATTTTTTTTCTTTCTTGAATGTGGGTAATTTTATTGATACAAAATAAACAATAAAGTACATGAATCCAGCAATTGGGGCTAGTATTTTTTTTAATTTTAATTAAAAAAAAGTTGGAATTTTATTGATATCTGTTCATATCTTCATACCACCATAATCGATTAAAAAAACCAAAAGGGGCAGAGGCCATTCTTTGAAGAAGGTTATTAGTCCATGAGCAAAGGCTGCGGCTGGTACTTCATTCACGGGGTGCACTAAACACCACGGATGGAGGCAGAAATTTTTTTCGGTGGCACATTGTATATATATAAATCAATGTTAAGGGGCATATATATAAAGTCATTATAATATTGTCAAGGATAAAGTGAAAAAATGCTCACTTGTTGTTTGCAAAACGTGCAAAGGCCATGTAACATTTTTTGCAAAAAAAAAAAAAAAAAAAAAAAAAAAAAAAAAAAAAAAACCTCATACATTTTCAAATTGAGCAGATAAATACATGCTAAAAACTTAAAATGCTTTTAAGACAAAGTAAAAATAAAAATTTAGAAAAGTAAAAAAAAATATATCTCTATCAAGCAAGAATTGTTTTCTTTATTGTGGATCTCATTCTCTCTCTAATCAATTTAAATCGTGGCGCCAATGAGCTTGTATTTGGAAAAAGTATTGTTGGTTTTGGGAAGATATTTGGGTTTGAATACTTCGTTGATAAATCTAATAATGCTTGGCCATGAAAAAACATTCCTAATTTTAAAAGATCTGTCTGCAAAAAAAAATAAATAATAAAAAATAAAATTATTTCTCTATAAAATTTTATGAACATAGAATGATAATTAATTGTAACTTTCTTGATAAATGTTTAGTGAAAAAGTCTCTTTTATTTTAATTCAAAATTATTATTGACCTTTTTCTTTCTTTTACAAACAGACTTTATTTGATGGGCTTGATAAATGCTAGTGAAAAAGTCTATTTTAATTTAGTCTCTTCAAAAACCCCCACTTTTGTTCAAAAACCCCCACTTTTGTTCCAAAACCCCAAACGCCCTTCTGCCATTTCATTTGCTCTTCTCCTCACACACACACACACACACACACACACACACACACACACACAAACCCTAAAGATGTCAGACATTCCGGTGGAAGTGATCGCCGACATACTCTCACGATTACCGGTGAAATCCCTTCTTCGGTTCAGATGCGTATTGAAATCATGGTGTGCTCTGATCGACAGCCCCAGTTTCATCAAATCGCATCTCAATCGATCGATCAAAACCAACACTAATCACAGCTTCATCTTTAGAATTGAAAACCTTTACTCCATAGACTTGGATTCTCTCGATCATGCCGTACGGCTTGACAATCCTATCAAGAATGAAGAAGAAACCGAACTGGTGGTTTCTTTGGATGGCTTGGTTATTTTGTGCAACCCTTTCTACAACGAAGTCATACTATGGAACCCTTCCACTCGAAAACACCGGAAGCTACCGGTCTCACAGGTTGAGTTCCCGTCTGGATGTCCCTTTATCAATTTTACTGCTTTGGGGTTAGGGTATGATTCTGTCAGTGATGACTACAAGTTGGTGAGGATGGTACAGTTTGTTGGCAAAGATGACGATTCATTTCATTCTGAAGTTAAGGTTTACAGTCTAAAATCAAATACATGGCGAAGGGTTCGAGATTTCCCTTATCACCTTCTACACAGGGTTTTGCCTGGTATCACCATTAATGGGGCTCTGCACTGGGTTGTGACTCCAAAACCCAAGTTGGATACGGCCAGTTTGATAGCTTCTTTTGATCTTGGGGTTGAGGAATACAGGTTGGTGCCAAAACCTGAATGTTTGGATGAGGATATTGTTCCTTTATTTGTTGTTGCCTTAGGAGATTGCCTTTGTATTGTTTGTAAATATCCTGGAGGCCGAGTTGATATATGGGTGATGAAGGAGTATGGAGTAAAGGAGTCTTGGACTAAATTGTTTTCTATTGCTGAACCAAGTATGTTTGGGTCATTTCATTTTCTGAGGCCTTTGGCCTATTCGAAGAGTGGTGGGGAAGTACTTTTGGAACTTGACAATACAAGGCTTTCCTGGTATGACTTGAGAAGGAAAAGTGTAAAAAATATTCCAATTCGTGGTTTAGAGGGTTTTGTAGAAGGTAATATTTGTGTTGAAAGCCTTGTTCCAGTTCATGGTGATGATGGTGGAAAGGATGGTGAGAAGCAGCAACCACAAAAGAAGAAGATCAAGCCAAACAATAAAAAGAAGAGGCAAGTCATTGTGTTCTATTGTACTGCCTAATTTTTTTTATTGTTTTTATAGACATTTTGATCCTTCAAATGAATTGGCAAATATATTTCTTGAAATAAGTGTTGGTTTCTTTAATGTTGTTTGTTTAGAGTACTGTTGTGTTTAATCTAGTTACATTGCAACCGGTGAGGCCAGTATGTTCTCACCTTCTAACTCTATACATTTACCAGTGGAAAAAAGCTATGATGAGGACACTCTCACGGGAGTCCTCGTCCTCATTCATTGGATTGAGTTTGTATTGCCACACACTTGATCCAATGGATGTGGACATGACTGGTGTGTTCATGATGAGAGCACTATCATTATAGACTTCTCTTTTTCATTAGGTGACAAATTGTAATGTACATTTATTGCAGTTTTTAGCTAATGCCTAACATGTTGCCTTTTGTTCCACTATTGATGCTTTAGGAGGATGCCTTTGTGTTAACTGTTATTATGCTGGAATTTAGCTTATACCTTCCATGTTACCTTTTTTTCCTCATAGAGATGATTTTCTGTCAAAGGGGTTCAAGCTGGTGCTTTAAGAAACTGGAAGAGCAAAGGAGCAAGAAGGTGCAGACATTAGGTAATATATTTTGGTAGCATCTTTCACATTAATGAGTATGTCCTTGTCTTTTGCTTTAACTTGATTATATGGGCTAGTTTAACTTTAATAGTATTCTCTTTAATAGATGATTCCATAATCGTAGAAACAGAGATAAGATTGAGTAATGATGCTCTAAGGACGGGCAACCATATGAGAAGATCCAATTTATTATTTACCTACTATATCATGTTGCTCCCCTTAAAGTATCTAAGATGAAAATTCATGTTTCTCTCAGGGAGTCAGGATTGATGCTGAACTGATGGGGCAGTAATTGGGCATTTTAGAAACTCTGGGGATGGAAGGAAGGAAAGAAGATTAAATATTTTGTCTTATAATATGCGACATACTCTTTCTGTTGAAACAATTTGCCTGTAGTTAAAGGATCTCATATTTACTCCTGAAAGTTCTAGTTACTGCAGGTTTGAGCGTTGTCACTTTAAACGCTGGCATGCTTGCATCCTATTTGGCTCCTTAAAGCTTGCTTAATTTCTTATGAGTTCAATTTTCACTGATGAAAGAGAACTTGAATGAGGTGTAAAACAGTGTCAGGAGACAAGTAATGGGTAATTGCTTCTGTTAGTATGCATTTAAGCTTATCATTAGTCATTACTTTGTGCCTTAAAAAATTGTTCTTGCTGGGTTTTATGGTAAGGGAATCTGAATGGCCACTTTTGTGGATTGGTGAACTCTCCTTGGCGAGTCTTTGATTATCTAAGAAGTAAGAATGGGTATATATTCGTAAATGGGAGCTGCCATTGACACTCTATCTATATCCTCTTGCGCTCCACCTTTATCATCAATTGTTTCAAATGACAAAAACACCCTTCCTTCCTCAATGTTACAAAATTGGTCAGGGCACTGACAGTAGAAACTAGAGCTTCCCAATGCATTGGTGGCTGCCTTTGAGTTACTGTAGACTTGACAATTAGCGTTTTGCCATAGGTAGCTTTTCGGCATAGGTCTTTCTGGTGACCAAAGCTTACAATTCCCACACCACATGCATTCCTTGTTCGTCTAATCCATAATATTTCAAGGGACTTCAACCAGTGATTCCAGCACAAAACAGTGGAGCAGATGAACCAACTAGTCACCGGACTCCCACTTTATCTCCAACTTTAAATTTTGTTACCTTGCTTCCCACCTCTATCACTGAACCAAGATTCTCATGTCCTGGTACAAGAGGATATTTTTATTTTAAAATTATTGAAAAATAAAGGTCTTAAAGATGATGATTAAGAGGCAGGGAAGTCAAGGCGAAGGGACGGTGAATTCCACTTATTAGGCAATGGGGTCATATGCGGTGGTAGAGGGAGTCGACCGAGTGGTGGAGCAGCCTGACCACAATCAATTCCAGCAATTTCGCTCTGGGAGACAAATTAGGCGGCAGAGAAATGCACTTAATGATAGTGAAGGAGTCGGTGAACCTGAACTCCAAGATGAGGAAGTGGATTCACAACCCTTCCTCTCAAAATTCTCCCTACGACCTCAAACATCTCCTTATTGAGCTCTCTCAACTGCCCACAGACTTTTCATCTCTTCGTCCCGATCATAACCCCCACACTTGACTCTTTTACTTTTGGTTATTCTGCGGGAAATGTTGCCCGCTTAATGATAGAAGAGGGTGGAGCTCGTAACCACCACCTCCACTGTTGGAAGCAATGTGAGCATCAATATCACCATGTGAATCAACAGTTTTATCCAAATAAAGAAACTCAGAACTATTAAGAGACGACTTTAGGAGCGCATATTGAAAGCTGTAACAATCTACTTACTACTACTGTTAGGGAACAAATATTGGCTTCTTTAAAAGAAAAAAGAAAAGAAGTGAAGGAGTATTCTTATCATTTGATATATGATTGGAGTCCCGAAGGATAATTGTAACGGGTGGGTGCTTCGCGATCCGATATAAAAGCTTAAGCTATTATATGGAGCTAACACGTAACCCATATATACCCAATCACTCTTCCATCCGGATCCAATGTGGGACAAGCTCCCCCTTGTTACAATAACTATGAGAGGTATCCTTGTCATTTGATATAAGGGTGGGAGTGCCAAAGGAAGCTTGTCATTTGATTTACTATTAGGCAATGGAATGAAGAATAATAGTAAATCAAATGACAAGAATACCAATTGTGATGTCTTGGAAATTATTATTATTATTATTTATCTCGTTAAGAAACTCTCACACCCACTATACTTCTATGAAAACATAAACCGAATATAAAGCGTGCTTGGAATGTGAGGTGTGGATTTATTCTTTATAAAAGTTGAGGCTCTTTGGATTCCAGCTTCAGCCAAAATATGGCAGTAAGATTATATTTTGGTTTTAAAATATAAAGCTTCAGCCCTTATGCTCAGCCTGGCCTGAATGGCTGATAGCTTAGATATTTCTTTTAAGATCTTTCGAATTACAACTCTTGTGAAATCCTTCTTTAAGCTTAACAAAAATTGATTGCTATCATTTCATGAGAAAGGGAAACAAAACAAAATTTTAAAAAAAGGAGAAAAAATTTGACAATCCCATAGAAAAGGCTGTCTATAAACATTAGGAAAATGAAGTAATGGGAATATTTTAATTACTGTAAGAAATACGGTAAATTATTAATGCTACATAAAAATGTTATTTATTTATTTATTATTATACGCGACAAGGAGAAGGATGGGGGTGAATCGAACCTAGGTTCTCACACGAATCACCCCTACATAACAATGTTTGAAAGCATGAAATTTGGCCTTTGACACACTATCTGGAGATTCGAGTTTGATTCAACCTTTTCCATTTTCAAAATTAGTATCCTCTTTTCCATTTTCATTTTCCTGAAAAATGAGTTCTTTGTTTTGGAAAGTCAACGTTAAAAAGTTATATCTATTTCATTTACAATAGATGTAATTTTCTTTTTGTAGAAATGTGAGGAAGCTTACATTCTAAACATAGCTTATAGGGTGGGTTTAAAATATTAAGCAACATGTGAGAATAAGGATTTGGTTGTTGTTAGGGCCAAAAACAAATACTCGTATTGATGAAATAAGACTATGTCATCAGCAATGTATATTATCATCAATACTTCATAAATTGTGTCATAATTTTTCCAATTCTGGTAATTGTATGAGCAGCTTTTTTTTTTTTTTGAACAGATGGTGGTAAGAAAATTCTACATCAAATAAGAAGGAGATATATATATGTGTGTGTGTATGTGTGTAAAATAATTCAAAAGAAACATCATTGCATGAAATTTTCTTGTTGCCAAACACTAGAATGAGAAAATCATCTAAATCTTTTTTAAAAGATTTACATGAAACATAATTTATAATAAGGGTAGACACTATAATTGCTTTAAGTCCAAATACCCTTTTGAAATAAGTTCTCTCTCCTTTTTAATCCTTGATATGTGCATGATGTCTATAGTTTCTGGCAAATTTTTATTGAACTATTTGCTTATTTAGATAATTAAACTATTTGTTTTCCAAACTAAATGCCTTCTAAAAAGAGTTATAACTCGATCAACAACAATAGCTTTAAAGATTAACAAATAAAATTCCATCATTCAGGCTGAAAGGAAGTGACACTAACTGTAAATGAATAAAGAATCTCAAAACAACTTCAAAAAAATCAAAAACAAAGTTATTTCTGTCCCAAAAGTGATCTCTGTACTCTCTCCCTTCCATGGGTGCCTTCCCCAAAAAGAGATATAAAACTTGTATAACAATGAGGACCCCCCAAATTTTACTCTGCATATATGTCACAAGAAGTAAAGAGTATGTGAAAAACATTTCTGAGACATTCTATGGATTAGCAGCAGTACTACTCATCTGTCATTTTGGCCTTCGCTATGTCAGTTGTCGATGTGTGAAATCTATTAGCCAAATGTTCGGGAAACCGAGTCTTTCGGTTGAATCCTCTTACACAAATAAATCCTGCAGTTATTAGAATAAACAAATTCAACAACAAATAAATTTTTTTTTTTTTTTTTTTTTTCCCTAGGGACGATTCTATCAATTTATTTTAGAGCAAATTTGACATGTTTAGCAAGAATATGAGTTTCCCCATGAGAACGTATTATGAATTGTGACTATCTCAAATCTTCTCTCTCTGCCGTGCTTGATCTAATAAATTAAATATATTAATGCTGAAATAAACAAAAAGCAATGTTTTTCAATTCGCTTGTAGGAGGTTTTTCTCAGTATGTGGTGAATGAGTACATCTTTTGCGTGATCCATTAACAGTAATCCCAACTAGATTTGTAAATTCGAAGTCTTTTTCCTAGGTAAATATTATTGCAATTGAATATGGTAAATTGTTGTTTCATACCTCTCCGAAAGCACTTCTGAATTCGATCAGTTGAAAAGCCTGGTTTACACAAATAGCATTTTGTAAGCAAATTTCTGTAAGTTTATATAATTAACTAGGATTATATGAGTCAAAAAGTTGTAATGATTTTCACCTCCCAATATAGTTGAAACTGAAGTTCCACAACCTAAAGGTCGCATGTCTAGCTTCCGTATCCATTCCCTGGGAACATCAATTGGTTTTTGACTGGATTCATCATCAGCAAACACCTGCATTAAAACAATATTTTCTTTTTGAGTACGACAGCCTCATCTGAAATTCTAATGATTCTAAACCATGGTGAATGATAAAAGAGTTCGGAAAAACATACTATTAAGAGTGATTTTACCTCATTAATCTGAAAGTATGTCCCATTGAGTGGAAAGCTCCCTCTTGTTGCTGTTCGACATGGTATCTGTCATACATCATTGTGTGTGTCAACTCTCTATTGTAGTTTAGAATATTAAATTACAGCTACAACAATTTAGGTAGGTAGGTCATTTTTCTCACCAAAATTGTTCCCGGAACTGTGTCTTGTTCTGGAATGTTATTGCATGACGACCATGTATTTATATTGCATAGTTCTGATCCCATGGAGTCGCATTGTTTTTTGGGTGATTTGGAAGAATTTGCATTTTTACCTAATAGTAGACATTCCGAATGAATATGAATATTAGTAAAACAGAGAAAGATAAATTGTTCATTTTTGGCTGTAAAAAAAAATAAAAAATCGTATCTACTTCAATTTGATAGAGCTAGAATTATGCCACTGTAAATTTAAAAATTAAAAAAAATAGAAAACTGTCACCAACATGCCCACGTATTGAACATCATGTGCTCTGTGTGCCATATTTGGGACTGATTTATAATTGTAGGACTATTAACTTCCATATCATGTTTGCATTGTTAATTTTGTACCTGATGTCCATACAGCAAGAAGGTACGGGTTTGGATCATTAGGTTCCCGCTTGTCTAGCTGTAAAATATTCAGAAAGTGTATCAGAACAAAATATGTGAATGCAAATAAGCCATAGAAATATGAGGGTGAGTCGGGGTGAGGCATCTTACCCCTTCCAAAAGAGGGTGCCCATCTGGAATCTCATAGCTGCATTACAATGGAAAACAATTAGCACACCGTACTGAGAGTTTAATTCACTGCTGCATCTAGCCAATCAATTTTGTTTTGATATTAGTTTTACTATTTGGCGTGACATCAATGGCATGCAAATGCTATACTTGACAAAGCATGGAATTTAATTCTTCCCAAAGCCTGGGTGTAACCAGACCAAATAATTGTGTGATTTCAATGAGGCTGCAATTTGCTCTTAACTAAAGTCACCATAGTTGGTGTCTTTCAAGTTGGCAAATTTACTTTGTTTCCGAACCATACTCTATTCAACTTGTCTGAGTTCTCATGTGAGCATAAATTTTTATACTATACTTTCTTAACTGTATGAAGATGGTAGTGTCTACTTACACATAGTGCATTGTCTTCAAACGGCTAACATACTTCATTTTAGGCACAGGCATCGAAGCAGCTTCTGAACTTAAAACAACCAAAGCTTTCGACATATCTTCTTCTGGGATTGGAATATTGTTCTTGTGTATATAATCCAATAAATTTCCTTTAAGCTCTTCTATATTTAGCTTGATTGTAGGTATTTCGTCATCAGACTCGGTGAACAAATCTTCAATGTCCCTTTCAAGTGTCTCTGTATATTCAGGCCCTGGAGAAGCTGGCATTTCAATGATTGGTTCACAATCCTTGCTTTGGTATCTTGAGTCTGGTAAGTTTTCCTCAGACCCCGTTATTGGTGTGCACACAACAGGGTTTTGAGCATAAGCAGCAACTGGAACCCCTGGATTTGTGCTACTTGTCTGTTGTAGCCCTGGCAGGGCAAGCCTAGAACTGCATTTAGAATGTTATAAGTTACCATTTTAGTTATGTTCCTATGCATTCAGTGTCAATTTAAGAAAATTGAGCACCAAAGATGATGCAAACCTTGCAAATGCACTGGCAAAGTGTCTGCACTCTCCCCTCATTGGACATGCATTGCAGTTTGGACGTCTTTTTGTACAAAAGACCTGCATAATCTTGAAGATGTGACCAATATTAGTGTTTTCTTTTTTTAATTAAATTGAGAGAAGTATGATTTGTTAACAAATTCTAAATCAGTGTGATAGCATACCTTACCAAAAGTTATCATCTGATAATGTAGTTCATAGCTGTAATAGGTCACATGTTACATTAGAAAAGATTAATGGTTATATTAACATAAGTAAATTATAAAAGTAAGATCAGATCCTTCAAGATTATTATTGTTAGTGAAAACTCAGGAATTACAGTGTTGGTTGATCAAGTGTGCATAGCCGCGGCCATAGATACTTTTGAATGGAGTCCATCATAGGGTACCTAAACAGGAACAAAATCAAGATTTTTTATTTGATTGGAAATTTAAGTGGTATTTGATCAATTGGTATATAATACTTACTGGTCTAGGAGATGTATCTGTATTGAGTCGGGAAGTGGTTGTAGAGGGACCCAGCCTAGACGCACTGCTACGCGAGCAACATTTGTGTCAACCTTAATGAAGCAGCAAACATGTAGCAGTTAAGTGTATGGCTAAACTTTATAAAGCTATTAACTGATCATCTTTTTCAATATAATCTTACTGGGAAGGCATGATGATGAAGTGTCAAAAGCCGCAAACACTCCACACTTTTCAAACCCAGACCTTCAATACTCAATAAGTACTCCCTACAAACACATATAATTTGGAATAATAAGATTTGCAATTATAGAAAATAGAAAATAGATATTAGTGATATTCAGTAGATGTCCTGCTGCTATTTGTTAATGTCTGTATATGAAAACTGTGATTACACATCGAACTATAGTTGGCTTACTTTGATTTGTCTGGTGGTACTTTTCTTAGCCACTCAAGGTTGAGACTTCCATGATCTCTAACCACTCGCTCAAGAAACCCCTGCCAAAAAAAAAAAAATTAATAATAATTAATTAATAAATGAATAGCGAATTTCAGCTACTATAAACAATTTTCACATTTAAACTTTCATTTTCTTGATGCAGAATTGTGTACCTTGATTCGAGTTGCAAGAACATTGTTCATTCCACGCTCCACAATGGTCTTGGAAACCACTTCAACGGGTGCTTGCCTAACTGCCTCCCAGTCCAATGAATCCATTGCATCACCACTAGTTTTTCTTGCTCCGCTGGAATAGGTTTTCCTTAGATCATCCCAGTTAATTGGTTTCTCTTGCTTCCCCTCAACCTTCGATTTCTTTGTTCTCAAGGTACCCAACTTTATTTTATTCTTCTCCTTATGATTGTTGCTAGCGTGGAGGATTTTTTCTTTTCCGACTTTTGTTGGTTCCAAGTGGCTTTCATGGGGCAATTGGCACTTGTGTAATGATGAATAGGTGTCAACTTTTCTGAGATTATTGCTCATAATCCCTGTATCATTCATCTTTATGTTTTCAAAGCCTCCCAAGAGTCCTTGAGAATCAATCTCCATATCAGAAGGGACAAGGGGAACTTTGGAACAATGATTCTCAGGAAAATGGCCTGATGCATATGCACCTTCCAAGTCAAATACTTTGTCTGATGAGCTTGATCCTTGCCTTTGAGTCTCCATCCCATTCCCATTAATTTCAGTCGCATCACATGACAATCTGTCAATTTTGCGAGGAGAAGTTTCATCGGTGCAGAGTATAAAGGTGGCTGGCAGATCTCCACCAGTTAAAGAATCCAAATTCTGAAGTGCAGATGCATCTTTGACCTCTCTTTTGACCTCTCCTTCATGTGAAATTGGCCTCCTCGTGCCTATAGTCTCTTCTCTCCGATTTAGTAATTGATCACTCGTATCATGTGCAGTTTCATGGGTAAGTGACTGCTTGTCATTTGCATCCCATGCTTCCTCAGCTGCTCCTTGTAGATTGCATGCTATGTGGTTATTTGTAGATTGAAGGGGAAACTGAGCAGCAAGAGACATGAATGCGGAACTGGAGAAATAACAAAAAGGTAACAAAATCATCCCCGACCATACTATTTACATTCAGCCATAAAAATTAGTTAGTATAAATTAACTTAGAAAGTTTTGTTTACCTTGAAAGATGGTCTGACACATTTTGAGTTAGGAAGACTCCAACCACTGAGTCCACAACTGAACCTTTCCATGGTGAAGTTCATTTGCTTTTAGTAAATGTGCATATGTATACATACTCTTATTTAGGAATTTGAGTGAAAATTGGATATTTGATATTTAAGCCAGTTAATCATTATAATGATGATTGCAGTTGTTTGATGCACCTACAAGTCTATGGTAATGCAGTGTAAGGAAAGTTCAATATCCTTAACTATACCTTCCGAAAAAAATATCCTTAACTACACATGGTTATGTTTTATATATCTAATTAACAAGCCTAAGTACCATGTTATTTAAGCCTGAGTTCCATGTTACCTTGGATAAGATGCATTTTGCTAATAAATGAGTCTACACGTCCGCGGAATACTTCTCTCTTTTTTTCCCACCATTTCTCCTTATTCTTGTCCTCCTCTTCAAGACCCTCGGTGAGCATTTTCCATACCCTCATTGTCTCTGAGTCAAGATCAACTTTGGGCAGCTTTTTGCGTTTTTTAAGATCATAAGGAACTAGTGCTCTATGCTCGCTCTCAGAAAAATGTGAATTTTGATCATAGACTACAAGTTGGCAGCCTCCTTCATCACTGATACAAACACACTCTAGCTGTCGAATAATATAATCCAGCATAACCTGTGAACTTTTTGGAGTGACCTTTGGAGCGGCCAACTGTAGTCTCTGAACAGTAGAATGCAGCATAACTGAACTTTTTGGAGTCACCTTTGGAGTGGCCAATTCTAGTCCCTGAACTTGTGACCTTTTTGAAGTGACTGTAACATCCTCAATTTGTGCACCAGTTACCATCTTATCCTGTCCTTCCATTAGGATATTTTTACTTCCCACAGGTTGATTTTCATTGTTGTCAATTTCAAGATTATTATTGTGTACTTCCGTGAGGATATTTTTACTTTCGACGTGCTGATGCTCATTGTTGTCAATTCCACCACCACGGCCCACAGGATTTGCAAGTCCAGAAGATCTTCTCTGTTTAAACTTTACCGCTGGGATCAATGAGAATATACAATTGAAAGATTTGGGATCACCAAATGCTAATCTTCTTTGTAATTCTGTAGGTAACATCATTTTGACAAAAAGCCGTCTATAAAGGCTACCCCAATGGATAGACTTTTCTCTCGTCATCCTCCTCTTCTTGAATATTCTTGGAAAATTTGGTCCAATTAATTTACTGTTTCTTTGACAATTATTTGCTTGGAATAGTCTACGGTACACTTGCAAAGAATTGTATCCACAACCTTGAATTGTGAGATTCTGTTCAGTAGCAACTTCTCTCCTTCCCTTGTTACTCAAATCATTATTTTCTCTTGCATGAGCTTCCAATATAAAAGTGAGAACTCGCTTGCACGACTTTGCAGCATGTTCATCATGCCCATCAGGCTTCGGATCTGCTTCCCCAAGATTGGCTGATACTTTGACATTTTTCTTCCTTGCATTCTTCCTCTTCTTGGAAGTGGCATGCTTTGGAGTTTTAGGAGCTGGAGTTGAAGACATTGGTTTACGAGATTTTGAAGCTTTTCTAGCTTTCCCTTCATCTGCTATCTTAGGCCAATATTTCTTCTTTTTTGGCCTGTGTCTTGGCTTTTTGTTGGAGTCTGAGACATTGCGGGGTCTCTTTCTATGAATTGGGGTGGAATGTGAGTTTTTCCCTTCGCACTGTATCTCATCGTTGTCTTTTTGTTGATCTGGTTTATCATTTACTTACAAATCATTAACAATCATCAAGTTCAAATAGTTCAAATAGTAGCGTAAATTTCCAATTCCAAAGGGAATAATAAAAATATTGCAGTAGAATAAACAAACAGGTTGGGTGAATTCCAACTATTCCAGAAATACTGGAACCAAATAGTTGGAATGAAAAACCAAAATTATATATATATATATATATGTGTGTGTGTGTGTGTGTGTTTATTTGTAAATTCTGTAAAGATGCATGAATTAGCCCATGCAAGTTACGTTATCTACCAATCAAAATTGAACCTGGGGATTTTTTTGGAAATTGGCATTTTCTCATATACAGAATGAGTACTTCCTTCTAGAATTTTTATGGAAGCCGAGAATCATATGCAATACAATATGTATATGTATATGTATATGTATATTATTATTATTATTACTGACGGTTCCTTATTTGGTTCGCTCCTTCAAAAAAAAAAAAAAACTCAAAAAAAATTACCAGTATTAGATGTGGTGGTGAGACTCACAGGATGATGGATGGATGAGAAAATCATAACATGAGTGTATATATCCACTCCTATATATATATATATATAAAAGATTGATCAAAATAGTTTGGAAAGGGGCTTTGATTGATAAAAAGGAAAAATCTACTCCAACAAAGCCATACATTACATAGAAATCACAGGTGAAAAGGATGGACAATTAGCTAGAGCAGTAAAAGAGGAGAAATCAATCACATTAAAATATTAATTAAAAAACAGAGTTAAGATTACTCACTCTTATTTGAAGAACCTGGCATGGCATCGAACGCAGACGCTGAAATTGGTTGAGTGTTGTTTGCAAGAGCCAATATCTCCATAAAAGTAAGGTTGTCCCAATTACCCAATTTCGGAACACCTAAACTTGAATTCCCACAGCCCATCAGACCACAATTTGTTGTCTCTTCCAAATCTCCGGAAAGGCCATTACTTGTGTGTGCCACATTATGATCCACCACTGTTCCTTGTTTGGCGGCAGCCAATGCAGTAGTGTCACAGTTATACATTCCTCTGTTTGTATCCATGGAAGTCACAGCATTTAAAACCACAGGCTGATCCCAATTTCCAGCAGAAAAACTCTGACCCATATGCTTTTTCCATTCACTGTCAACGGAAATTGGCTCTGGCTCCTGCTCCGGCGGCTTCACCGGGGTGAGAGAGAACTTTTCAGGTGTTACTGGTATCCAAACACCTTGTTTCTCTAACTCCCCTTCCATTGGATTACCAAGTTCCATCTCTTTTCATTCTCCTCCAAACAACCAAAAACCCAAGAAAAGTTTAGCAAACACAAGAGTTGCAGGAAAGCAAAAGGAGAAAAAACGTCAAAGGTGGAAGTTTTTAAAGCAGGGTAAAACAAAGAGAAACGGAAAAGGAGAGTTGGGGTTCAAACAGGTTGTTAAAACGTAGTAATTTACCTCGGTCAAAACTCATTAGAAGCCAAACACTCTAGAATTTTATAGGCAAACAACATTGATAAGTCCAAACAGTAAAACAATAGGGTAAAACCCAAAGCTAATGGGAAGTGATATTCGGGTTACGTATAATAAAGACGAGGACAATTACCTAGGGTGCTTACCGTTATGGAAACTTTCAAGCACTAGGGTTAGTTCTGAAATTTTATTTAAAAGTCCTCTGAACGTTATAGCGGTAATTCTTTAGTGGAGTCCACAAAAAAAATATTTGTAATCAATATCTAATTTTTTTTTAGGGCAAAGTATAGAAAACTCTCCCCGACTTGTAACATTTTTCACTAAATATTTCTTGTCTAATTTTTTATCAAAGAACTCCCTTCGACTTGTAACCCTTTCCAATAAATTCCCCTTATCTAATTTTTTACCAAAGAACCCCCTCAACTATATAAGGGAGGTAAAAGAGTTGATATTTGGACCAAAATGCCCCTTTATTTAAATTTTAATTTTCTCAAATTTTAAAAATTAATATTTCACAAACTGTACATCCAAATATTGCAAATAATATGTGAACGGAAAACTTATAAAATAAGGATTCTAGAAATATAAAATTTGTTTAACAAACTTTTATAATCGGAGAGAAATAGACAATCTAAAAATCTATTGCAACAATCTTATTTTATTTTATTTTTTATAAAATACTCGGTTATTTGCAAGAAAATTTTCAAAATTATTTATTTTTATATAGAGCATAACATATAAAAAAATTAGTCCCAATAGAGACCAAATATTAAAAAAAAAAAAAATTTAATGGTGAGTCTATAAAAGAATGAAAAATGTTTTGACGCAAAATATGATATTTCATGAATCGATCTCTGTTGGGGCTAAAAATTCTTATATATTTGGCTCCATATGTAAATGAATGGGTCTAAAAATTTTCTTGCAAATATCTCGAATATTTTATTTTTTTAAAATAAAATAAGATTGTTGGAGTAGATTTTTAGATTGTCTATTTTTCTCTGGTTATGAAGGTTTATTATACAAATCTTATATTTTTGGAATCCTTATTTAAGAAGCTTTCCGTGCATATATTATTTATAATTTTTAAAAGTACGGTTTGTGAGATTTGAATTTTTGAAGTTTGGGAGAATTAAAATTTAAATAAAAGGGTATTTTGGTCCAAATATCAATTCTTTTACCCCCTTCAGATAATTGAGGGGGGTTATTTGGTAAAAAATTAGACAAGGGGGATTTATTGGAAAAATGTTACAAATCAAGGGGATTTTTTGGTAAAAAAATTTGATAAGGGGTTTACTGAAAAATATTACAAGTTGAGGGGGGTTTTCTGTACTTTGTCATTTTTTTTTAAATATGGACTAATATCAAAACTCATACAAAATTGTGGAATTTAAGTAAATAAAAAAGTCCAATTATATTATAATTTGACTAATTTTGGTAATTGTATGATATAATATGCGGAGACCGTGTTATTAAAATTGATGTCAGATAAAGACAATGATATAGTATGAGGAGATCAGAGATCGTGTTCAACTGCTCTTGGGAGCAAGAAATTATATACTCACTTTTAAGTGTATCCTTAGGACAATTAGTTAATTAACTTTTCTTTTCTTTATTAAAAGAAACAATAATAAAATAATTTGGTTATTTTTTGCCAAATTCGCAAGCAGCCTTTTAGATGAAGTAAAATTAATCTAAAATTAAAAGTTATCATTTTAGTTTCTTTCCACACTATATCTAAATTATGAAAACATGTACTAAATGATTTTAAATAAATAGAGAACATAATTCTCTATTAGAATAGTATAAATTAAGGATCTTGAAAAAGCTTAGGATTTGTAATGATATTATACATATTTTGGCATGCTCTTACAGGATCAACACTTTGAATATTTAATTTATCCAAAAAAAACAAAAAAACAATTAGAACATTTAGATGGATATATAATAATATATTAAGAGTTGTATTGTAGGACCTTTCTAAAAAATTTATAAAGCCAATAGTAGTATCCTAATTTTAAATTAGTTGCTGAACAAATTCAAAATATTTTATTAAGTTGAGTATAAAACATGAATCAATCTTGAAATTTGAGTTTTGATTATAATCAATACTTCTCAAGCAATTTTTATTTAATGGCCATATTACATATCTCTTTTGATTAATTTTATTTGGTTTTTGTTGCTGCTCGTAAATTTGTTGAATAAACAATTGGTAGTGATTTTAATGGGAGTGTATGAAATTTTTCTGGAATTAAATACTAAAACTATTAAATAGAAAAGACTGACAACAAATATGATTTATAATAAGATTTAAAATAAATAAAAAAAAATTAAAAAACAAAACATGTAACCTGTTTCCTTGAGTCATTATAATATTTTCATAGGTAGAGTGCAAAAAAGCTACGCTGCTGCATACAAAATTTGTAACTATGTAAGGTCTTTTTTTAAAAAACAAAAAACTCATACATTTTTAAATTGAGCAAATAAATAGTACATTTTCTTTATTTGAAGGCTAAAATATTTAAAATTTTCTTAAGATAAGAGTAAAAATAAAAATTTAGAAAACTAAAAAAATTTAAAAAATTTAAAAAATTCGCTACTAAGCAAGTGGAGTGTTTTTATGTTGTGGATCTCATTTTCTATCTAGTCCATTTAAATCGTGGCGACAAGTGGGAAAAAGTGTTTTAGTTTTGGGAAGATATTTGGATTTGAATATTTCTTTGTCAAATCTAATCATGCTTAAGAAACATCCCTAATTTTTACATGGACAAGATATAAAACTTTGATTTTTCTCTAATAAACAAGATGACTATGACACTGAGCAATATATATATATATATATATATATATATATATATGTTGCAACACCCTCACTTTTGTTCCAAAACCCCAAACGCCCTTCTGCCATTTCATTTGCTCTTCTTCTCCACACACACACACACACACACACACACAAACCCTAAAGATGTCAGACATTCCGGTTGAAGTTATCGCCGACATACTCTCACGATTACCGGTGAAATCCCTTCTGCGGTTCAGATGCGTATTGAAATCATGGTGTGCTCTGATCGACAGCCCACGTTTCATCAAATCGCATCTCAATCGATCGATCAAAACCAACACTAATCACAGCTTCATCTTTAGAATTGAAAACCTTTACTCCATAGACTTGGATTCTCTGGATCATGCCGTACGGCTTGACAATCCTATCAAGAATGAAGAAGAAACCGAACTGGTGGTTTCTTTAGATGGCTTGGTTATTTTGTGCAACCCTTTCTACAACGAAGTCATACTATGGAACCCTTCCACTCGAAAACACCGGAAGCTACCGGTCTCACAGGTTGAGTTCCCGTCTGGATGTCTCTTTATCAATTTTACTACTTTGGGGTTAGGGTATGATTCTGTCAGTGATGACTACAAGTTGGTGAGGATGGTACAGTTTGTTGGCAAAGACGACGATTCATTTCATTCTGAAGTTAAGGTTTATAGTCTAAAATCAAATACATGGCGAAGGGTTGGAGATTTCCCTTATCACCTTCTACACAGGGTTTTGCCTGGTATCACCATTAATGGGGCTCTGCACTGGGTTGTGACTCCAAAACCCAAGTGGGATACGGCCAGTTTGATAGCTTCTTTTGATCTTGGGGTTGAGGAATACAGGTTGGTGCCAAAACCTGAATGTTTGGATGAGGATATTGTTCCTTTATTTGTTGTTACCTTAGGAGATTGCCTTTGTATTGTTTGTAAATATCCTGGAGGCCGAGTTGATACATGGGTGATGAAGGAGTATGGAGTAAAGGAGTCTTGGACTAAATTGTTTTCTATTGCTGAACCAAGTATGTTTGGGTCATTTCATTTTCTGAGGCCTCTGGCCTATTCAAAGAGCGGTGGGGAAGTACTTTTGGAACTTGACAATGCAGGGCTTTCCTGGTATGACTTGAGAAGGAAAAGAGTAAAACATATTCCAATTCGTGGTTTAGAGGGTTTTGTAGAAGGTAATATTTGTGTTGAAAGCCTTGTTCCAGTTCATGGTGATGATGGTGGAAAGGATGGTGAGAAGCAGCAACCACAGAAGAAGATGAAGCCAAACAATAAAAAGAAGAGGTAAGTCATTGTGTTCTTATTGTACTGCCTAATTTCTTTATTGTTTTTATAGACATTTTGATCCTTCAAATGAATTGGCAAATATATTTCTTGAAATAAGTGTTGGTTTCTTTAATGTTGTTTGTTTAGAGTACTGTTGTGTTTAATCTAGTTACATTGCAACCGCCAAGGCCAGTATTAAGTTCTCACCTTCTAACTCTATACATTTACCAGTGGAAAAAAGCTAGGATGAGGACACTCTCACGAGAGTCCTCGTCCTCATTCATTGGATTGAGTTTGTATTGATGCCACACACTTGATCCAATGGATGTGGACATGACTTGTTCATGATGAGAGCACTATCATTATAGACTTCTCTTTTTCATTAGGTGACAAATTGTAATGCACATGTAGCTCAGTTTTTAGCTAATGCCTCACATGTTGCCTTTTGTTCCACTATTGATGCTTTAGGAGGATGTCTTTGTGTTAATTGTAATTTATGCTAAGAATTTTCATTTCAATATTGATGCTTTAGGAGGATGCCTTTGTGTTAACTGTAATTATTGTGCTTACACCTTATATATTGCCTTTTTTTCCTCCTAGAGATGGTTTTCTGTCAAAGGGGTTCAAGCTGGTGCTTTAAGAAACTGGAAGAGCAAAGGAGCGAGAAGGTGCAGACATAAGGTAATATATTTTGGTAGCATCTTTCACATTAATACTCTGTTGAGTATGTCTTTGTCTTTTGCTTTAACTTGATTATATGGGCTAGTTTAACTTTAATAGTATTCTCTTTAATAGATGATGCAATAAGCATAGAAACAGAGATGAGATGGAGTATTAATGCTATAAGGAGGGGCAACCATATGAGAAGATCCAATTTTTTCTTTACCTACTATATAATGTTGCTCCCCTTAAAGTATCTAAGATGAAATTCATGTTTCTTTCAGGGAGTCAGGATTGATGCTGAACTGATGGGGCAGTAATCGGGCATTTTAGAAACTCTGGGGATGGAAGGAAGGAAAGAAGATTAAATATTTTGTCTTACAATATGCGACACTCTTTCGATTGAAACAATTTGCTTGTAGTTAAAGGATCTCATATACTTTTTAAAGTTCTAGTTACTGTGGTTTCGAGAGTTGTCACTTTAAACGCTGACATGCTTGCATCCTATTTGGCTCCTTAAAGCTTGCTTAATTTCTTATGAGTTTAATTTTCACTGATGAAAGAGATGAATGACCAAAATTGTGGTGGTCTGTTTCAGGTAGGATTAGGTAAATCAAGCTGCGGCTCAAATATTTTGACCAAACTCAGGTTGGGCTTTCCCAGCTAATTCACATCGAATCATGAACGCTACCGCCAAAAGCAACTTTCTAACAGTAATTGTTTTGGTTTAAGTTGATTATATGGGCTAGTTTAACTTAATTGTATACTATCCAATAGATGATGTGATAATCATAGAAACAGAGGTAAGATTAAGTATTTGTACTGGAATCTGAATGGACTGACATGAGTTGAGTGCATTTCAAGACTGCTTTTGAGATGGGGATAAACTAGAGTTCTTTAGCTGTGGTTGGACTGCAGTACGTGGATTGTGATCCTTAGAACTATTCTCTTATTTAATCATTCAGCTTCTGTTTAGACTAATATATATATATATAGTTCATGAAAAAAAAGAGTAGGAAATATATGGATTAAAGAAGAATGTGAATGTAAGAACTATGTGATGGCACTGATGAATGATCTTGCAATAGAAGGTATGATCTTGGCATGGCATATATTATGTGGATTTTTCGCTCTTCAGTTGTATAATGATTAATGGCAATGATTTATTAGGTGAGTGTGATTTGAATGAAAGAGACTCTAATTAGAGGTGGTGAGTGTCATTTGAATGCTCTATTATGTGGGTTTTTCACTTTTATTTTCTAATTTTGCAAGAAATTTAGATCCTTTGTGAGCACTTGAACATCTTATACTTCAGAATGTGTGGCATTGGCCTTGATACAGGAATTGACCATTGCTCAGATATCAAGAATAATTTATTTCCAGAGTAACATAGTTTCAAGATTCACTATTAAGTTATTCATTTGAATTATTTGATTTTACATACATCACAAAAAAAAATTGTCTTAATCTATAAAGGATTACTTTTAGAATCCAATCTGACAGATGAGGTAAGAGCTTAGGTAATGACAATGGTAATGAGAAATCAGATTTTGATTATGTTGAGAAATACAATCTTTTGTTTTTTTGTTTTATTTGGTTAAGTTGCAAATTAATGTTAGGGTTAATTTAACTCGAACACTCTCAAATTTGACCGAATATCACCCTCAAATATATTTCGAAAACTTAGATTCATTTCTAACTTTTCTTTAAATATTTGTTAAATTGATATAAAAAAAAAAAAAAAAAAAAAAACAACTTTACCACTAATTTTTTAATCTATTTTATTTTAAAATGTCATATTTCCTAAATCGTCATTATTCCCCCACCCACCGACTAACCCAGACTTTGCAACAGAGATGAGCAATTGAAGATGTGTGTTTCTACCGACTCGGGTTTCAACAGGAGCAGAAAAAGACGGAGGCGAAACAACTTTTGGGCGGCAGCGATCGGGGTTGGCCGCTGAAAAGGGGTTTTGGAGAGAACTAGGCTATTGAAAAACCAGTCGGCGCTCAAGGTCTTCTTGTTGAAAGTCAGCTAGGGTCAACTGGTCCCATGGAAGAGGGATAGGAAAACCAGTTGGGTTGAGATTGGGATTGTGTGGGTGGCGGCGGCGACGATTGGTGATGGGTTGGGATTGTGTGGCGGATGTCTGTGTGCGTGGTGGCGGCGGATGTCTGTGTGTGTGATGTGTTTGCAATGCCTATGCTCTGTGGCTCTTTGTGACGAATTGAATGAGTCTGCTGTGATTTCAAAAATACTTAAGATTCCAAGAATAGGGCAAATTTGATGGACCTCCTTCTGCCACTGGCTGACATTTAGAAACAGTTCTGCGAGATATATATATATATATATCTGGGTATACCATAATGTGACTTCTTTGATTTTCCACTGAAGTCTACCCCAATTCCTATTCAAAAAGAACTCAAAAATCATACCGAAATGAGTTTCAAATCTTTTCTTTCTATTGACATCACACTGAGTATTCACATATAGAAATAGAATTCGATTTCCATACCCGCTAGCCTGTTGAAATTGGATAATAAAAAGCCCCAGTTTCGGGCTCTATTTGCTCTCATTTGTGGCAATTCTCTTTCCAAAAGTCAGATTTGGTTTCTGTTCCGGTGAACCTTAGTTTCTCAATGGAAAGAATCAACAGACACATCAAAATGGCTCTTTTCTTTGTATTTTCCTATAATAGAAAGAATTATGTTTATAATAGAAAGAATTATGTGTGTGTGTGTGTGTAACTGCGTGTATATAAAATTTGTAAATTTATAACTTTTTAGGATATTTTAGTTTTTTAATTTAATTATTTAGGGTAAAGGTTGGTTTGACAAATTTAAAGAGTGATTAAGTCATTTATTAGAACTGTTTAACTAATTGTTGGGGTGTTAATGGAAAATGGAATAAAAGTTTGTAATGCAAGTGATAGTTAATTTTGAAAAATATTTGAAGGTAATATTTGACCAAATTTAAAGGAGTGTCATCAAAATTAATATTTAATTTTATTTATATTTTTTTTAAAACTTGTAATTTGTGACTAAGAGTCTAAGACTGAATAAAAGAGTGATTTAATTTTAAAATGTAGTGTACTTCAAACTTTTTTTAAAAAATAATAATAATAAAGGAATTGACCATTGCCCTTTATACCAACGAGTTGACAATTACCTTTGGTACAAACTAAAAAGAGATTAATTTACTTGACAAAATTAATTTTGATTGAAGAAATGAAAGCAAAAAAAAGCAAAATCTCCTTTCCTTCAATTTAAAATTATCATTTACCACCTTTTTCTTTGATGGGTCTCTTCATCATTTTATTTTTTCCACATTTTCTATCTATAATCAATTTTTTTTTTATCTTTTTATTTATTTATTTCTTATTCAATCTATCAGTTCATTGGTTACAGTGAAGGCCTCTTGTTCCAAAACCCTATAAGCACATCTGGGTTCTCCCATTTGCTCCTCTCCTCCTCCACATACAAACCCTAAAAATGTCAGAGCTTCCGGTTGAAGTTACCGCCGACATACTATCAAGATTACCGGTGAAACCGCTTCTGCGTTTCCGGTGCGTGTCGAAACCATGGTGTGCGCTCATCGACAGCCACGGGTTCATGAAATCGCATCTCAATCGATCGATCAAAACCAACACCAATCGCAGCATCATCTTTAGAGTTGAAGAGCTCTACTCCATAGACTTGGATTCTCTCGATCATTTTGTAGAGCTTGAGAATCCAATGAAGAATGAGGAAGGAACTGAAGTGGTGGTTTCTTTCCATGGGTTGGTTGTTTTGTGCAACCCTTACTACGAAGACGTCACCCTATGGAACCCTTCCACTCGAAAACACCTCAAGTTACCGGTCTCGCAAGTTGAGTTCCCGCGTGGGTGCAGCATGATCGACTTTATTGTTTTCGGGTTAGGGTATGATTCTGTCAATGATGACTACAAATTGGTGAGCATGGTACAGTTTGAGGGCAAAGATGACGATTCATTCCATTCTGAAGTTAAAGTTTACAGTCTTAAATTGAATACATGGCGAAGGGTTCAAGATTTCCCTTATTACCTTGAACAAAAGTTTTTGCCTGGTATGACCATTAATGGAGCTCTGCACTGGGTTATGACTCGAAAACCAAAGTCCGATAAGGCCATTTTGATTGCTGCATTTGATCTTGCACTTGAGGAATACCGGTTAGTGCCACAACCTGATTTTTTGGATAAGAATTTTCAATTCAATATTGATACTTTAGGAGGATGTCTGTGTGTTAATTGTAATTATGCTGGAGTCCGAGTTGATATATGGGTGATGAAGGAATATGGAGTAAAGGAGTCTTGGACTAAGTTGTTTTCTGTTGCTCAACCAAGTATGATTAGGTCATTTTCTTATGTGAGGCCGTTGGCCTATTCAAAGAGCGGTCAGGAAGTACTTTTGGAACGGGACAGTGCAAGGCTTTTCTGGTATGACTTTAGAAGGAAAATAATAAGAAATATTCAGATTCGTGGTTTAGAGCGTTTAGTAGAAGCTAATCTTTGTGTTGAAAGCCTTGTTCCGCTTCATGGTGATGGTGGAAAGGATGGTAAGAAGCAGCAAGCACAAAAGAAGATGACGAAGCAAAACAATAGAAAGAAGAGGTAAGTCATTAATTGTGTTCTTATTGTTCTGTCTAATTTTTTTTTTTTTTTTTGTGATCCTTCAAATGAATTGGCAAATATATTTGTTGAAATAAGTGTTGGTCTCTTTAATGTTGTTTGTTTAGAGTAGTGTTGTGTTTAGTTAGATACGTTGCAACTGCTGAGGCCAGTATTAAGTTCTCACCTTCTAACTGTTTAACAATGGGAAAAGCTATGATGAGGACACACTCACGTGAGTCCTAGTCCTCATCCATTGCATTGAGTTTGCTTTGATGCCACACACTTGATCCAACTAGTGAGTTCATGATGAGAGCACTATCATTATAGACATTTCTTTACCATTAGGTGACAAATTGTAATGCACATATAGTGGACTTTTTGTATAGTGGATTTTTTGTATACTTCAAATTTGGCTGATACTTTACATGTTGTTCCTCTTAGAGATGATTTCCTGTCAAAGGGTTTCAAGCTGGTGCTTTAAGCAACTGGAAGAGCAAAGAAGCAAGAAGGTGCGTATGGTAATATATTTTGGTAGTATTTTTCACATCAATACTTTGTTGACTAGGTCTTTGTCTTCTGCTTTAACTTGATTATATGGGCTAGTTTAACTTTAATGGCATTCTATTCAATAGACGATGTGATAATCATAGAAACAGAGATGAGATTTGAGTGCTTGATGCCATAGGGATGAGCCATATGAGAAGGTCCATTTATACTTTACCTACTCCATCATGCTGATCCCCTTAAGTATCTGAGATGAAAAATCGTGTTTCTCTCAGAGAGTCTGGATTGATGATGAACTGATGGGGCAGAAATTGGGCATATTAGAAAGTCTGGTGATGGACGGAATGAAAGAAGACTAAAGATTGTCTTGCAATATGTGGCATACTCTCTGTGTTGAAATTTTTTTATTGTAGTTGAAAGATCTCATCTTTACTTCTGAAAGTTATATTTATTGTGGTTTTGAGAGTTGTCACTTTAAATGTTGGCACGCTTGCATGCTATTTTGTCCTGAACTTGCATCCAAGCTTGATTCTGAGGAAGATTCGGATAATATTCAGACAACAGTTGGCTCCTCAAAACTTACTTAATTTTTTGTGAGTTTAATTTTCACTGATGACTTTGAATTTGAATTGCTTTTGTAAGTTTGCATTCAAGTTTATTATTAGTCATTGCATTGTGCCTTGTAAATTTGTTTTTGCTGGGTTTTATGGTAAAATGGGAATGTGAATGGCCTCTTGTGGAGTAGTGAACTCTCTACAGTGAGTCTCATGATCTAAGAAGAAAGAATGGATATAAGTTCATAAATGAGAGCTGTTATTGGTGCTCCATCTATATCATCCTGTGCTCCACCTTTATCATCATTTGTTTAAAATGACAAAAACACCCCTCCTTACTTAATGTTTACTAGAACTTGTGGTTTCAGAATTGGTGGAGGAACTAATGGAGTAGAAGCTAGAGCTTCTTCCAATGCCTTGGTGGCTGCCATCGAGGTAGTGGCAATGGAATAGTGCTAGTAAACTTACTGTAGACTGGACAAATAGCTTTTCAGCATAGGTCTTTCTAATAACAAAACCCACCAAAACTTACAATTCCCATATGCATACCTGGTTTGTCTAATCCATAATATTTCAAGGGACTTTAAGCAGTGATTCCAGCACACAAAAGTACAACACATAAACCAACAATTCACCTAGGGCTGCAAGTTGGGTTGGCCCAACCCAGCCCAGTCCCAACCCAACCTCAACCCGAATCGGGTTGGGTTGGGTCAACCCGAATTGTACCTAACATGGGTTATAGTCAAAACCCAGCCCTAATAATTTCGAGCCGGTCGGGTCGGGTTGACGGGTTGAGTTTTAAAATTTTATTTATATATTTTTTTCCCCGAAAATATATATTATATATATATATATATAGATATATCTATATATTATTAAAAAACAAAAAAAAATTTAGGGCAAATCATTTCAGCCTCCCCAATCGTCCAGTCTCATTCTCAACTCTCTCTCTCTGCAACTTCAAACTACAAAATCTACAAGAATCAGAAGTTCAAAACCCATATATTTCAGATCTGTCTGCAAGAATCAAAAGTTCAAAACCCATATATTTCAGATCATTTCAGATTGTTCAAAAAATCAAAACCCATATGTTTCAGTTTCCATCGCCGGCTATTCCAATTCGGGTTCGCCGTTCGCAAGCTTCAGCCGCTGTCTCTCAACTCTCAAGCTTGCCCCCCTCTCTCTCAACTCTCAAGCTTGCTCCCCTCTCTCTCTGCAACTGCTAACTTGTATGTATGGGTTTTGTTTTTATTTTTGGAAGTGACGGCGACGGCGGTGGATTGGCTGAGGGGTGGCGGCGGTGGATCGGCTGAGGGACGGCCAGAGAAAAGAGAAAGAAGAGAGAGAAAGTAGAGAAAAGAGAAAAAAAAAAAAAAAAAATTCGGGCAAAGAGAGAGAGAGAAGGAAGAAAGAAGAAAGAAGAAAGAGAAAGAAAAAGAGAAAGAAGAGAGAGGAGAGAGAAAAAAAAATTTCGGGGAAGAGAGAGAAAAGAGAAAGAAGAGAGAGAGGAGAGAGAAAAGAGAAAAAAGAATAAAAATTAATTTTGGGTTTTGGGTTGGGTTCGGGTTGAGCCCGAGCCCAACCCGAATTGTCTGGGTTTTGATTAAACCCAACCCGAACATGAACCCGATTTGTGAATTGTGTGTCCAAATTTCAAAATTCTTGGGTTGGGGTTGGGTTGGGCTGGGCTAGCCCGTCCAACTTGCAACCCTATATTCACCCGATTCCAACTTTATTTCCAACTTTAAATTTTGTTACCTTGCTTCCCAACCGTCACTACACTTAGATTCTCATTACCACCCTGGTACAAGACTACCAAGAGGATATTTTTATTTTTAAATTATCAAAAAAAAGTTATTTATTTCCGGTGACGACTTAGAGGCATTGAAGGCCAAGGAAAGGTGAATTTCTATTATTAGACAATAGGGTCATATGCGGTGGTAGAGGGACTGGTGGAGAAGCCTGGCCACAACCATCTCTGGTGATTTTGGTATGGTTGAGAATAAAATAAATAAAGAAGGGGTCAGTGGTTCGAAAAGAGATCACGAGGATAAAAAAGAAATAAGAAATACTTATAGATACTAAACGAGTTGGTGAACCTGAACTCGAAGATGAGCAAGTGGATTCACAGCCCATCCTCTCAAAACTCTCCTCGCTACAACCTCAAACATTCTCCTCGGCACAGGATTGAGCTCTCTCAACTGCCTAAAGGCCCTTTGGGAGTGTAAAACCTGTCTTTATAACCTACCCCTGACAAATTTTTTATTTTATGTCTTCACCCCTATCGGTGATCATCTCGAGTAAGGGAAGAAAATTCACGAGCCAACCGCGAAGTCCTCATCAGTCACCGGCAGGCTTTGGTTTTGTTTCGGTTCACACAAGATAAATATATATGAATACGGTCCTCTCCCTCCCCTACCGGATTCTGTAGCTTTTTCCCCCAAATCTTCAAACCCAACAACAGTGAACCCTCTAGAGGCCTTCGATCGTGTGAAGAGAGGATGAGAAATCCATTCCACCATCGCCACTTATTGTGATACTCCTCGATTCTAGAGCCATGGGTGATTAAGTTCGAGCACAGATCCGAAGGATACCAAAACAATTAAGTATGTAAATGAACACAGAATACAAAAGAATAATAAGAAATAATTAAATAAGCTGAAAGAATTCTAAATATTAAATCCTCAAAATATAATAATATAATTCAAACCTCCAATATTATTACAACTCGGGAATCCATCTAGTGGACCCCTAAAAATATCCCAACTGGATAACAGAATAACCTGAACTGAAAGAAAATCCAAAAACTAAAGCATAAAGAGAAATCTTACGTCGTCGGAGGAGTGAGTGACTGTCTCTGTCCAGCACGATCAAGCTCTACGACTGGAACTGTAGAACACTTAAGAAAAATGATAGTGGGTCATGCCCACGAACAAATTCTACTCTAACTACAATCCAAACAGAGACCCTATACGCAGATATATCTTAAATAACTCAACAATAACTATATAGTCCGTACATATTTATATCTACACTAAGGGACTCTCACTGGACTACAGACCGTAAAAATCTATAAATTAACATGCTTATTTGATACCACTGATACATGATTAAACAATATACCCATTCATAGAAAAATTGCTAAAATAAAAATAAGCAATTTAAATCATCCATATCCAATAACAGTATGCATATTTGTTTAAGAAATATATACTGTTCAAGCTATAAACACTATGTGGTTTATTATGCATTAATACACATTCCGGGAGATTAATCTACAATCTAGTAATCATTTTAATTCTTCTTAGAAGTTCTTAATACATTTTGGAACTCCGAAATCCAAACACTGTGGCCCAGAAACTTGTCAAAACCATTAACCAAGCAAGGAGCCGCCTCCTCCATGGAAGGAGCTGCCTCCTCCATGGAAGGAGCCGCCTTTACCAAGCATGGAGCCGGCTCCCCCCTCAAGAGAGCCGCCTCCCTAGCATGTAGAGCCGGCTCCCTTCCATGGGGAGCCGCCTCTTTGAGAGGGGAGTCGCCTCCCTTCAAAAGGGAGCCGGCTCTCCTCTTGTTTTCCTCCTCTGCTTTGCCGGCAATGTCTAGACCTCTCTGTAATTCTTTGCTAAGGTTTCTAAGGTTTCATCTATGTCCCAATTTATTCCAGAACTCATAAAAACTTAGTATGAATCATTAACAACAATTACAATACAACAGAGGCAACAATTGATAAGATAAATCAATTTCACTTTACAACACATAATACAATTAAAATTTAGAATTAATATGCATACATGATCAGTTTTAAATGTCCGATTAAAATTCTGGAGTTTATCTAGGCATGCACAGAACAAAAGTCTAAGAGAAAGAATTAGAGATAGAACTTGTCTTTGAGATTTCCGATTAAAATCTCAACGTCGTCTTTCTAACCTTTTCCGGCAATTCCTATTGTTCTCAACTCCTCTGTTGCCCTTGGTTCCACCCACGAACAACCACTCCTTCGTTCTCTCCTTGATTCAGCCTTAGTCTTAGCCAAACCCTAATTTTCCTCTCTTTATTTTCTCTCAGACCTCTCTGTATCTCTCCGCTACTATGTTTTGTGAATAGGGTTCTAAAATCCTCGGCAAACATATACAAGTATATTTATAGGCAAATTAACTTTAACCTAACTCTATTCTTGTGAGGAGACGAAAAGAAAAACAGAAATTTAATATACTAAACCCTAAAACTATATTATACATATATACCGAATAATAATACTAATTTAACCATCATTAATAATTAATAATTACATTAACCTTGCATACATATATACCCTTATATATATGTATAAACCACCCATGGGTATTAACTGTACTCATTTAATCCATACTATTCAAGCCCATCTCCTTAAATAAATAAATAAATAATAAAAAAAAACATTTAATTTAACATTTATTGTAAGTCCACATAAGTACAGGATTTCAATTAAACAAATAAATCAGTTAAACCTATATTATCAATTAACAAATAAAACAATTTAAGCAATTAATGCAAATCTACATAATCATATGATTCAATTAAAACAAATAAATCATAATGAATTTAAAATTTTAAGAAAATCATAAAAGAAATACCGAGACTATTATTTTAAAATTAAGGGTATTACACTTATTCTGCCGGACTGCCCAAAAAATCAAATTAAACTTAGGGGTTTGTTCAGAGCCCACCAAGTTGGATGGTAGTTTATATTTTGGCGGCGGGTGTTGATGGGTTTCGGATGTGGTGGGTGTCGTAGTGGAGGCCATTACGCAGTGGTTGGTGATGGAGATGGTGGTGGTAGTTGATTGGGGCATTGGTACTCCGATCGACACCACTGTACATAGTTTCGATTACAAAGTTGACGGTTGGGAGGTGGTCGTGGTTCGCCGGAGAAGAGGGGTTCGCGGGTGAGTGGTGATTGAGGTGTGTCGCTGATGATGGGTTTAACTTTGAACACTTGATATATATATATATGTATATGGGTTTAACTCTCTCTCTCTCTCTATATATATATCCTCTCTAAATATATAAACACACACATATGGGTCTCCTTCTCAAAGACTGCAATTTTGCTATTAGTCTACTCATCATCTGAAATTATATAGATATACAAACACCACTGTAATTGCGCACTTGGTGGAGATTACTCCAATCGATTTTGCTAACTCTCTCCAATCTTAACTCCTCCTTTGCTCCAAGCAATAAGTAATAAGCGATCAATAACATCCAGAACATATATAGGATTATTTGAATTATCTCATTCACCTGTAATTTGTTTACATATATAGTCGAAGGCAAAACAAAGTTTTTGGAACAACAGTAACTATATTGGGTTTGATTGTCTGGCCATGGTGTGGAAAGAAGCAATCTATCATAATCTTTGTATTTGCCGTGGCTGCGTATATTTTATTTGATGGAGGGAGAAATGCCAGTGC